GTTCATGTCATGTCATTGGCATCTCAAACGCCATTGGCTCATTCCTTGATGCACCTCGCGACCTCAATCTTTCATTGCTTCTGCATTTCACAGACGTTCCCATCAGCCATTGAATTGTTCTAGTCCCTGCTCTTTTTGAAAGTTGTGCCCCGGCATGGCCAGACACTCCTGATATGTATAGCATGTTAGAAGATAGTTCTTATTGTGCCTCAAATGTATCATACTTGCATTCAACATTATTGGTTATGTTGATATTACAGTGCAGTACACTTCATATCATGTGCACATGATAGCACACGTGTATATAAATATATATATACAGTTATATATACATGTTGTGACTATGATTCTATTATTCTATAATATTCTATAGTATATGTTCCGTTACGTTCTACAGAAGTTATGGTTGAAAGTGACTATGATCCTAGCACAATCCAACTATGAGTGTGATTCCATCCAGGTCTTGCCTGCAATCCCTTGTGCATTCTGTCTAACTTTTTCCAAGGCAGAGACTTTCTCAGAGCTGACCGGCCCTTTTCCGGGTCATTGATCATACGTCTTGTGCACATCAGCCCTCTTATGCCCTCTTCATGCCAAGTCAAATATTCCAAGGCAAAAACAGGAAAGCTGTAAGTCTGATAAAAAAGTAGAGTCAGTCTGCGAAGAACATGTCAGCGCCAACTTGTCAGCATCAATGACTCTAAGGCCCACACCACTCCGCGACCCAGCAGCTTCATGCCTGGCGTGCGGCTCAGCATTTCAAATTCACAGAAACAGAAATAGCTTCTGCCCTTGACACGCACTGCCTCAAGGTGATGCTCTGCGATAGAGAACTCGGGTTCAATATGGTTCAATCACGTTTAATGTGTATTGGGCTCGGCTTACAGTGAATCAAACAGGGCCGATCGACGCTCTGCTAGCCCTCGAAGTCTGAACAAAGCTTGCCTTTCCTGCTACCAAATAGGGACAAAATGGGACATGTACAAGAAATGCCTGTATAGTTCAGTAGAATAGATAATATGTGTGTGCGTGTGCATTGATTTTCTGCAAAAAACAGAACAGCCAGTTTGGTCAAGAAGCATGAGCCATGTCCTCAAGGGTTGCAGCTTCAGCTAGGGCTTTGCATTCGGCAGCGCTGGCGAAACATATCGACAAGGCAAGCTCGAGGAAGTGCCCCTGACAGCAACCAAGTCCGTAGGATCTTCATTGATCTCAGGACTGACTTTGAAGGTACAAAGATAGCATATGATAACAAATTGTAAGTCATGATGAGTCATCACTTTCTGTATAGTTACTAAATGATCTAAATGACTGACTGAGTGAGCAAAGGAACTGTTAGAGAGGGTGACTGCCTTATTGACCAAAATTCATGCACTGAAGTGCTTTCTGTCAGTACATTGTGACACTAAAATCTACTAGTTTGCTGCAATGCTTGGACAAAAGAATTACGAGGTCGTCGCCATTCCGAGACATTTTCTTTAGATGCAGAGCTCTGCATAGTCGATCAGACCATCGTCCCTCCATGTTGAACCTTGAAACCTTTTTCCTCCTCTGAAGAGAAACTTTTTGCTTGTGACAACGCAACGGTTCTCATGCTTCTATACTGTACAGAGCAATTCGGGAGCAATTCGGTCCAATCTAGCTGGTGATGTTGATTGAGTGAACAGGTGACAGCCTTTGGTTGTAAATTTGGACAGCTTGGATTTCTCTCTTCCAACATGTTGTTTAATTCTATGACCATAAAGTTATATAAATGAAAGTATTACAGTAAATCGCAACAAATCAAAATACTACAGTAAATCGCAATCGTATTCGTGCGGAAAATTTCAGCTTATCTCGTTCATCTTCTCATGTCGTACTTCTGATTCCGTGTGTTTTCGATGTGAAATGATGATAAATTATGTGAAGAATTGTGAAGATATGTGAAGCATCAAACTCTGAGGCGCAAGCAACTATAGAACTGGTCTTCATCGCAGCAGGTTTGCTGGGATGACCTTTTGAACTTGGAACGAGCCCCAAATACCTGCGACGTTTCAATTCGGACCTACAAATTCTAAAGACATCCAAATTGAAACAAGTCTTTGCCAGCGACAGTCATTGTTTCTGCTGCAATGCCCTCACGCTGCCCACGCCTAAGAGCTGCATAAGCTGCATCTTTTGGCTTCCTCCTGACGTCGGAAGTTCGCATGGGATTCTGCGTGGTTCCGTATGTGCACACATGAGTCAAATTGATTCAAACGGATTCATATTGGTTGTATTTGAAAGGATCTCCCGCAAATACATCCAAATACTATCAAATAGTATCAAATGCAAAAAAATATCAAAAAGCCAGTAGTTTACAACAGTGTGTGTATATATATATATATTACATCTCTTTTTCAAAACAATTCTGAGCTGATGACGACCAACCCTCGGGCGTAACACTGTCTGCCTTGCAGCATGTGACCAGAATGTTTGTCGCACGGTTAGTCAGTCCATCTGCTGCACATTACAAGCACGACAACCCAAACAGTGGAATATATACATAATAGATTATATATAATATTACAATATAATATGTACTTACTTATATCATCTTACAAATCTTATATCTATATCTGTTTACTAGTATCATCAATACTCACAAATTGCACCAAATTGCCTTCAGTAATTTTGAAATCGCTACGTCACTACCTCTGAGGCGAAGCGCATGACGCTAAGCCGCTAAGCTGAGAAAATTGAGAAAGCGTAAGGCTAGGGCATCAGGAGAGCTCATGACACTCAATGACGAGGACTCATTGTTCCGGAACTTCAAGTGGCCGTTGCCTCCGGCGGAACCCACTTGGAACCCGAGTAAAACCCAAAGTAAAAACATGGTAAAACAAGGCAAAACCAAGGTCCTGAACTCAAAACTTAAAAGAAAACTCAAGACGTGCAATGATACCAGCTTCATTCGTCTTCTAACTGTGATGAAATGATGATGCTTCCCATCAAGGGATGCAAGAGCGTTGCAGGTGCTTTTCTTCTATCAATTTGCACCTCCAACATCTGCAAGAGAGTCTGAAGTTGTCTGCCCCTGGCAATCTTTGGCTGCACTTGGCCATCCTTTCTTCTCGCAGAAACAGTCATCTTTTCCTACTTTCCTCTCAGCCTTTCCGTCCCAGATTCTTTGTTGAGTAGCCAAAGCCCACGCGACAAAACAAGAGTCACAGCTTGGTTTTTCTGTTTCACTGTACTCGTTTTGGGTAGAAATGCGTTCATCCATTTTTCTCTCAATGCCTCATTTAATCTGGCTGATATATATATATATATTAGATATTATTCACACATGTTTTTTGAATGGAGCGCATTCCAGGCAAAGCCTTAAGTCAGTCAGCGGAAGTGCGGCCTTGAAGTTCCGCAAACTGCGCAGGTCACCAGACTCTACCTTTGGCACATTTTGATGCCTTTTGATGCCTTTTGGTACCAATGCGGAATGGTCGATATTGTCGGCAGAAGCCTTGTTCAACTCCAATTCAAAGCGTGATCCGGAATTGTAGCGTTTCCGTTCCGCTGAAGCAATCTGTGGCACCTTGAAGCCCTGGTAGGGCTCAGTCTGCGCCTGTGCATGCTGTGAATCCGTGTTACCCTTCACTCCCTACACTGGCCTGCCATCAACACTTGGCCAGCTCAAACTCTCAAACATGCATCAAAAATAAATGACAGTGACTCTGAATGCCTGTAACATAGCGTCACGGCACATACTTCCCCTATCTTCCCTTCAGCTTGAACTTGCAAGAATGAATCATTCTATTGACTCTTCCATTGCACTGCATACATTTGGAGGTGACATGGAGGTGACTTTGGCAAGTCTACGGACTGACAAAAACAAACATAAGCGCATCGTTGATGCAGGTGTTTTGAGATCAATTTGTGTGCACTCGAGCACCTTAGTGGTATGAAATAGAAAGAGGGACACGCAGCAATAGATTTCATTCTGCAGCAACTTGGAGATGGTCCCTCTCTCCTTTTATCTCAGTTTGCCTCAAGGCCCATGTCTAATGGCCTTGTTTCCTCCACGAACTTCCGCGAATTCCTGCAATACAGATTTGAGACAAGGAAGCATAGAAAAACCAAGAAATCAGTGTCCAAGGGTCTAAGGGGTGGCATGGCATGCAACATTCCACACGAAAGCTAGATGAAAGGAATAGTCAATGGTTGGTGCAACATGGTGCAACAAACAAAGACTATCCGGAAGCCACTACTGTCTGACTTCCTTGGGAATGATTAAGTGGAGGATGTAACGATCGAACGAACGAATACAAATGCTGGCCCAATAGGAATTCGCAGGAATTCGCCACATCAAACGAAGGAATCGCTGCTTTGTTTCTCACCAACTTTGAACGAAACTACTCAGCCACTCGGTGCGCAAGACACTGGAACTGACAAGTGATGAATAGCAGATTGATCAAACAACAACAACCATGCAGCTGTACCGATCCCTGCAACAATGAAAGTCGCCCATGCTTGCCAAAAGGGCAAAGCGTTGAGTGCCAGTGGGCTGTGGGCCCTTCTGATAGTTGACCAAACACTCGGTTGCACTGTGAGGTAATGAAACCCCACCCACCCTCCAGGAGCAACTTTTCCAAAGTTTGCTGTCGAATCTGATGGGTCACGCCACCAGCTGTGCTCAGGGTCATAGATGATGGAGCTGACTGGACAGCTCAAATTTCTACAAGCTGCGCCAGCTCAACCCCTCCCCATCCACTTTTGGGACAGGGCGGGTGGGAAAATTCTGAGAGGCTTCAAGACCTTCCTTAGTGGGTCTTGAGCCAAAATGGCATGGCCACCACCCATGCCTCACTGCTTACCTTCTGTGTTTGTCGAAACCTATGGTTTCTCTCAAACACTCGGTTGCACTGTGAGGTAGTGAAACCCCACCCACCCTCCAGGAGCAACTTTTCCAAAGTTTGCTGTCGAATCTGATGGGTCACGCCACCAGCTGTGCTCAGGGTCATAGATGATGGAGCTGACTGGACAGCTCAAATTTCTACAAGCTGCGCCAGCTCAACCCCTCCTTTGACTCCGTCGCGCAGTGAGTGTAGCCCCTTGCACTTTTGACAGCAGTTGATGTGAAGCTCCTTGAACCGGGTGAGTTCCACTCTCGCGTTGTTGCGGGCAAAGTGCCACCCGCAGATGGTGGTCCATTCTGCTATGGGCATGCCCCAGGAAGCTTTGCCAACACGATGAGCAACTTTGCCTCTTGAGCTGATTGAGATCGCCCACAAGGGCTTCTTGTTTGCCCCTTGCGATTTAATTTCCGGGCCCTTCACCACTAATGGCGGATCCTCTTCGTCCACATTCACCACTGTTGTGGCTGGTTCGATTTTCCTTTCCTTCTTCACCGACTCATTGATGGGGAGTTCAGCCATCGCTTCCTCCATGTATCTGAACACCGCCGCGCTCTTCCATCGGCCTAGAAACATGAGGTCTGCTAAACTCCACCTTTCTCTCGTGTAGAACATGGCTCCGGATCTCCGAGCAGAGTGCCCTGACATGGTTTCGTCGACGTGGTTCACCCACGACTTCACTAATTGAAATCGTGAGATTCTGCAGCCCACTCCATCCGCGATCAACGGGTCCTCATCATTTGGCCCTGCCATATAGTTTTTCACTCTGACAGAGATCCTCCACGGACACGTTGATTTGCAAGGTCTGTGGCCGCAACAAGTGAGGGTCCGCTTTACTCCTCGCTTGCCCTGGTCCATCTTGGATTTTGGGATGAGCAAGGATACCTTCTTACCCGTTGGGTCCAAGTCCAGGTGGCCGCTGTCCAAACCAACCACCTCCCCACTCCTAAGCATCCACACTGCTGCAAAGACGTAGGACATCTTGGGGAAGGCTGGAGCTCCTTCACCTTGCTTGTCCACTTCCTTGGGATCTTCTACAGAAATTCCTTCGGGTTTCACCTCCTTGGCTCGTTTGTCCGGGCCAACATCTCTTCTCAGAGCTCTTTTCACCATGGCCAGTTGCCTCTCCAAAACTTCATCCCACGCCCAGCCGGCCTCCAGCTGCATGAGCTTTACCTCGTTGATGTATTGTTCGCCCGCTTTGAGATCTGCTTCACTCAGAACGGCTCCCACCAATTCCAGTTCCTCCGAGTCCAGCGGGAAGAAATCTTTCTCGCCCTTCACCTTCAGCAGAATGTCACAAAGCCTTTTCCTCTTGGAAGCTCTGCTGGCCAGTGTGGATTTTGCAAACATCTTTCCTCTCAAGTTTGCTACAGCCTTCCTCTTCCAATCTTTCGAGGACAAGAGGTTTGTCATCCCTTGCCAGTTCACTCTCCTCTTCCGGGCACTTTGGGGCTTACCGCCTCGAGCATCCTTGACACCACCTGCGTGTTCCCTCGCCGGGCATGCCTCTCCCTGTGACTTTCGGGACTCCTTGGGCTCTCTGCCCTTTCCGCCTCCTTTACCTTCTTTCTGGCCGCTGATGCCCTTGGGCTGATAGACCTGCGTCTGCTGGGTTCCGCCACCCAACTTTCTGCTAGACCATGGCAACCATCCCCCTTTTCCGGAGATGTGAAGGGTCTGGCCCCCTTCCTTTTCTCGGTTTTGTCCTCTGACCATGGCCTCTGTGGGGGATAGTAACACCCCTTCCTGTCGCCCAAGGTGAACTGCGCCTCCAAACGGTTGTGGAGTTTGGCCCACCCCATTGAGCCCCACGTCCACACCATTTTCGCTTTGCTCCTGACGCCCATCCACGCCTTTTGGCAAAGCCGCGGCAGCCATTGCCCATACCACGCTCCAGCCAGGAACCCGAGGACCACCGTGCCCAGCCATAGTTTCAAAATCCATAAGGACCCTGTCTGAGGCTCCTTTGTCTCCGTGATGGCTAGGGAACCTTGCAAGGCCAGCGCCATGTCCTCGGTTTGAGCCCTGGTCCAAAAACGGCTGCGGATGTAAACATGCATGCACAACGAAAGACAACAAAACGCACAGAAATCAACCCTCAAATTTTCAACTTTTCGCGCATGAAACTTCACCCCTTTTGTTCTCTGAGCCTTCATGACACCTCCGTTTTCGGGGTCTCACTCGGTGTCCCCTCCAATGAAGGTGTCTGCAGGCTGTTCGTCCCCGGCCCAACTACCTTGGCCCTCCCCTCCAGGAGGTGCGAGCGAGAACAACTCCTTGCACGTAAAACACGGTGCAAGGCGAAAAATCTTCACTCCTTCCAGGGACTTTGGCTTGTCGCCCCGATCATGCATGCGACTCAGCCAGTCCGTCTCCTTGTTGTCTGCCCCCCGCAAGTGCTGCACGACCACTCGCTGGATTCGGTGGAGCTCCAACATGAGGGAGATCTCTGCCGCCAGGTAGTTCAGCTGCGGCGACGGGCTTCCCGTCTTCTTGGTGACTCCCAGAGCTACCGTCGAGTCGCTCCGGAGCAAGATCGGCCTGCCCTTGAAGTTCGCCGCCCACTTGTGCAGGCCTCGCAGCACCGCGAGGGTTTCCACCACGCTCTGCGACGAAGCTTCTCCATGCGCCACATTCAGCCGCTTTGCATCTTCCTCTTTGAACTCTGCCTCGAATGCCTCCACTATCTCATACCTTTCTCCATCCAGCGACAGCCTTATCAGGATTCCGCCCAAGCCTAACGGGCTCGCATCCGTCACCAAGCCATACTGGATCTTCTTTTCCACGAAGGGCTCTGAGCGGAAGAGGAGGATGTCCTTGCGCTGCATCAGCCGGCTCACCCAATCGACCGGGTTCTTCAACCTCTTGAACGGGATCAGCCCCTTCTTGGGTCTTGTGTCGGCTCGCTGCGCAGCCCGTTTCTCCTCCAGGCCCTCTTCCTCATCCCGCTGCACTGCCGCCATGGTGCTGTAGAGGGCGTTGACCACCCATTTCACTCTTGGCACTACGCCCGCCACCCAGCTGAGTTTGCCCGTGATTCTTCTGACCTCTCTGATGGGGATCATTCCCATATTGGGCCACTTTTTCAGCTCCGTCTCAATCTCCTCTAGCATCTTTGACTGGATCCCAATCATGAGCTCCTTCTCCCTCAACTCAAGGGTTGTCCCAATCCATTTCACCCTTGACCCTCTCTCGCCCTTCTCCAGCGCTATCTGCACCCCCATGGTCTGAAGGACGTAGAGGACCATCGCCAGGATGTGATTCCTGTGTCTCAGAGGGCCCCGGAGCACCAGTATGATGTCATCCATGTAGATCTGGGTGCTCATCTCAGCCGGCGACACCATGGATTGCAGCAGCCTTCCAATGCCAGCTGCCAGCCTTCCCATATGCAACGGTGCCGCTTTGTAACCAAACAGCATAGCCGGCCACAGCAGAGCTCCCTTTTCCTCCTCATCCGGAGTGACCGAATGCTTCCACTCTTTTGGGTCCACTGCCAGGTGGCAGAAGGCATCTCTGAGGTCTATCATGGCGAACTCTATCTCGTCCCATCCAACCCTGCCTTCTTCACCGACCTCCTGTACAGTATCTCCTTCAGGTCATCTGACCTTTCCACCATACCTCTGATGCCCCCCACCAAATCCTGGATTCTTGGCAGGGTGATCCTCTCGTTGACCCTGCACCTTGCGTTGCCCTGCGACCGCTTCATGTCGATCACGATTCTTCTCTTCTTGCTGCCATCCGGGCGTTCCTTGACTATCAAAGCCATCTTCGAGCAAGTCCCGGAGCCGAACGTCTTCTCGACTTCGTCCCATGACTTTCGCACGGCAAAACCCTTGTCCAAGTACCGCTTTATCTCGATTCGGGCGTCCTCCAAGTTCTCCGACACGCTCCTGTAGTTGGAGGTCTCTTTCAACACCGCAAACTCCACCTCTGGTATTTCCTCCGGTTCACGTGCGCCCAGGATCTTGGGAAAGACGCCGCCCGAGTCCGGTATCTCCAATTCCATTCCCATGGGGACCCCATTCTTGATGTGCTTTGGCAGGTGGACATCTGGGTCTTTGCTTCTCCTTTGCCACTCCTTCCACAGTTCATAGTTCAGCGGGGAGGTGAACTCATCTTGTTGTTTCAGTGTCACCTCCCTGTCCTCCTCTCTAAGGTTCCAGAGTTTCACCACTCTGGTCTCCCATTCCTCCAACCTGCCCTGCAAGAACTTTGCCTCTTCCGAACCGTAGGCCACCGCTACATCAACGATGTCCCACTCCTCCAACTCGAAGGCGTTCCATTCCCTCCTGAGCTGATCGCCAACTTCCCGTACTCTGTGGAGTCTTGCCACTGCCTTGGACGGGTTTCTCATTCCCCCGATCGCCACCTCGTTGAGGATCTCCTTCACCTCCTTGTTTGAAGCTCTCCTCGATGACGAAGGGATGTATTCCTTCTCTTCCGTCTCTGCTGCCAGAGCTCTGGTGAGGGAGTTTGTGAACTTCTTCATGGACTCCCTTGTCTCCCGCGGTTTGTCGAAGCGCTTCTCCTCATTGATCAGCCACTTGTGTTGCATTTCAGAAACCGCCTTCTCCTGCTGCGTCACTTGGTGTCGCCAGAATTCCAGCTTGATGATCCTCTTCCACCCTGCCAAGATGAGCTTTGCCACGGCTTCGCATAGGTCCTCTGGATACCTGCCTGCCCTCTCCGTCTTGGCCTTGCCCACCAGCGGTTCATGTATGATCCATGCTGGACACCGACAAACCCTGCTGAGTGACGGCAGACCCTCCAATTTGCCAGCCCACATCGCCGGCTTATAGTGTCTTACCTTGGCCCTTGGTTGGTAGGCGCACGTGTTGAAGGGCACCTTGCATGCCCCGACCTTCTCCAGGGACTGCTTTATCTCCGGAAGCTCCCAAGCCGGCCCACACCTCTCATCACCTGGAGGGTTTTCAAGTGTTGCTGCCGACGATACTCTTCTTTCCTGGTCTGCTTCCACCTGCGCCTCCATGAGCCACCCGCTTCTTGCCGCCAACATAGTGCCACGGTCTGCTTCTGCTTGGCGTTCAGCGGGATTCGTGCTGAGGCCATAGATCTCCTCCGTCGACCTGACAGGCGGTGGCCCTGGGTTTTTCGACCACCTTGCCATCGAAAAGGACCCGCACGGAAAACCTGCATGCAGACCATCATACTCTCCTTCTCTAACTTCCTTGCACAGTCTTCTATGTTGTTCTGCATCGCTCATGTCCACCCGTTTGTCCAGCTGTCTGTCCAGTGAAGTGACTTCGCACTTCAACCGTTCCTTCACCGCCTCGGTCTTTATCGCCGCAGCTAGGACGTCTTCTGGGCCTGAGAAAACGTGCAAGAACTTGAAGACTCTTTTGCTTCTGAATTCTTCAAAGGAGTTGGAGTCCAACAGTGCCTTCATTACCCTGTCTGGTATCTTCGCCTCAGCAGGCCCTTCCTTGTCTTCTTTTGGCACGACCTTCTCCTCTTGCACCTTTGTGGCGTCGGCTCCATGATGCTGCGTCTTCAGCTTCTTTGCCTCGGGCTCTGGGGGACTCGCTTCAGCATGTCCCGGGTCTTCCTCACCGCCCCAGTCCACTCCGAGCTCGCCCCCCTCCGTCATGCTTGAGCCATGCAATCAAAACAAACTATAATTCAAGTGCACCACAATTTTAAAACAAAACACAACAAACCCCCCAAACCAAGCAGCAGTTCAAAAACGAAAGAAGTCAGGTTTCCCAAGGTCATGCTTTGCAGTCCTTGTCTTGGTGAGACGGGCTCAAACACTTTCGGCACTTGTGTGCTCGTTTTATCGAGCCCTTGCATTCACCTCCCGGTGGAACGTTGGCACAGCTGCCTTGGTTTGCTGCCCAGCTAAAGCAGATAGGGGCTCCGCTCTGGTCCTTGCTCTTGGATTTTCCCTTTCCTTTCGGTTGGAAGTTGCTTCTGTCAGATGCTTTCTCATTGGCCGCCTTGAGGTGCTTTAACTCCTGAAGATCAGCCTGAACTTTGCGACGTTTTCTGATCCTCTTCTCACGCTTTGCCTCTCTTGAGACGGCTGGTCTGTCATCCTCCGAATCTTCTCTCAACCCCGGGAACTGCGATGTCACTGCTGCCTCACCAGCCACCACAGGGACTCCTCTGCCTCCAGAAGCAAGCCACGCCGCGGCTGGAATGTGGACCTTCTCTGACCAGTACTTCTCATCCCCAATCAGGGAGTGAAAAATGCAAGACCAAGGATCATTTGCATCCCAGTCTCCAGGTATTTGACGGCCCCTACTTTGTTCTAATGTCCAATGCCTGCGCCACTTCTCCAGTTTCTCTGCTCTTGCGGTGTCATCCGCACTGTAGATCAAGCCCCAGCATTGAGGCCACTGCGTCACCAGCCTTTCAACGTGCCTGTAATAGGCTTCCAACGCCGCCAAGCTGCAGATCTTCAGCATGATCGCTGCCGCCCTGAAGACCCTCCAGCTCGATGACCACGCCATGAAGTTTCCGGGCCCTGGTAAATCCCTTTGTAGGAATTGTCCATTTCCCAAGGGTGTGAACACTCTGAACCTATGGGTCTTTGAAGCTCTCCTCTCAAACGGTGACCACACGGCAAAATCCACGTATGGCGCCGCCAGCAACTTCACCACCCGCTTGTTAAGAGCTGCAAGTTGGTTTGGTGTCGGTTCTTCGACATCATCTGGCATCGCTCCCATCACCAACACAAAGTTCTGTGTCCACGTATGCACCTCCTCCATTGTTGGAGGCATCAGCTCCGACTCGTCACTTTGGTCCACCAGTGCTGCCATCTTAAGTACATGTTCTTTGACTCCCGAAGCTGCCGGCTTAGCCACTGGTGGAAGTGCCCCCGCTACCGTAGGAGCCCACGGGTCAACATCCACGAACTGTGCCTCGTCCATGCCTGACGTCATTGCAAGGACTCTCCTCGCCGTTCGCCAAGCCAGCCCCACTTGGGTCGCCTCAACTGGGTTGAGTGCATCGCCATTGGCTTTCACAGCCTGTCCAACTGCGGCCACAACTGCCACTGCTGGCAGAGAGGCCAAGATCCTCAAGTCATCGCCAAGGGGACCGATGTGTCGTAGCCAGCCTTCCCAAGCCTCATCGCTAAGTCCCACATTGCTCAGGACATCACTGACGGTGCGGAATTCCCCCAACGTGCTCCATTGCTGGAACATGGGCGACCCGCGAACCTCTCAGATCCAAAATTCTGAGAGGCTTCAAGACCTTCCTTAGTGGGTCTTGAGCCAAAATGGCATGGCCACCACCCATGCCTCACTGCTTACCTTCTGTGTTTGTCGAAACCTATGGTTTCTCTCAATTATCTCTAAGAGACTCTACCATGGTCAACAGCGTATGGATGCTACGCAAACAAATTGCAAAAGATCGAATATGTATGCTGGAATGGAAAACAACAACTCAGGATAAATGTTCGAGGGCAATTTCCACCCATCTTATTTTTGTTTACATAGTACACTACAGTGCAATAAAACGATAAAGAGTCAAGAGTATCAAAAGAGGCAGCATTTGTGGCCTGATTTGTCTGAACGCAGTAAAAATATGTAAAAAAAATATAAGTCCAGTGAGGTACAGTAGATTTACCACGGACCCCCTTGTGATCTTCTTGAAACACAAGTAGTCCAATTAATTGGGTTCATCTGCCCAAAACAAGGAGTGCTGGCGCAAAAGATATCACCAGGATCATCAGCATGCAAGGGATTTGACGCTTTCGCCTGCAAGGATGGGACCCCAAACTCAGGAGTTTAGGAAAGCAAAATTTTTGCCTACTGGCAACTTTTTCCCGTGCCACAGTGCGCCTTCCATAGCTCCTAAATCCGGCACCATCAAATCCAACTCACCACCCCTAGATTCACAATAATATGGTGCCTTACGATGGCACATTTACAAATTTCAGTGTGAGAAAAAAAAAACTCAACCCCTGCCCCACAGGTCTGGCTCCGCTCTGTCAGTCGAGACACTTCTTTTATATTAGGTCATATTAGGTCTGTTGTGTTCATCGTCTTGTTCGTTTGCCGCCTTTCCGGCTATGCTGCAGCATAGCTGGATGACAACTAGACACACTTTGCATCGGCTTGTCCACATGTATTTCATAATCCCAGCCGAAGACAAAACAACTTTCAGGAAAGGTAAATAATGATGTAGTATCGTGCAGTACTGTAGTACATTGGATAAGTTGTTCAGGGTCTGAATCACTGAAAGGATGGAACAAGAGCCAAGTATTTACAACCTCAACCTCTAATCCTGCTTTGCATGGATGACCTATGGAGCAATCAGGTCAGAGGCAACCAACACAGGATGGCACGATCAATATTCATCTGTTCATCTATGTAATATATACATACACGATGACACGACTGGAATGTCTTGATACTATCACACCTGATACGAATGCATGTGCAACTGGGAGAACAACACAAATTCACCAAGCTAAAATAACATAAAATAACAGCCATGTATGTATGTATGCATGGATGTATGTAATGTAATGTAATGTTATCTAACATCATGTACGTAATTAATGTATGTCATGCATGTAATGTATGCGATGTATGTAATATATATATATATATCATGTGGGGCTGTCTAAAAACCCCGATATCAATCAAATGGTGTTTCCACGCGTTATCGTTTTTTTTTCCTCTTATCGTTTTTCCAAGTGCTGGCTTCACACCCTCATGAAACAATATTATTGTGTTTTCTTTGTGGGATATCACCTTACAACCACCAGCTTCACACCTGTTTTTCGGGGAAAAGCTTGCATCTGCAAAGCTTGCTGCTTCGAACATGTCCCATAAACAATATATAATGTATATGTATGAGCATCGTTACCGTTTTTTTTTCCTCTTATCGTTTTCTCGAGTGAGAACTACATATAGCTAATGGGGGATCATGGCATACTAAACGAATAGGTGCCGGGTTATTATACTCTCCCATGTATGTAATGGATGCAGTGTATGCAATGTATGCAATTTATGTAATGTATGTAATGTATGTAAACTATGTAATCTACGCAATGTATGTAATCTATGTCATGTATGTCATGTATGTAAGTACTGCATGTAATGTATGTCTGTATGTCTCCATGTCTGCATGTATGCATGTATGCATGTGTGCATGTGTGCATGTATGTGTGTGCATGTATGTATGTATGTATGTGTATGTATGTATGTATATGTATGTATATGTATGTATATGTATGTATATGTATGTATATGTATGTATATGTATGTATATGTATGTATATGTATGTATATGTATGTATATGTATGTATATGTATGTATATGTATGTATATGTATGTATATGTATGTCTATGTATGTGTATGTACGTATATGTATGTATATGTATGTATATGTATGTATATGTATGTATATGTATGTATATGTATGTATATGTATGTATATGTATGTATATGTATGTGTATGTGTATGTGTATGTGTATGTGTATGTGTATGTGTATGTGTATGTGGTATGTATGTATGTATGTATGTATGTATGTGTATGTATGCGTACGTATGTGTATGTATGTGTAAGTATGTGTATATGTATATTATATGTATATGCATACGTATCTGTATGTGTATATATATGTGATATATATGATGTATATGTGTGTGTGTGTCAATGTATATAATTGTATATATATATATATGATATATGTGTAACTAATTGTAATTGTGTATATGTGTACGTACGTACGTACGGACGGACGGAGGTAGGTAGGTAGGTAGGCAGGCAGGTATGTATGTATATATATATGATGTATATGTGTGTGTGTGTCAATGTATATAATTGTATATATATATATACAGTATATATATGATATATGTGTAACTAATTGTAATTATGTATATGTGTACGTACGTACGGACGGACGGACGGAGGTAGGTAGGTAGGCAGGCAGGCAGGTATGTATGTATATACAAATTTGTATCGTGAAATATCGTGAGGTTCCTGCGAGGTTGTTACACTTCACCGAAACGCAGAGACGTCCGTGTATGAGGTGCATGTACATATGTTGAAAGATGTCGTGTGTTAACGAGCTGCTGATAGCTGCTGTATCGCTTTGCACTTCGTCTGAAGTCATTTGCAGGTCGACCACGCCAAGGAAAGCATGAAAAGATATGAAAAGTGTTCAGGCCATGTACACAGTGGTCGTACGTTGTAGCCGGTTGCAGGTTTGAATGGGAAGTGAAGAAAACTACAGGAGCTGCGCTCCTTCTCGGCAAACAATCGGCCTTGGAGTCTCATTTCTTTGCATTGAACAATCTCTTGCACATCCATTCCACATCTCAGAGAAGCGACATGAATTCAATAAACAAAGGATTAAGCTGCGCACTTGTTTCTGAACCTCGGGTATTGCTACTGGAAGAGGTGCTGAAGCCTGACATGTGATCTTGAAGGCGGAGGAACCTTTGACATTGACATTGTATGTATTATTATGTATTTGGATGTGCATCATGTCCAGAATTGAGATGACCATGAGAATCAGGCCAATTAATCATAATCAGAGCCATTCTGCCTAGTTCAGTTTAGACCTCTTGACAATGTCCATTCATTTCCACTTTACAGGGAGGTTGGCGCTATTGTCTACTTCAATATCGTTGACACAACTCATATTCTTATAATTCTTTTCGTGTATCAGCTTGATAGCGTTTGTTCACAGCATTGGAACTGCAGGCGTACTTCTCTGTTTGACCATTTGTCTGATTGAAGCTGTTCAAGTCCTAGATTTAGAGTTGGTTCAAGCATGTCAGTTGGACCAGCAGCTTCCTGCAAGACTGGAAGGTTTGTCACTGAAGCACTTAAACAATTTTACCGAAATCGTTACTTTACATTCTGCAGAAGGGCCCCGTAGTGGTGGTGAAAAGTTGAGCATAGAGTGATGTTGCTTTTGGTCTGCCAACATGTCTCCACAAATATCAGTTTCCACAAATTACACTGCGCACACCATCGCCATGGCACGACTACACAGCAATTTCACCTTTTCCATACTTTTTCAATCTTTTTCAGAATCACCGTTTGGACACATGTGCCCGCTGACCAGAGATCTCACAGCATGCCATGCGCAGTCTGTCCAGTTGCTTTGGGTATGCGTCTTGAAGCGGCGAGCCACCTCAAGAACGCAAACTCGGAAAAATTCAAAGAGGGCCAAAGAGGACCAATAGGACTTGGACCAATCGCTCGCACTTGATTTATACGGACGGTAGGATTCAAGAGCCAGCGGCCAGTAGTATTCTCAAGCTTGAGAAAGTGCTGAAACGGCTCGAACATGTTCAAAACATTTCAAAACAACCTGAAGTTACAGTAGATGCTCTGGTCATTCTTGTCAGCTTTGGTCAGAACGTTGACCAAGAACTCTCTTGGTCGGCGTCGCCAAGACTTGCAACCTCAATAGCCAAGCTCAAGGAAAACTTGATGCAGAGGCACAAGCAAAGGACAAGTTTAGTACAGCACAATGCAGCAGCAAGAAATCGAGACTGGAAACGTGCAGACTCAAAAGTAATCTGCATATCTCTGCATATTATTGCTGCAAATGACAAGATGCAAGAGCAATTACAAGACATCTTAGGCAATTCGGCGTTCGTGGTGGTGGCACCAACGGAAGGTCATCGTCATCCACGTATCCCCAGAGCTGGTAGGGACTTCTTGCCTGCAAAGTATGCTTGGCTTACCATGGGGAACACTTTGAATACTTGGTTCATCTATCTATGTTAATCTTATGTTTCGTCTTCGTTCTATGAGCCTTTGAAGTAGGACAAGTGCAGTTGTCATGGTTACCCACTCCAACCTCATCCTGGCGATCTGCCCACATTCTTCGTGCTGCTCGCACTGCATGCCATCAAAAGCACTGCTCGTTTGAAGATGTATATTCCACCGCAAAATTGAAGGTCTTGCACAAAAACATGTGGCACAGAACTAGAAATTAGTTTTTATATTCTTAAATCATCTTAAATCTTATTCAATGTACATTGTACATCAATTTGTGGTCAATGCACTTTTTCAGCCGAAATCCTCACCATGAGCCAGTTCTGAATGCGACCACTTCTGTCTCAAAGGATTTTGTTCCCAATGCTCGAGAAGTTGCCTGTTTTGCCAGTTGGGTCAGCATGCTTTCACAAACTGCGTTGTTGTAAAAGTGTTGCTTTGAATTTAAGGTCAAGTGCTTGAACAAGGCAAATGCAGCGAATTGACAAGTCACTCGGAAAAAAACACCTCGTTTGTCTGCCACTAAATGCAATTGGTGTCCTCACCAACGACAAAGAGCTTCTTTTGATACTTAACTTTTACAGAGGAATTCCAACAACAAATGCACCTTTTCATCTTTTTTCCACCAACCCATCATTGTGGCAAGATGTGGCAAGCATGAAGAACAACGATACTGCAGTATCTGCAGTGGAATGCTTTTCAGTCTGCTCGTCCTAATCTCTCTCTCTCTCTGTCTCAATGCATCTCAATGCTTCATTTTTGACGCTTGACCAGGCTGCTATGCACGGCTGTGCACGGCTATGCATGTTGCTGCGCCAGGCTTGTGCCAGGCTGGGCCATGCAGAAAGGCTTTGCGCAGTGCAACCTTGAGCCTCTCAGAGGTCGGCAGGAGTTGAAATGCCTGACAAACTATGACAAACTTACTTTAAGATCTTTAAGACGCTCGGAGAAGTGAACTCCCATGAAATCCTTATAGGATGTGAAACATGAAGTCACAACATGCAACATGCGTATCAAACAAGACATTTCTGATGGTTTCTGAATGCTTTGGTTAATGTTGCATTGTTTTCCGCATTTTGTCGCCAAGGTGACCAAGCAGCTGTTCAACGCATACATCATGCATTCTAGCCCCAGGCAGTGCAGCTTGCAGCTTGTGATGACGCGAAGTTGCAGAATGGTGTCCGATGGTGTCAAAACGTGTCAAAGCAGATCTATCAAAAACGGTAAACATCGAGTAACCCTCAGACTGTGAGTGGCTGAGCCTAGTTGTGTGACTTGGACCTCAGTCTTGGTGTCTCCTGCCGTCTTCAAACGTAGCAGCAGGTAATGCACAATAATCCATAGCAAATCTGCACTTGTAACAAGTGCACACTTCTGACACACATAAGCCACTGGAGCTTCTTTTTGTGCGGTGAATTGTTCCCTCACAAGTGGTATGTGGGTAACAGAGGTTCGCAAATAAAGGGTCTTGCAGGCTCCAACACTTCAGATTGGCCTAGTATGACCTAGTTCTGCAAAAGTGATGTACTTAGTAGCCCTGGAGGGTTTGAAAAAACGGAATCTCATCTCATCTCATCTAATTCATCTATCCCATCCCTCTCTGTTTGCCTGTCTGTCTGCCTGTCTATCTACGAGACTATGAGATGACTTGTTCATGGTCAATGACCTTCGGGACCTCACAAAGGTGGCCAAGCAAGGTCAAAATGGTCAAAATGGTCAAATGCTACAATGCTGTATCAATTGTGTTTCCTGGGCATCTTCTGGGGCGAAACGAACCGCAGAGTTCACCTGCAGGCGAATGCAAAGGGAGAAGAAGTGTTCTTTGCAACAGGATTCTTGACTATTTTATTTTAGTTGTTGCAATTTGTTTCCAATCCGGTTGCTATGGTTGCTTAAAATACATATATATATAATTATATATATAGTCTAGTTGAAAAATGTTTCGGCCAATTGGCATGATACACGACTCACATAGTTCAGGTCACTTTGGAAATCTTTGGAACAAGTCTCAGAAGAATCGACTTGAGCCACTTAGCACTTCCTCGGGCCCTGTTTCAAACCCTATTTGTACTTGTATGACAAGCAACACTTGCACATGTCGGATCAAAGCAAAAAGGAAACTAGCTGAATCAGATCAATGAAGATCAATAAACATATTGCATCTTGCACAAATCAGATCAAATCGGTTCATATTACAAAGTTTTCTGCAAACTATGCGATGCTGCTTAAGGTGTCACAGGCCTTTGCTCCAGGCGTTGCAACGTTGTCCTCCTTTGGTTTCTTCATCTTTGCCTCGAGGCCAGTGACCACGAGCCAACACCGGTATTGTCATGTATTGCCCATATATTGCACATATATGCCCATATATTGCCTATATATATGAATCCATCTGACACGATCTCAAAAGAATGCGCTCGCATTCGTCTGCCTTCTCAAGAATGTTGTTGAAGGAGCGACGTCTTCGTGTGTCCGGTTCATCTTCGGGAGCCTTTGAGAATCGAAGACTTCGAACTTTGACTCTGGAATTGGATATGTCCGTGGCCCTAAGAGGGCCAAGTAACATCCTTTCCTAAGATTTATTGTGTCCATTTGAGAATCGAAGACTTCGAGCTTTGACTCTGGAATTGGATATGTCCGTGGCCCTAAGAGGGCCAAGTAACATCCTTTCCTAAGATTTATTGTGTCCATTCATGACTCATGACGCTCTCTATGCAAATTGCCTGTCATATCATGCCAAGGGATAGATGTTCGCGTGCTTTAAATGCGCAAAAGCTGAAGCTTGCACTGACACAGAGAGACACCTTTTTGCGCCTGCGCGGCTTCAGCCACGGTAATGTGGCGGAGTTGATACATCCGGGTCTGTGCTGGATGCAGGCTGTGCTGTCATGCTATGACATCTGTTTCCTACAGACCAAGGATGGATTGCTGCTTGCATGGTCTTTGTTTCGTGCCCTTGCCATGGCCTTCTTGCTATTCTCCTTGTCCATATCAAAGGCCAAAGTGCCTTTCTGTTGCAAGGTTTCCATCTGTTCACATTTCCTCTTCTTGGTGAGGCAGTCGGCAACCATCGTTTGGTTTCCACCCACATTGCTCGGGTGGAGGCATCTTTTGGTACATGATCCCATAGAGTGGGTCGCCGTTTTCTTCACCAGGTTGGCACCATAGAACTTGGCGCAAGTAGCTAAGGTCAATGGCCAACCTCTTGTCACCTGTGGTTCCGGTTCCAGCTTGGTGTAGGTGGGCTTCCAAGCTTCGGCAGTCAGTGAACTGGTAGAGGTTGATGGAGTCCATAGCTGAAATCTTCCAGTCGTGCCCTTGGTGGTCATATCGTAGGCCATGCAGCACGCTCCGCAAATGCTCAGCTTAGTCCGTAGCACTGCACCATAGAGAGCGTTTCGAACTGCAAGGTGCTTCGGCAAACCGCCGGATCATGTTGGAGTGGTACTCAATGGGGTGCACCACGCCAGATCCATTCTTCACAAAATCAGATCCAGCCAGGCAAATCAGGCGGATCGATGTCCAAGGGTCTTACCAGACGCCGATTCTTCCGCATCAGCAGCATGAGAGGCATCGGAGATGCTCAAAACCACCGCCTGGTCAAAGTCAAAAGCGTCACACTTGTAGAACAGTCCAATTTCCGGCGTGGCCTGAACATGTCGCATCAGGCTGTTGCAGTCAATGAGATCCTGCACCACCGCCTTCTTCTGAACTGTCTGAAGGGCAGAGAGTTGTAGGCAATGTCAGGCCTCCAAACTCGAGCTACCCAATTCAAAAGCTCCCCAGAATGCTTCTCAGCTGGGTGATCTCGGCATCAGTCGCTGGTGCATCTCGATATTTTTTTCGAGACATAGTCAAAGGAATAGGCCGGAGCTTCGCTGCAGTGTTGGGGCAAGTGGCTGCGATCCCGTCGTCGCGTTGAGCGATCAGACGGCCGCACCAGGTGAAGCCATCACCGTCATCTCCCAAAGCGCAGCTTCTCTTGCATGTTCTTCATCACCTGTTGCAAAGAATCATCACCACACCATAGCAAATCATCAACGTGAGCAACCATGATTCCGGAAATGCCTCCGGATGAGTTGCGAAGCACGTAGGCTGCTTCTTCACGAGGAACAGCATTCAGCCCTTCCTCGCAGGCTGTCTTGTGAAGCTTCTTCCAGAATCGTCTTGGTATGTCTTGGTGCATCTCGGGTGCCATAAGCTGGTTTGTGGGGAATCATCAAACTGCCCTCTTCGACGCCTTCAATTCCATCTTTTGGAGGTGATAGGACAAGAGTCCTTGTGATGTTCTCGCCCTGGAGGAAGGCAGCCGTGATGTCGCCTTCCCGCAAACGCCATCGCTTCGAAGCAGAAACGCTCAGCACCAGGGAGAACATGGGTTGACTGCATGTTGGACTATCAGTCCTTGCATTTCCTTCAGCTTCCAAGTCTCCTCTCACCACAAGTCGCGCCTTGTGGCGGTCAGGCTCCCAAGGTTGGGACTTCAAGGTGTCGACCCAACGCATAGGAATGACTTCAGTATCAGGATGGGTCATGAGGTAATTTGGCAGCTTCTGTGGGTGACAAAACCGTCATGGCCTCGAAGTTGTTTCAGTTTGCCCATTCGCGGCTTCTGGCTTCCAACATCTTGGATTGTCGTGCATCATCTGATTTGTTGTAGTTGAGCTCCTTGGCACGAGCAGTGGCAGACTTCTTGGTCGTTATGCGTGCCAGAAAACCCACAAAGGCTCGTGCTTCTGGTCCATCAGGTAGAGCAGCAAGCTCATATCTGGGATCACGAGGTGGTGGTGATCGTGATCGTTCACGTCGTGATGCTCGTAAAGGAATGCCGTCCACTGCATCAAGTGAGTGATGCAGAGCTTGATTCAAAGGTGTAGATGCCCGATTTCCCAATGGTGTGTCCACACGTGTCGGCGGGACAGCCTCCAGCTCAGGCTCATCTGTTGAGCTGTAGATCTCAGTCGCTTGGTCTGATCCAAGCGTCAAGCCAGGTGGAACAGGGATATCTTCCATGGCATCATGGTCATTGTCCAATTCCTCAGGGAGTGGAACATCCACATGTAGATCACGTCCATCCATGAGAGCAGACTGTGCGGGCTCTTGTGGAAGGACTGGAGTCTCAGGTTCTGCAGGTTGTTCTGCAGGCGCTTCAGGTGCTTGGGTTCCCAAGTCAAAGAAGGGAACCTGCTCGACATCTTCAGCGTTGTTGATTCCAGGAGCGCCAATCAAATCATCGGCAAAAGGATAGTTCATCTCATCTTTGTCAGGATCTAGGACTTCACGCCGATGTCTGCGCGAGGGGCGCAGCTCCAGTGCATGTTTGGCCAAGACTTCATTGCCAGTGGAATGTCTGAGAGATTCAATGCAAACAGTCTTTGACACACCGCCATGAATGATCCAAAGTGTTGAACGGCCTTCTTGACCTAGAACTGTTGCAGGACCATACCAGCGTCAATGGCTTGATCTTCCCTTTCGGTAAAAACAAACCAAATCACCAGCCAAGAAGGCTCCACGTGTTGGTGTGGTCTTCCGCAACATAGAAGCCAGCAATCTCTGAGAGGCATCGACGAAGGGAAAGGCCTTCGCAGCTTGTCGAAGTTGCATCTGTCTGGCAAAGGCTGCTTCTCCGTCAAGCACTTCTTGATGTGTGCCCAGAGACGCTATGAGTCCACTGAGGTCAAGGAGTCAACTTCCAGTGGTAACTTGCCCAAAGTCCTTTGGCTCGGTGTGAAACCACCGTGGTGAATGCGGCTGTTCTTGATGAAGACAGCCTCAGGAAGCAAAAGTTCAAGAGCTCGTAGTCCAGTCAGTTGCCTTGCTTCCACAACATGTTGTAAAAGATGTTTGAGGATGCCCCTTGCTCACCTCGCCCAAGTTGGTGATGAGCTTCAACGCCAATGAAACGCATCTGCACGCCGTGGTAGGTCAACAGCTCGGAGAAGCAACCACGGTTGTGCAATCCACGGTCAACTATGATTGACTTTGGAGGACCAGCCCAATTCAGCCAAACTCGCCGAAAAACATCGGCGCATGCTCTCGATGAAGGAGCGCCACCCTTGTCAGAGACAATCTCAGCAACATGGTCAAGGGCCCCCATGTCAACTATGGAAAGGGTGGTGAAGCGACTGCCCTCAACATCTCTGATCTCAAAGCAGTCCACCGCAATCTCCACATTGAAGCGATAGTCGCTTGGTGGGCGTGTTGCTGGTCGCGGAGCAGGCTTTTTGCGCTCTTCACATGCTGGGCAACGAAAGTGCTTCAAGGCTTGATGACCTTCGGCTCTCCTCCAGACGTTCGTAGAATCCGTTGCATGGAGGACACAGAGGAATGCCCAGTCATAGTCATAATATGTCATAATGTGCAACCTTCTCACAGCCACACGGGTGGACATTGGGAGCTGACGCCAGGCAGATCGGCTTTCTTGTAGCTTTTGACTTTCCAAAGCTTCTGCTTGTTCTGGCGATTCTTCTCGTGGCAAAGTCGAATGGCCACATCTTCAGGAGTCTCGATGAGGTCAAGAGTGCCGTGGGGAAGGGCGCTGGGGCGTCGTCATTCACAAGAATGTCTCCCTCCACAGCCTCAGCAGGAAAAGCAGATCTCGTAAGGTGATTGTCGAGATCATGCAAGATGTGAGTGCAAAACTCCTCAGTCCATGCTTGAGCATGTTTGCATCTCTTCCCACCTTCCAAAGGTTCGTGAAGATGATCTTTGCTGCATTGGCCAGCCTCTTTTGCAAAACGCTTGAAGGTCGGAGAAGCGGTCACCAAGCCAGTGCGCTTCTTGTGCAAGAGGCCAGAGGTCTTGTCGCGGAGGTTGAGGCACAAAGACCCACATTGATCTTCTCAAGCATCTCTCCGGTGATCTGGTCGTAGTGCTCTTCCTAATTCAAGAGCTTGTCCATGTCATTGGTGTCCCAGATCGCCAAAGGAGCTGGGATCTCTATGAAAACTTGTCGCCCTCGTTGAAGACGTGATCTTGCATGACCGCACATCCACTTGATGACAGGAATCCATTTTTTGGGATCTTCCAAGATCTTGAGCCGTGTATCTTCTGACCGTGACATGTTCATGTTCTGCCAAGGAGACCAGGGGCCACAAACTGGGGCAAAGGTCAGAAGATATGGATCATCTCGTGCAATGCGCTCAGCAGCCGCAGCACGTCCAGCAGGAGTTGTGGTCAAACATTGGGTCATAGATCACGTCAATGGGCTCACTGGTTGGGTATCCATAGGCATAGTGCGCAACGCTGGTCAGCATGGCACATCCAGCGAAAATCTATGTAAATCTCCATGAGGAAGGCTCGCAGCCATGTGGAAGGCAAGGACGCCTTCGCAAGTACTTGGGGCAAACTTGATTCCACATCAGTTTGTCCTTCTTGGTCACCACATCCACATTGGCTTTGATCTTGTTGGCTTGCCCTTTGGACATGGCATGCACCTTGAGCTCATCATAGGCCAAGTATCCCAAAGTGTGCTCCTCAGCAGCGGGGTCTGCGCCACAAGCGTGATCTGCACATGAGGTGTGATCATCCGCCGTCGTAGGATCTGCACCTGTGGGGTGATCATCCGCTGCCTCGTCCTGAAAATCCAAAGGACGGTCTGCTGATGGGTTGCAAAGTCCAAGTCCAGCAAACCCACCAGGGAGGAGGCGAAATCCATAAAGTCCATTGTGGGATACAAGTTCCAAATCTCCACCAAGTGCCTCGCTGTGAGCCATGGCACGGTTGAGGTCCAGCACAAGTCCAAGCCGACGCTGAGCCTCAAGGATCCTCAAGGGAAAGCAAAAAAGTGGGGCGTCAGAACCTTCAAGTTCGACGCTGTGGAGAGTGCCTTTGGCCAAGGTGCCATCAGTGAGCTACAGGCATAGATCCAGAACTCGTGAGCCAGCAGTGGCGGTGATGCCGCCAATGCCACGAAAACCACCAGCGCCATCAGGTAGAAGTTCAGGTTCAGCTTGATTGGTGGCCTTCAGGCAGCGCTTCAGCCAGTGCGCACCATGACAAGTCGTGTTGCAACCAGTGTCCAGCACGGCAATGAGGTCGCGCTCTGAGCCATCAGAAACGTGCTCAGAGACAGCCATGTAGCCAGTCCTTGTAGGTCGTAGAGGAAGGAGTTGCCGCATGGTACATGGAGCGCTCGCCAACAGTGAAGAGCTTGCCGTGGATGCCCTCGTACGTGCCAATCTCCTGGAAAAGGTTCTTCAAGGAGCGCATGTCCCTTGATGACTTGTCGTCGATGGTCTCAAGCACCCACTTGCGGTAGTTGCAGTCCTCGTAGGCCTGGTAGCATGGGTTGTTCTCGTACTTCCCACCGCCAACGTGCAAGACAGCACGCTCCCGCAGCACACGTCGAGTGCCTTGGTGAGTGACAGGGTCAGCTCGTACAGGCGCATAGATTGGAGTCCTCACTGGAGATGGTTGTGGTTCACTTGAGGCTGCATTCACCATGGCAAACTTCCGCTAACCTCCAAGACAGTGCCAAAGCTTCAATCAACGTCCTTGAGCTGATGGTGTCTCCAGGTCCAAGTTGTGAAAGCTTCAGCTCGACCGCATTCTGAAAGGATCGCACTGCACGAGTCGCTTCATCAGCAGTGAGCTCACCTCCCAGGAAATCAGCAACATTTGAGGTCATAGACTGTGGCGTCTTGAAGGAATCAGCAGGGCTTGGTTGAATCTCATGCACTCGGCCGCACATTTCTCCATGTCCAACTTCTCCAGGTGGTAGATTGACCCACTGAGGGCGGTTCTCAGCTGGCACCAGTGAGTCATGTGCTGGTACCAAAGCATCATGAGGAACATGTTCATGAGGAGGTTCATGTAGAGCATGTTCATGAGGAGGGCCATGTAGAGCATGTTCATGAGGAGGTCCATGTAGAGCATGTTCATGTTGTCCTGTCAGGGATGAAGGTGGAGGCACCGCATGAAAGCCTTCACCACGTAGCGCCATGTAGCCATGTGAGCCACCTGCTGAAGTGGGCTCATGAACTGCGAAGTATGCAGTCCGTGGCTTTGCTGGTGATCCCTTTGATGCCGTAGTGCTCGCCTGTGATGAACTGCTAGTTGATCCAGGTCGAAACTTCCCTTAGCGACCACCTCCCTTTGATCCTGGGCATTGGCCGTCACCACTCCAATGTCCGACATCTCCGCATCTTCTGCATGTAGTTCGTGACTTCAGGGAGGCAATCTTGGCTTTGCGCCCTTCCAAGCTGAGGCTTCCAGAAACTGAGAAGTGCTTTGGGCCAGAAGGTGGAACACGAAATCCCTTGCCCTTCTGCGCAGCACCCTTCTTGACGAAGTAGGCTTCGTACTCAGCTTGAAGCACCTCAGCAGCTGCTTCAGCGCTTTCAGGATCATCCATATCCACTCCATCATCCACCATGAATCCGATGTGCTCCTCAATGGGGTTGATCTCGTCAGAGACGTAGGGCTCTTCAGGCTCATAGATCTCTTCAGAAAAGTCCTCAGAGTAGGCCTGGTCGCGCTCTGCTGTCTCATCGGCATAGAAAGCACCATGCCACTTGCCAGATCCTTTGCGGTTCTGCTGATATCCATAGAAAGGCTTCTTGGGGACAAAGTTGCGTGACTTCTCACGCTCATGCCTGGAGTGTTGAGCCACCAGTTCATCAGCCACACGGTCGAAGGTGATGTTCCCCTGCAGAGCCGTTCTGACAAGCAGTTGATGGTCAGCCGAAATGTTGGCTGAAGACAGCAGCTGGTCCGCCAGCACAATGTCAGGCAGCTTCATGTCATCCGACGTGTCCACCAGGCATCGGTACCAAGTGCGACGCCGGAGAATGTAGGAGGCCAGAGGCCATCGTCTCTCCATTCTGCCTAGACAAAATGCCATGTGGAGCCGAACCAGCAGCATAGAGCTCTCGAGCTTGCTGTGCACGGCGAGGCTTCAGTTCCTTCTCAAAAGCTGCCAGAAGCTTTTCAACTCCAGCTTCAGGCTGGCTAAGTTCACTGAAGTCCATGGTTTGGGCCACACGCAAGGCTGTGCCGCTGAGGCCCTCGACTAGTGCCGCTGAGGCCCTCGACTAGCCTCAAGGCAAGGGGACCAAGCTTCTTCCGCTCATCGTCAGCTAGGGCTTTCTCCTTGAGCTGCTTGGCCTTCACCCTGAACACATATTCAGTCAATCGTGTTGGCTCACCAGTGAAACGGGGAATTCCAGCTTTTCCTTCCGTTCCCATCTGCGCTGACTCGTCTTCAGCTATGCAGTTCGGCCATCGCAGAGCATCTAAGAGCGCCGACATGGCCGAGGCACCGGAGTTGCGCAAGGAGCGCTTGCATTTGGCCCTTTGGCCCTTGGAGCTTCTTTGCGGCTCCGCTACCAGTGCAAAAGCTGAAGCTTGCACTGACGCAGAGAGACACCTTTTTAGCGCTTGCGCGGCTTGAGCCACGGTAATGTGGCGGAGTTGATACATCCTGGTCTGTGCTGGATGCAGGCTGTGCTGTCATGTTATGACATCTGTTTCCACAAAATGAATTCAAATCTTTGCAAGGGAGGAGTTTGAACGAATAGGCTTGTCAATTATGTTCCCGCCCCCGCACTCTGGCACGGATATCCTCAAAAGTAGCATAGAGTCGCACAACCGAACAGTGACAGAGGAAAGTCAGCCTTCAAGGGCAGGGAAGCTCGTCGTGGCAACCTCCGTCATCAAGTCATGTTCATTTTGATATTGAGTACGACTGGAAAGGCTTCCCATCTTCCCACAAATGCATACAAATGCAACGGGCAAACAGTCCACAGGGCCTTGGGCTTGGCACACGATCTTGACCTGATTGACCTGTCGAAGTATGTCGGAGTACTCAGAACATCTCAGAACTAGTCCTGTAGCTGCACTGTAGCTGCAGCTGCATCTTCAGCTGCATCTTCTGCGCAAGTCTTCAATTTTTCTCGGCCTTGTGGCACTTCCAAATTCTGCCCGCGGTGTCCAGTCGTTGCCTGCGCAATTTCCAATACACAGCCGGCTGCTTCATCACAAACTTTGCAAATCTTCGCAGTGCCAGGGCCGCTAGGCGTCTTGCACAGTTTTGCAATGGCCTGACTGAATCACAGGCCTCGGCCGTGAGACGGTTGAAGCCTTGCCTGGATGCTGCTGGGGATGTCCCTGCAAGCACTTGGCAATTGCGATGTGCAAACTACATCAAACTACAGCATAGCCTTGTATAAATGTGCAGAAGCATCATATCGTATCATATCATATCGTATCATAATCTACTGTTGCTCAGTTGAACAGCAATGAAAATCTCCAGTCCTGTGGGGCTTCCTGCTGGTGTCCGTCCATCGCCTGAAATCAAAAGGTATAGGCAGCGACTGTCCGTCACAATGTATTGGTTGAAGTCCGCAAGGTCTCCAGGAAAACATGGTGAACAAATAAGTACAAACCAGCTGAGTTGTGGCTTCTGAACATGTTGTTCGTATGAAGATATCTTAAAGATTCTTAAAGAAATCAGGTCGTTCCACATTGGTCGCAATGGAAAGTTGTATTCTGATCGCAGAGTACTTTCCAGCTTTGAGAACAAAAACAAAAGCCCGACTTTAAGACTTTTCGTTTCTGGAGGTTCAGAAGAGGTCATCACAGAGCTGCTGTCTTGTGGCATTGACATGCTTCACTACTGCACTCACATATCACCACAGTGCTTCATCACAAAATGATCACATGATCTCCACATCTCTGAAGATTTCCATCAATTTCACGGAACACCTGGGCTTGGCGGAACATCTCCTGACATCACGAGCGCGACAAGAAGATATCTTAGGTAGGAATAGCATTCGGAATAGCATTCGGAATAGCATTCGGAATAGGATGGAATAAGTTGAATTCTAGTAGGTTGGATACATAGTAAAGAACATCTTGCCGATGATGTCATAAATTTGACCAAGGTCCATTTATAAACTTGACTAAAGTGATGAAACAAGTTAGAAAGGGGTGACCTTCTTCGCCATCATCGTCTTGCACTGGTCTTTCAGCCTTTGCCGCTGAAAGGATCATGGGAATCAAAGAGCATCAAAGAGCACAGGGGCTAAGAGCATCGTTCGCTTTCACATGGTGTACATGGTGTGACACATGATTTCAGTAATGGTTTCAGTTGCTTGAATTGAAACCATGCGAGTTTCCCACGATTTCCCACGAGGATTGGAAAGGTTTGGCATGATTTGGCTAGACCGGTGCAGAGGCACGGCCAGTTGCCCGAAGGCCGAGGCTAAGCTTCGAGCGACCCGAACCTTCCTGATTGCTGACAGAAATTTTGAGGCTGTCTTTCCAACCACCTCTGCATTTCCACTCTCTGTGACCAAGCCAGCTTTTTTGGCCTGAAAAGAGCACAGCTAAGGTGTCTCATGGCTGACAGTGCCGCAGCACCTCAAGATACCTCAAGTGAACTGGAACAACCTCCATCCTGGTTATGCTGCCCGCAAGGCTGCTTCACATCAGTCATTGCCTCTGTGTTCCGAGGACATTTGGGATATTTGGGACCATACAGTAGTAGGGCTCCAAATTGGCTATGTGCTCTAAAACATCTCTAAACATAGATGCATAATTATCATTGATGTTATGTAATTAATGTATAATATATTTTACATATATATAAACCATCGAGCATGTTTCCACCAATTTCATGTCCGAAACTGCTTTGATTGGCGGCCTCCTGAGTCAGCTCACTTGCTTTGGAGGCCCTGCACAACAATGGAACTCACGCTTTTACAAAAACTGTGCAGTATTCATTCAAAAGATTTCAAAAGGGACAAACAAAACAAAACATTGTGGACATCTGTGCACTGTGGGCCTGAGGAAGGAAAGAACCTGATTCAACACGGAAAAAATATCAAAGAAGAATTGAAGATTTGTATCAAACTGGCACTACCGCTGCGATCAAAACAGTTCAGCGACCTGAGATCTAAACATGTGCAAAGCGCTTTGCAACATCTCGCTGCCTTTCCTTCAAGGGGCCACGCTCAGGGCTGTCGCTTCTGCTGCTGCTTGAGAATCTTTGTGGAAATTCGGAGACTAGCTGACTAGCCCATGAATCCTGCTACAGTCTGACCTCAAAGGGAATACAAGTGGCATTGCAAAATTTCACACACTAGGTTTGGGTCTATCTATTGAGTGATCTTCCAAAATGGCAGAGAACATTGCAAACATGAGCAACGTTCAGCTTCCTACCATCTCAGTCTGCTGCAGCTCATAGCTGAGTGGCCATGGTGTCTGTTTTCTTGGCAAACGTATCAATATGTATCAATAAGATTCAAAAAGACTAGAAACCGGTTCAGTAAAGTGTCAGCATGCGACCCTCAACCGTCCTCGTCCTCAGCGCCACTGAGAGCGTTTCGTCTATTTCCTGACAGTTGCATGTCCTGCCACGTCCTGGGACAAGGAACCCTACCAAAAACAATGCACTCACAGAAAGAAAACAAACAAAATCAGAACAAGAAGGATGAAAAAAAACATGAATCAGTACATCATCATACTCCTCGCACCCCCACACATCCGCACCAGCATGATTCGTCGTGGACCAATCCTCACATCCTCCTCCGGAATCTTCTGATCCTCCTCTTTCTCATCCTAATCCTCCTAATTCATCATCATTGTCATCATCATCATCATCATCACCATCATCATCATCATCAGCAGCAGCAGCCCTAAAATCGCCTTCCTGCAGGCAATGGCACTTGTAGTAAATACGTACAATATCGTACACTAGAAGTCAGACTGAGAACCGTTGTCACCGCAACGACCTAAAGATCCAACACCGAGTAACACCGATAACAAGTCAGTCTCTACGAGCAAACGAAGTGGATTTCAAAGCCCTGAGACCCTGAGAGCCTGCGCATAGCATTGACCTTGGCGGACAGCATGGACAGAACCCCTTGAAACATGCCACACCATTGCCACACCTAGTTCCTGCATTCCTACAACATACAAATACATTGTACGATATTGTACGTATGTGACGTGTATGCGGATGTATGTCATGTGGATAAGGATGTCTGACAATGCTGCAGTATGCTGCAGTATCTGAAGACTCTATATAAGACGTTTGAACATATGCACAGACTTGTTCAGCAATGTTCAGCAAGCGACCTGAGACTGTCTCTTCTTGATCTCTGCTTTGAGCTCCTGGGTCGATCACAAGTCAAGGCGTCAAGACACGTCAAGACGCGATTCTTTCTCAGCTTTCTCCGAAGACAATAACCCTCCACTATATCTCCCATCTATCAATGTCTGTCATGTTTCTTTCAAATCCTGGCTCCGTGGTCATCACATCTTTTTCATCTCGAAATCTCGTCAGATCATCGTTTTGCCGGTGCCTTGACCTCAATGGAGTCAACCTTCTTCTCGGATTGAACATCCTCACAAAGAAATGTCTATGCCACATGCCATAAACCAACACAGTGTCTCACATTTCCACCAAGACAGAGAGAGAGAGAGAGGTAGACAAAAAAGGGTTGTCATCATCTTGATTTTGATTTGCATCGATTTACATTTTGAACGTCCATGATGCGAAGCAACTTGCCTGAGTTCAACCAGGGAAAGACCGAAGACTGAAGCTACTCATTCGCATTCATTGTGACTCGCCTCTGATGACGTGAAAAAGCTCGGTCAAGAGTCAAGAATTAATAACAAATGACCCATATTCTGGTTGAAGAACCCACAGCCCGCATGGTTGAATCATGAAAGATCATGGAAACATGCCGCAACAACCGGCTTTGTATTGAAAAAACTCTTCAACATTCTCCAATTATGAACTCTTTGGTCGTGCTCGCTTGTGCAGTTTGCATTCATATGAAATATTCGCTCCTTTTTGAGAAGTTCCACGACACCACCGGAGTCCATGCTCTTTACTCGCCGAATCTTTTCTTCAATAGATGCCATCTCCTCTCAGCTCTTTCAGCCACGTCCCGCTTTGACATTGAAACAGATTGAAACATGGTCTCTTTATCCCTCATGATGTCTCTTTAACATAAGCATCACATGGGGTCACATAGGTGCGTAGAGTCCCCTCAGTTTCGTTAATTGCAAACTGCATGCAGAAATCGTCACTGCCTAGCGGATTCAAAGCACACGCGCGCACACACACACAAGCAGAAATACACGCATATGGCATAAGTTCAACAAAGGCAGCATGGACATCTCTGCATTAGCTTGAAGTTGTTACAGTAGGAACCAGTGGCTTGAAATATGGCTGCTTCAGCCGCTTAGCCTGTAGATCGCTGTCTATTCGTCTAAGGTCTTCATATTATGTCTTCATGTGTCGTGACGTCCTTCTCATAACCTTCTTTCTCCGCAGCCAACTGTTGGCAGGCGCTTACCAATTCCTGGAGCATCTGAGTCATGAGCATCACAAACTTCACCAGTCAAATGAGGCAAATGCAACCCAATAATTCAGACATTGAAGACATTTCAGGGCCCTCCAGAAATACAAGACTAAGTTTATTTTAGTCTTCATACAGCAGAATCAAACCCAAACCTTCTGACTTTCGTTGAATTCAGGAGACGAAAGGCCGGAGAATGCAACCCTCACAGCATCATTAAAGCCACACAGAAAACCTTGTCGGTGTGACAAAGGTCAAGCTGCTCCCCCACACGAAAGCACCAGGATGTAATGGCGAGTCGCTGATCCAGGGATGGGCTTTAAGATGCTTTAAGCAATGGTACAAGTATCACATGGTATCACGACAGTCAGCAAATGTCATCCGTCATCATTTTTTAATAAATCAAGTTGTCTCAATATTCCAAAATATACCAAATATGTGTGACTTGCACCAGGACCAGCCCCTTGCACCCAGCGCCAGTCATGGAGTTTTAAAGCGCTCTGGTCCTTTTGCTCCTGGCTGTGGGGCTGGGGGATGTGGCAGGATGTGACAGTATGTGGAGGCGGCATCGCTCAACGTTACTCGTCAACGTTACTGTCCGCTGTTTGGCACTTGAACTGCGCCGTGGCTATACGCGTGGCAGCACTTAGTGACGGCATGTGACGGCTAGTGTTTACAAGTGTTTACATTGTTCAGAGTTGCTGTGCTGGACAATCTTGTACAAAACCACGCGTGGCAGGCGGCAGAGTCAAGATGTATGAACCGAAGCGTATTTTTCTTTCCTCATGCGCAGTGCGTCGTAAAAACATGACAAATGTATACAGTAAACGCTGTACACAATCAGACAATAGCAGACCCAAAACACAATTGCTGTAGAAAATCTGCCTAGAACAAGTTTAGACAACTTAACTGGCGCAGTGGGTGAAACTGCCACTCCTCCGTTTCCTCTTGCGGCTTCTCTACACCTCCGTTGAAAAGACATGAAAGGACCACTGGGGACCTGTCTCATTCTCTGTCCAGGTTGCGGTGATCGTCTCCCAGTCCTCTATCTGTCGTGATTCTACAGTGATTCTTGGCCCGGTAAACATTTCTCCAAAGTCCAAACTTGCTCAAAATGCTCTCTCTCTCTCTTTCTTTGCTTTTCAAACGCATTGAATGTCAACGAACAAAGACGCTGACTTCCTCGACGGGGTGCCTGGGGCAGAATTAAAAAAGACTCAACAAATACCACGACTGAGATACTCCGCGGATGAATCACTGAATCAAAAGCATACAGCTTCAAATACTGTTTACTTCAGTTGACCTTATGCATAGACGATTCACTGAAAGCTACTAGACACAGCTCCTTGCTAGACAATTGGAAGCGAATGATGTTTTGCGCACTTGAAAGAAAAATTCTGTAATATGTATGAATACAATGGAAGATATGGAAGTCAACAGTCTTGTAGGTTTGATGTATTTTGATGTGCTTTACAAGTAGCATGCGTTTTACTTCTGTCCCGATTTTTCTGTCCTTTGATTGTGTCTTTGCCAAGGTGCAAGTGACCTTCGAGACTTGGAGCCTCGAGATGGACTACCACTAGGACTGGAGACGGGCTCAAGCTGCACCTGGGACCTCGTGAAGCGACGCAATTTCGAATCGCTTGGATTCCACGTGCATAAGATGACAAAAATATACAAAAATGATAAAAGGATACAAAAGGATTAAAAAAAACTACAAAAGTTTCAAGAAACAAAACAACCAAACACTTTGTTTTGGGTTCGCAATGATCATCATGGATTCATAGTCAAGCGAACAATTGCACACCGAGGCTACGAAACCAACCCTATCGTCCCTATCCAATTTGGAAAAATAAAAATCAAAAAAAACCAGGCCGGCCAGGCCTCGACCCGGGTGTGACTGCACCACTCTGGTCTCTGTCAATGGGTTTCGGAAGAATTCCTTCTCCTTTTGGACCAGACGACTCCTGTTTGGCCGCCGAAGTTCCTGCGGAGCAAAGCAAACAATGGCAAAGATGCAAGTAAGATGCGGAGAATCAATAAGATAACTAGCAAAAAAACAAACAAGACCAAACAATATCAAACACAAATCAGGATCAAACAACATCAAACAACGTCAAACAAGATCAACAAAATCATTCAGAATCAAACAAAAACACATAGGATCAAATTGAAATCAAACAAGATCAAATCCGACCAAACAAAATCACATTCAAAGGAAACAAGCTGGGATTAAGTAAGATCAAATTAAACAGGATCAAGTAGATTCGATCAAATACTGCAAGCATCCGCATTGGATTTACACAAATATAAACATATTTTCCGACTCAGGCGAGATATCCCATGTTCTGGCTGGCCTTGTGCCAAAGGGACTGGAGCATTCCTTGGCCGTCAATGAAGTTGAATCAAACTGCTTGTTCCAGCAGAATATACAAAGGAATAGCAGTGAAGAGAATATCCGCCGACCCCACGGAACCAGGGGGAGCGTACCAGAGAATCAATGCCAGAAGGAGAGTTTCAGTGAAGGGGAAGGAGGAAAATATTTGAAGGCATGAAGAGCAAGAAGGAGCAAGAATCCGCCGACCCCAGCTTGCAGCAGGGGGAGCGCATCAGAGAAGACATTACAAGCAGCAAGCACAGAAACAGAAGCAGAAGCAGAAGAGGGTCATCAAAAAACTAGAAGAAACAAAAAGCAAGATCACGAAAAACACAAGAGGCGAGAGAAGAAAAGAAAGCAAGAGATGGAAGAAGAAGCACCTAATTGCAAGAGCAGAGAGGAAAAGAAAGCAAGACATGGAAGAAGAAGGCCAGTTGCAAGAGTAAAGCGGGGTCAGAGGGTCGTTAACAGGGAGCAAGACATGGAAGAAGAACGCAAGTTGCAAGAGCAAAAAGCTCGAAGAAGCAAGCGGCAAGAGGAAAGCAGCACGAGCAAGAAAAAGAAGCAAGAGGTAAGAGAAGAAATACGAAGCAGAGCGCAAGTTGCAAGAACAAAAAACTAGAAGAAACAAGCAGCAAGAGCAAGAAAAAACAGCAAGAGGCAGGAAAGCTTCATTTTAAACATTTTGCAGCTTATTGTTTTGGAGGCCCGAGAGCAGCCTTTTGGAGCTTGTTAAGACATGTTAAAGTGTTAAAGCTAAGGCCATTGATAATCTGACAATATCTGACATGCTTATGTGACAAACTCTTGACCATCTTCATCTCTGAGCTGAGGAGCTTCAGCGTCTCCAGCAGCTGCCGCAGCTCCTCAAAGCACTACGGAATGACAACGACATAGCAACATAATGTGGTCGAAAGTGGTCGAAACACATCGGAACTATTGAAGTACAACGTGGCATGCCTGGCATGCCGCATAGTTTCGAAATGGATCGAAATGTGTAGAATAGGCTGCTCACATCTACTCAGTGCCTTGACTGAGTTCGAAAATTCATTTTGAAAGGTCCACCATGATCCAGTGCACTTGGCCACTTTCTCAAGATGTACAACGGTTTGAAGATACGTGTGAAGGTTTGTTTTATTGATGTCTATGGATCAGTCTGCGGGTACAAGTAGCTGCCATTTAAACTCAGATCGCTTTGGACGTTGGCTCCTCAACTTCTTGAGCAGCGACTTTGTTCTCCTCAAAACAATTGTAAAACCACTCATTGCAGAGGAGATTTCCTGACATGCTCTAGAGTCTAAGATAGCCTAAGTTTTGCAATTTCTCTCTCTCTCTCTAGCTAGCAACTAATGCGGCAAAAAAAACCTGCATCTCAAGTCCATGTGCATAGTCTCCCGCATGCTCAGCATGCGGAGCAAAAATCCAGCGCGCTTGTCGCAACACCTCTGAACTAGCAGCCTTGCTATCAAATCCGCAGCAACGTGCTTCTAAGATCTTCTAAGCCTACGCCTACAGAGTTTCTCTGTTGGTTTCAAAGTTGGCCCAACTACAACTCTGTGAATGTAGTAGAAACCGATACAGTAGAATCCGAGAGAACGCAATAGAACCTCGAGTCGCCGAGTCGGAGACGAATACTGTGCTGCCCCGTCCCTGCCCCAATCCTCCAGTTGTTTAGCGAGGGCATCATCCAAATGATCTGCTTCTTGTCGGGTGACGCTTGCATGACGTCTCACCTTCACCTCGTTGGTGGCGCTTGAAGCAGAACCGCTATCATCTGCGCTTGAGTCACCACCTGCAGCCAGCTTCAAATGGCTTCAAACTTTGCTTCAAACTGCTAAACTTTGCTCTGCAATGCTCTGTCTACGCTCTGTATGTCAAGGCTGTTCTGCTGCTTCGAGTTTCTGCAACACATGCACAGCTTTGGCCCAGCCTGCTGTAGGACCCATGTCAGTACCTGCCCCTGGTTGAAGCAATTCTCCCACATCTGGTGTTTCCTCCACAATGGAGACGTCTGACTCAGAATGAACTCCATCGTCTCTTTGGACGGTGCCATCTGTTTGGTTCACTCTTCTCCAAGAGGGATTTCGAGACGCCTGGATTCCGCCGGATGGTGGAGCTGGCGGAAGCAGTGGATCGATCCTTTTCAAGAAGGCATGAGGAAATATGTTTGAAAATTAAACCTGCACATTGAAAACATGTTTTGAATTCAAAGAGATAGACATATCATATCAAATTAAAAGGGACCTACATCAAGACATACAATCATACGTCCAGTTGTCAAATAGCTTTGGTGAGTTTCGTTGATATGTCTTGTCCGGATAAAAAAAAACATCAGTGGACTTCTCGGCATTGCTTCAAGGCAACACAAGGCTACTGTCTTGCACCTCAAGGCGTTCGGCTTTCGAACGTGGTGAACCTCCAGCAACTTGAGGATCTGGTGCAAAGCCGTGACCTGGATGGCTCCATGTCTGAAATCGTAATGTAGAACCGCATGACATGTTATGAAACATTGTGAAACACAAACTCAGTATCAATCAATACCATACAATGACGGTCAATAGCAGTTGACATCACTTCAATTCATCATGCGCCATGGCCATGACATGCCCAATCCCGTTCATCCCGTTCATGTTAAGAAATGGATAAAAATAGAACAATCGCCATCGCCTGGGCTCCCTTGAGGAGAGCCACCAGCTGCCTTCCGGTCACATTGTGCCCACATAAGTCACACAAGAATCGCTTGACACTCACACATGACACAAAACAACGCATCTGGTGTATGTATATAATATTATATAATGTATGCATGCTGTATGATGCTGTATGTATGTGTATGTTGGTGCAGAATCAACTGGTAAACTTGGCCTTGGATTCGATTGCTCTTAATTGCTTCAGCTGGCGCTTTAGAGCTGCTTCCTTGGGAAAAGTGTGCTTTGCCACAAGGAACCAAAACTGGAGCTCAACGCAACTATCAAAGCATTGCAAGCCTCCTCTGATAGTTGGGCGGCTACCACTTTCTGCCTGAACGCAAAGAATCTACAAACAACTCTCGCTCGGCATCCAAAAAACGGATTTCCAAATATAGCCAGTCTATCAAGTCTATCATTTTTCCAGTGCTTCGTCCAGCCTTCTACTTTTCTGCTTCAGCCACGCAGCCGATACCCCCTATACCAATCGACTCAAAACCCTTCCATCCTAATCCGTTGGTCTCGGATTCAGGCTTTTCAGCTTCTTTTTCAGCTTCTGTATGCTCCTCGGACTGCAGCAGGCTTGCAGCATCTTTCTCCTGCTGAAACTTCGAGTTTCAGATGAGACGAACATTCAACCTCGCTCTACTTGCCTGTCTGCAGATCTTGAAGTCAACCCAAACTTCTTGAGAAGACATCGCTGTGTGTATCTAGGTATCTAGGTGCCAGTTCCACTCTTGGGGGTGGGTCATGGGAAGGCTCATGGTTGACGCGTAAGCAGCCTTGGGCGGGTCTCGGCCGATATTTTTCGCATCCTCTTCTTCTGTAGCCTCTCCACCCCTGCTTTCACCTGCGGCTCTTTTCGAAGAGCTTGTTGACGGAAGGGCTCATCCAAACTCATTTAACAACGCAACACATCATGTCATAGGAAGTGACACATTATATATATATATATGTATATATATATATGTATGTGCACATAAAATTCATATGTGCATATTGTGTGTATAAATATATATATATATCTACATTTATGTGAGTTTAGCAACTTGTCACTGCTGAATGCACCTTCGATTGTTTCCTGTCAGGGGGCAACACATTCATCATGTGCCTTTTGACTCGTGGCTCAAGGCCAATTTCAGCGAGAGAGGGGTAAAGATCTCGAGTGCCGCCATAGGATTGGCTGTGTGGTGAAGAGTGGACTCTTTGGGATTTGGTTGGATAGATATCTACATCTTTGGTGTTGTGGCCAACACTTCGGTCATTCATATCAACTACATTCTGGTGAACAAGAAGGACCTTGTATCCATTTTCAGGTGGGAACGGTTACCAGTGGAGTTGGGATCCGACCCAACGACACTGGCAGCGGAGCCAACAGGCTCGTGCTGCCAGCACTGAAAGCCGGTCCGCTAGTTTGTGGCTTCTCGAGTGATAGCAATGCAATGCCTTCAGCTTCAGGTACTGCCTCAACTGATGGGAACGGTGACTCCCAGCAGAGTTCCAGCTTTTGGAGTTTGCTGCCCAGTTTTGATCCAAGTGAAGATGACATACGAGAGTTTTCACAGAAAGCCAGGTTCATCCATGAGTGCAATGCCCGAGAAGGACAAGCCCAACTTAGTTCCCAGGTTTGCTATGTTGCGTAAGGGGACAGCTTGGCGCCAAGTGCGCCAGTTAGATCCGAAGAAGCCCACCAAGGCCGACTCAGGTGTGGAATACTTGTTGAAGGGCCTGTCAGCTTGGGAAGACATGTCAGAAATGAAGACATATGAACTTTTTGAACGACCACTTTACAATGTGTCAAAAATCCATGAGGCGTCCCACGGTTTCTCACTTCGCCTTCAAGCTGCATTCGATGAGATAGCTGATGATGTCACTGTCAAACAGATGCAAGCATTCGTGATGTTGAGACAGTCTGGATTGTCGTCGGAAGACAAGAAGAAAATCCTGACGATGACAAATGGTAAGCTAGATCTAACCGCAGTTGACCAGGCCATGAGGTCGTTGTCTACTCGCGTGTTGATGGGCCCTGGAGAGTCAAAGAAGAAAAATTACCCAATCAATTTCTCAGAGGTGGATGTGGAAGGTCCACGCTCCCCAGTCCGATGAAAGCCTTCCGGTTCATAGCACTTACGCTGCCTTCCATGAAGAAGAAGATGTTTTGACGTCAGAACATCTGTTTTGACGTCAGAATATCTGGACTACTTATTTACTTAGTGTCACAGGGAGATGAGGATGCCAACGTAGTGCAGCAGTTTGAGCGCGATTTCGCAGAGATGCTGCAAGAGACTCCTGATTTGCAACAAGCAATGGTCTCTTATCAAGAGGCCAGGCAAAGGATCACAGATCGCCGCCGGGGCCGCAGACGAGGGTTCTGGCCCACTGGAAAGTCAAAAGGGAAAGGTGGTCGAAAGTCTAGAAAGGATGAGTTGTTGGCTCAGCTCGCATTGCAAAAACGCATTGCAAGCTTTGCGGCGCCCTTGGGTCATTGGCGCGCAGAATCCCCACAGAAGAAAGATGCCCGTGAGACTGCCAACGTTGTCCAATCCGTGCCTTCCGAAGCATCCGATGCCGAATAGGAGACCAGCCAAGTGGTCTTCGAAGAGTTGAGTGTGAAGGAGCGCATCTGTTGTGAAACATGTTTGGTCACCGTATGCCACCGAAAGCCTGTGGTTCACATCCGACATGTTGAAGACATGAAATCCTTTGGGGTAACAGACAAGGTAACCAGGTGTATAAGCGGGGTAATCAAGGGTAAAGGGGATTCCCCATGTCAGCATAGACAATGGTCCGAAAAGCAACTCAAAACCAGAAGTGGTGATTTCTTCGCCTGGTTGCGAGGAAAATGCATCCGGGACTGACGAATAGAGCCGGTGGTTTTGTCAGCCAGAATCACCTAGATGCCATGCAAAGTCAAGGAATGGCCATACTGGACGCCGGTGCCAGTCGCAGTGTGATCGGACAAGACCATGTCCCCGCCATGCTCCAAAAACTGCCAGCCAGCGTCCGTGATCAAGTCGTGGAAAAGCCCAGTAGAGTAGGTTTTGGTTTTGGGAATAACCAAGTTGCATATAGCTTTAAACAGCTGCGCATCCCATTGGTGCACAATCGAATCCGAATCTGGTTGCTGATTGAAGCCGCACCGAAAGCCACACCATTGCTGTCAATCAAGACTATGAAGAGCTTAGGAGCCATGATAGACCTATAGGGCAGAACACATGTTTTCTCAAGACGCTTCAAAGGTCGTTGTACTGTACTTGAAGGAAAACAAGAATGGTTTGCTCATGATTGACACGGCCGACCTTTGCCAATCTGATGTCAAGTCCACTGCAGCAGCTTTTGTCGCATCAAGTGTCTGTGCCCCGCCCCCAAGTCTTGAAAGTGAGATTCCTGCCAGTCATGCCGACGCGCCAGGAAGTGCTCGAGGCTCTCCGCAGAGTGGCCGAGGAAGTTTTGGCCAGTCTGAAGCTAGCTTCCTGATGACCATGGTGTTCGCCATGACCAGTGTGATGAGCCGAATCTGGAAGCCACGGAGTTCCAGATGAACCCTGTGAATCAGCTGATTCACGAGGTGGCTCAGCAACGCCAAAAGATCGATCAGCTGGGGAGTTTGATTCAGACCCAGTTCCTGCAGAAGCCGCCTACAGGTCCAGGACCTACCGTGAGGCCGGGGAGTGTTCCAGGATCCGGAGATTTCGAGTGGCCGAGATGGTGCCATCCCAAAGTCAAGCTGCATCAACGGTGCCAAGCTCTTCCCAATCGATGCCAGCCGCGATGATGAATGCCAAAGCCTCCAACCAGCCTCCTCCAATGCCAACGAGGCAGCCAATGCAGCAATTGCCAATGACACCAAGTGCCCGTCCACCAGCCGCAGTGATGGGAAGCCCAGTGTCTTCTTACGCAGCTTCCGAGATTGGAAGCCCACGGTGACACATGCATCCCTCGAAAGCTGGGGAAATAAGATCGTCGGTTTTGGCAAGAAGCACCTGAGGTCTCGCTACGCACATGTGTGCGAGTCCGACCCGGGCTACATCAAATGGATCCTCACCTGGGCCGGCCGACAACCTCTCCGAGGATGCGGCGGATTTCGCAAGCTATGCCCGAGCTCGCAAGCAACTGGAACAATTGGCCAGCAATCAGGTCCCATGAGAGGCAATTGGGAAGGATTTCAAGAATCTAGGATGTCACATAGAACCAATTTCAAAGAAAGACAGCTGTTGAATGAGGCCGACAACATGTGCATGAAAAGTGTAACTACAAAACTGAACAGCTGGACATCCTAGAAGTGTATGCGTTCCGAACAGCATGTTGGCCACAGTGGCACAAGAACGTGGTTTGCGAGCGAGGAGGTTCACCTATGAAGAAGGGATCTGTCTACACCCACTGGAAGAAGAGCATTGTTTCATGTAATCAAGACGCAGAGACCAAAACATATTTGGCTTGCACCGGAATGCGGTCCTTGGAGTGCTTGAAACCGTTTCAACTCCATGAGAAGTCTTGCATGCCATGAACAGGTCATGAAACAACAACGTGCTCAAGAACATCTTGTTTTGCGCAATGTGATTGCTGAGATTCAACATGATGATGGTAGGCACACCCATCTCGAGAGTCCCAAAACCTCCGGCGTTTGGAAGCAGCAGGCGATCCAGCCGTTTTTGAAGCGTTCCATTCCTGCTCAGTTGGACCAATGTGCATTTGGCTTGAGACATCCGAGTGAACATCAGCTGATGAGAAAATCCACTCGCATCCAAACTATGTCGGTAGAATGGTTTCTGCTTTGGATTTTCGTGCTTGCAATCGTGAACATAACCACCGTCCCATAGCACAGGAAGATGTCAATGGAGGTTTGCTGCCATCCACGCAAGCAAGCCATAGCCGTTGTTCGTGGGATCATGCGAACATCCCAAGGCCCCTATGAGGTGCCAAGTTGCCAATGTTGATATAGAGCCACAGGGCCTTAAGAGGGCTCGCACCTTGCCTGGTGAAGCCAACGAACCACACGAAACAACGGATGTGTGGAAACCACTGTTTGAACTTCTCCAGAGAAAATCCCAAATCAGGTGTTGCCACATGGGAAGAGCCCCAAGCTGAGGTTTTCCAAGAAATTCGGAAGCTGTTTCCACATGAAAACATTGGTGCAATCAAGGCAGCCTAGATCGTCTTCTTCTGGGTGAAGAGGCTTGGAGAGATCAGCTGCCAAGCGGACATAGCATAGTGCAAAAAAGGTTCACTCATGAAATCTTCGACCTAGGACTGGAAGTTTGAAGTGAATTAACCCGGAAAAGAGCTTGTCATAAAGAAGTACCTAGGCATATAATGTTGCGCTTGTTTTCCAGAGATGATAGCCGACCTGATCATCCAAAAATCGAACCAACAGCAGGACTCCAGCTCCGGTAGATGTGCCCAGTTGGACTCCTTTGAGTGTCACAGTGTCAGGACCCAATTTCCAGAAGCTCAGCCGAAAGCAACCGTCTATGATTCGCAGAATCCACAACAACCTAAGAGATCCCACAGCCGAAAAGTTGTCCGACATTTGAAGAAATGCAAAGCACATGAACACTTAGTTGAAGGCGCTGCTGATTTTGTGTGTCCGTTTGTGCTGAGACACATCCACCGCAAAAGACCACCCCTGGTCAACTCAACGACCCTAAGGAATTCATGAGCGAATTCTTTTGGATGGGTTTGATTGGACCAGCAAAAGGTATTCAGATTTATGTATTTCATATCCTATAGGATGCCACTCGATTCAACTTAGGCCCTAAGGCCTAAGGATCACCAGAGACGCTCAAGAATCCATCCGAACGGTTGAAAAGATGTGGATTCAATGGGCAGGCTCACCACAAGAGATACGGATACTGCACGATCAAGGTGGAGAGTTCATATCACAGCCATGGCAGGACTTTTTGCAAGCCTATAGCATCCAGCCGGTGCTCACAGCCGCTCCGTGGCAACGCGGTCGCATCGAGAGGCACGGAGGTGTAGTAAAAGAAATGCTAGAAAGGATGGAACATGAGCAGAACTTCACTAGTCTAGCAGAAGTAGATGAAGCCCTCAGCCAATGCTTTCGAGCGAAAAACTCCATGGTAGTGAATAACGGGTATAGTCCAGAACAAGCTGTTCTAGGTAGAGCTGTTCAAAACTACCCCGCATCCGAACAGTTGAAGGGAAGTCTTGAATTGCGGACAGCCGCAAGAGCAGCATTCTGGCATCTGACAATCATGCAATTCGCAGAGCAGCATTGCATCGGTCACGAGGAGTGATACATGAAGTGCCTGTTTTGGGACAAACGAAAAGCTCCAAACATCTTGGAAAAAGGGCGATGGTGTGGTCCTGCACAAAATGTATGTCAAGAGTCAAGAATCATATGGATCACACACATGAATCGGTTGCTAAGATGTGCCCATGAAAACCTCCAACCAGTTTCCACGCCGTCATTCCAATGACATTCCACTTTTGTAACTTCAAATGCCCAGGACCAGCTTAAACAAATGGCCCAACGTTTACAAACCCAATTAAGAGAAAAGAGTGGCATGTTCCAATACTCCGATTTATCAGAAGTTGTTGCTCCGACAGAAGCAGAAACTTTAGAAGAAAATAGTGAAGGACCTCCGACATCCAGACAACCAGAGAAAGAACCAAAATGATGTTGAGATTCCTGACCAAATCATGCAAGACCCTGCGGTCGAAACGCCAGTTCCAGATTCACCGTTTTCTTCCAACAGTGGAGATATTGCTGAATCTTTGGTCCCAAGTCCCAGCCTGGCACAGTCCGCCCCGGACACTGCATCACTGGACACAGATCAGTCAGAAAATGAGACTCCTGATGACATGGAACCTGTGTACAATGCTGTCATCCTCGAAAAGAGTTCCGAAACGACAGACTGTGCTCATGATGATGGCGCGCTATGGTCTATGCCAGATCCCATCGAAGCAGCACGTGTGTCTTTTGAGCTTGAGATGCCAAAACAACAGTTTCACAGGTTCCTCAAATCTCCGAAGTAAATGCCGCAGCCCGGAAGTTTGGGAAAGAACTCGTGTTGGTGATTTGAGCCCCCAAAATAAAGAGAGATTCAAAAAGGCCAAATTAAAGGAACTGAATTGTTAGCTGGACACCCAAACGGTAAGGACCATAGTTCGGGATAAAATCCACCCCTCCAGAGTTTTAGCCTTAAGATGGATACTCACTTGGAAGGAAGATGAAAGCAGTGAAGATGGAAAGAAACCAAAGGCTAGGCTTGTAGTAAAAGGCTTCCAAGACCCTGACATTGAGGAATTTGCCTCAGATAGTCCCACTTCAACCCGAGATGGTAGGATGCTTTTACTGCAAACAGCCGCAAGTCACAAATGGTGTGTTGAAAGCTTTGATATGACCACCGCATTTTTGCGAGGTAGATCCGATCATCGTCAGCTAGCAATGGAACCCCGAAGGGGTTGAGAGAACTTCTGGGATTGGGGCAAAATCAGATTTTCTTACTTGAAGGAAATGCTTATGGAAGGGTAGATGTCCCTTTGTTATTCTACCGCGAATTTCGGAAAATGCTAAGAAGAAGTAGGATTCACCGCGCATCCCTTGGACAATTGTTTGTACTTGTTAAGAGACCTCAAAAATCCAAAGGTCCTCAACGGGATAATGACTAGTGGGTACTCATGTGGATGACGGTTTGGGGGCGGGTAACCAAAAAATTTAGCCATGCCCTGCAGCAACTTCAGAAAAAGCTTCCTTTCGGCTCTCATGAAAAACGGAAACTTCGTTTCACAGGACTTGAAATAGAACAATTGCCAGATTTTTTCTATCAAAGTTAGCCAAGACAAGTACGTTCAGAGAATAGCACTCATAGACATTCCCAAACCCCGTAGAGCAGAAATAGATAGCCCTACAACACCTCAGGAGTTGAATAAACTAAGAGGGATTTGTGGCAGCCACCAATATGCAGCAGTGCATTCCCGGCCAGATGTGGCTGCAAAAGTTGCACACCTGCAGAAAGGGATTACTAAAGCCACAGCGCAGACCCTGCTAGATGCGAATCGAGTACTGAAGGATATCCAAGAGTTTGCAAACACCTCTGTGATCGTACGTCCGATCCCTATGTCAGAGCTCTGTTTTGCAAGCTTGGGTGACGCAAGCTTTGCTTCGGCCAAACAGCTGTCAGCCCAGCAAAGGATTTTTATCATCGCATGCACACGGAAACTGGCAAACAATGAAACGACATATTTTTTCCCAGTTGCATGGCACACCAAACAGATTGGAAGGGTGGTCCATTCAGCTTTGAGTGGCGAGGCATACGCAATGTCCAGTTCTCTTGGCAAATTGACATGGATTAGGTGCATGTGGGGTTACATCAAGAATCCCTCATTTGCTTGGCATAAACCCGGAAAGTCTCTTTGTGCTGAACCCCCAGGGTTGATGATAACCGATGGTAAATTCTTAAAGGACTTAGTGATAAAAACTGCAGTACCAAATTGCCAGGAATGGCGCGCAACCATAGAAGTCATGTTGCTGAAGGATCGGCAGATCATACCCAATGCCGCTGGATCAGCACTGCTACCATGCTGGCAGGCTGTTTGACGAAGTCCATGGACTCAACCTTTTTACGCACAGTTTTGCAGTTGGGAATATTCAGAATCTATGATGAAGAAATGACCCTCAAACAGAACTCGAACCGGAAGTATGGTGTTGCATGGGTGAAGCAATCGAACACTGAAAATAGACCAATGTGAGTTTAGCAACTTGTCACTGCTGAATGCACCTTCGATTGTTTCCTGTCAGGGGAAACACATTCATCATGTGCCTTTCGACTCGTGGCTCAAGGCCAATTTCAGCGAGAGAGGGGTAAAGATCTCGAGTGCCGCCATAGGATTGGCTGTGTGGTGAAGAGCGGACTCTTTGGGATTTGGTTGGATAGATATCTACATCTTTGGTCTTGTGGCCAACACTCCGGTCATTCATATCAACTACATTCTGGTGAACAAGAAGGACCTTGTATCCATTTTCAGGTGGGAACGGTTACCAGTGGAGTTGGGATCCGATCCAACGACATATATATATAATGATATATATATAGTATATATGCAACATGTATCTGATATGGAACAACTTGAACAGTGGAAGTACTGAAAGTAATGGCGCTAGTCCTTCCAAGCTGCCAATTTCAGGATTGTCTGATGGCCTTGGCTGTGCACAAGACACGGTGCAGATCTGGGCAGCTTGCTCAGAAACATGCGGTGCGCGTTGAAGGCATGATTCTGGACAGCTGCTTGCGAAGCATTGTGTAGCATTGTCATACACTTTCACTGCTTCTTGAAAACATGAAAACATATTAAAAGGCTTTCTCAGATCTAAACCAGTCTTCCATCAGACTGCGCTTTCAGATGCAATGGGTTCCAACTGCGAACTAACTACGAATAGTTTGTTCCATAATATTCCGTATGCGGTCAGTGTGCATTTGAAATGCTAGTATGGCAAACAGCTTGCCCATGTGTTGTCACCCGCCGAACGCCCATCCGAGAAAAGCCGAGTATCTCATGCGTTTTTGGCTTGCGAGATTGAGTCAGCACTGCCTCAAGAAATGTCCCAAAGAGTGGCGATTCTCAAGTTGTTTGCTGTTTGACTGCAGTCAAACTGTTTCACATTCCAATGTGTTATCATGTGTCCACGCCGGCCTTCTTTTGGTGCATTGCGTCCATGGCTGCAAGCGCTTTGGTCAAGAGCTTCTCGAGGGCCTGCAAATTTGCCATGATAAAATTCATTTAAAAAAAAACGCATAGTTCATCATAGTTCCACATAATTACAGTACATGACAGTACAGATACTTGCGCTGGTAGCTTACGATGGTAGGTTGCACTGCCTGTTGCACGACATGTTTCGGCTACGACAAGCTGCATTATCTCGCCAAGTGCACAACGTACGACCTGCCCCAACAGTTCATTTCAAACCCAGCCTTCTCGTTTTTTCTGCGAAGTTCAGCCTGACGTGTGCCCAGGAGGCACTGATCATTTCCGCTTAATATGTTTGGGCGATGAACTTGGTTCGCAATTATTGGAATTGTCAATGCAAACAATAGTGATGGAAATAGATTGAAATAATATATAGATATAGACTACAGATGAAAATTCAATGAAATAAATAGAATAGAACGAAATGAATGAGAATAACAGTGCAGAGAAATGGCATGGCATGGCAAAGAATTGCCTCTTCTTCGTTTAGCTGCTCATCATCGTCCTGCAATGATGCTACCGTTGTATAGTGCTGTGCCAGCTGCTTGGGATGGAGGGCCTAGGGGTTTCCAGTCTCAGTCTTTACACCTTGAGCATCCCCCACAATATGTTTGATCATGTTTGTCCGTGTTTGTCTGCTCTTTGAAAGTGGTATGTCCTGAACTTGTGCATCAGCTGGCGAGTCTGGCATGATATGATCAACGCTGTCCAGGATCTCGATGTCCTCCTGTGAAGGCCGCTCAAAAGGGCATGAGTCAAATGAGCGACATTCGATCACATTCTTATTCAGTACATGTTCATTACATTCGCATTACCTTGACATGTCACTTCACTTATCTTCACTTACTACTTGTTGTGGCTTGTTGTGGCAGCCTACAGGCCTTCAATGTAAGGTTTGTGCTGTTGCTCTCCCGCAGTTGTGAGTAGATCAGCAGTTTTTCTAAATACTGCAGTTTGGGATCACAGCACAAAGCTTATATTATCGAAATTAGTCATGTATCAGTAGTATCGCTCAAGGCGGTGGCGGAAGTTCAAAAATAGGAAACCTATAGGAGCGGTTTGGTTGTTGTGACGGCACGGCTGTCCGAGCGAACCCACTGATGGATCAAAAGGTGGTTGAGGCTCTGAGGCTCTGAGTCTCTCTCTCTCTCTCTCTGTCACCTTCTCTCTGTGTCTCTGTATCTGTCTATCTATCTATCTCTAGTGCAGTGTAGTTGTTCTAATAGTTGTGGTTGTAGTTGTAGTGCAGAGTAGTCTAGTGAAGTGTCGTGCAGCGTGGTGTACTGTAGTTGTAGTCTAGTGTAGTTGTAGTTGTAGTTGTATTTGTAGTGTGGCGTCGAGCAGTTGTAGTCTGGTGTAGTATAGTGTAGTTGGAGTTGTAGTTGTAGCGTAGTGTAGTTAAAGCCTAGCGTAGTGTAGTGAAGAAAAAGTTGCAGTTGCAGTTGCAGTTGTAGGTGTAGGTGCAGGTGTGGGTGTAGTGTGGTGTGGTGTGGTGTAGTGTAGTGTGGTGTGGTGTAGTGTAGTGTAATGTAGTTGGAGTTGTAGTTGTAGTTGTAGTGCTCAGCGCAAGGTGCTTTTGACATTTTGACTTGGGGATGTGCTTCGCGCCACAACGGCGTGCAATTTTTCATCTCTCATCTTGCCAGATGGCTCCGCACCCGCCGCTCTAGCAAGCCTACTTTTCGACCCTCCGGAGCCACAAAACATTCGAGAAACACAGTCAGTGTTTCTCGACTTTTCTACCTTTTCGCGCACCTGCATCTTCTTTCTTCTGCCTTTCTCTTCTCTGACTCTTCCTGCCTCTGCTTTTCCATCTCTCCATATTGTCGGAAGTTTGACCTCTAAACTTCCTTCGAATATGTATATATATATATATAGATATAGATATAGATATAGATATAGTGGCGATTTTTACAATACTTTTACAATATGATCTACTGTATAGAGATTGACAGCGGCAACCTGACAGGTCAGCATTCTGACTTCCCTAAATGTGCTTCGTGTTGCTGGCAGTTTGGTATTTCCTAAGATTGTCTGGTCTTCCATCTCAAGGTTGCTTCAAAGCAACATCCAACAGCAAGCGCATTTTCATGCATATTGACCCGACCCCGCTACATATATACATGTTAATAGGTTTATCATGGTTTGTTGATGTTTGTTGCCTATCTGAACTTGTGGGACCTTGTGGGTCAGTCGGTGCATTCACCTCTGGGACGACAGTCCTGAAGCTGGGCACATTCAGTTTGTATCTCCTGCTTTCGCTGCTGAGACACAACTCATTGCGTACATTCGCAGTAATTGGATGGAACCGGTTTTTCCATCGTTTTTCCACGTTTTTCTTTTCTTAAAACTTCTTAAATACTTCTTTACTCTTCTCATCTCTTCTCAAAGCCAATGCCAATCCAGTAAATCCTTGAGTTTTCTCTTCCGTTCTTCTGGATCTTTGCTAACAACAATCTCGTCTGCCGGGAGCTTGTTGGGGTCATCCTCACAACCAGATCAAGACGTTTCGGTTCAAGGCCGTTTGATGCAAAAGTTCCGAATTCGTCCGAGGAAAATCGAAGAACTATATGCAAAGATGATCAAAAAATATCAAACATGTGCAAAGCAAATTGTCTCTGCAGCACTTCCAAACCAAGGCTCTGCCGCCAATGGGTCCTCCAATTGTGGTGGCATGTGGGATGCATCGTTACCATGAAACACAGCTTTGCCGATGTCGGATGTCAAAATATGTCAAAATGAGCTGATCCCTTTCGAGGTCCTTCTCCCCAAAAATGTCGTCAAGCCTCAAGAACCCATTCCTTGTTCTGTTCTTGCCTGGCTCAACGAATCAATGAATTGAAGCCACTTTAAGGGCGTCATTTGCTGATGCCAAAGCTCGTGCGCGCATCCACAAATGCAAGCCAGCACACAATGTGTGGCACACAAGCGCGCGTAAAAAGTAAATGCTGCGAGACAAAGGCATCTGGAGAGCCTAAGTTGATCTAAATTGGATGCTTCTTGACATCTCTTAACATCTCTTGACTCTAGTGACTCTAGTACTAGTTGCAATCCCTTGCAACTAAACCCAAACAATTTAGAAAAAGACACAGCACATCCAACCACCTATCTCTCACACTGACCTGCCGACCAGCAAATTCCAACGAATATGCCGAAATCATCGTCTGCAGGTTTAGCACCTTTGGGGTGTCAGCCGATTCCCGGCTTTGAGTTCTTGAACGCGACATTTTCATCGCTTCTGAAGGGCTCTGATTTTCAAGGTGCACACTATAGGTCTTAGGATGTCTTAGGTTCGTTGTTTGGAGAAAACTGTTTCCTAAGGATTCCAACTTCTGTTGCTGCTGAAGGGATGCCAAACTTCTGACCAAACTTTATGTCGTTAAAACTATTTATTGATTTTTAAGTGTGGCAAAGCAGTGCTGGGCAAAAGTCAGAATGACTTGAAACATGCAAGGACTGGAAACCACCCGAGGAGATGAGCAAGAAACATGCAGGCTTAACTACAATCCCATTTTCCTCAAACCACATGAAACCTCATCACGCGTGCTACTCCTTTCTGCACACGGTGTTCCCACTGACAGGACATTGTTACAAAGTAACAATGGGTACAAAGTGCTTGGAATGTATCCCAGATATATCTCCTAAGTATATACAGTTGCTTAAGGTCGAACAGACACTTAACATCTAAACCCGTACCATATCACATGCGAGGCAAAATCGCAGGGATAGGGAGGAGAAAGAACAGGGTAATAGACGGAATAACCTCACAAAGACCCTCTGGCCGTCACCCCGCAGGGGGGATCAGGGTGGTAGAGGTTGGGGAAAGGAAAAACCAATATAAATCTTGAGCCAAAATTGGCCACAAGATTATTTATAGTTAAAGCATGTTAAAACCTACCATGTTTCACACAGCAGTGAGACCCTTCCCAACCAACCTACAACACTGCAAAGTAATAAATCATCGGCAAGATCGGCAAGCACAATCATGGCAATCCTACAGAAAAACATGGAAGACCATACACCAAACTAGATCCCATCAGGAGTCCCAGTCTGGAGGCTTGAAACTTTGATAAACTTTGCATCTTTCGAGACTACAGTAATTACAAACACGCATGCAAGGTTAAAGTTGAAGAGTCACATCTTCCGCGTCATATCTGAATCTGTCTTTCAAGCCGTCTGATCTTTCCATGCTCCAAAGCAGTCGGCATGGCCAGCTGGGGAATTAGCCAAACCTGAGAGCGCTGCACCGCCATGCACAGCTGTTCAAACGTGCGGCACATCTTGGGATTGCTCTTGACAGAGGAATTTCTTGATAGGAACCCACCCGGTATCAAAAGCGCACTGCAATGGCCAGAATAAACCAACATATTTTGTAGAATTTTCTGTTCTTTTCAGTGTGCACGGCAACGATTCATCTTTTGAGCATCTGCTATATGCATCATGGCCCACATTTGGCCCACATGTGGCCGCGCTCTGTGATCATGATTGAGATAGAGCAGGCCGACCTTTGGGTCCGGACTGATGGCGATCGAAATGAGCTCGGCCAGTGATTCGTCTTCGATCATCAATTGTGCCAGCACTGTTTTCATGGCCGACGTCATCTCCTGACAACTTTGCCAAGACTTTCTGAAACCAAGCTGCAGCTTGGCCATAGCATGCCCTAGCCATTGCTCAATGCGGCCAATTTCAAAGCTTCACGGCAGTAAACTCTTTCCGGGAAAACAAAACCAAATGAACCCACGTACAAAATACAGGTCATACAGGTCAATACAGGTGATACAGGTCTGCTGAAATGATCACATGTAATGTCTAGCCCACGCTGGCCTCGTTCACGATCTCGCCAGCTGGATCCTTGCTGTATCATCTGTATCAACATCAACAATAAAAGGGGTGCAAGAATATTCAGAGCTGGTCAAACATGGTAAACACAAGCGCAAACGTAAAATTAACGTAAGCACTGGTACACATAAAAAGCCTTGAAAGACAAAAACTCAGGTGCTGACATCCGCCGGAAGACTTCGAACTTTTTTGCTTTTGAACTTAGTCACTTAGTATTGATGCAGTTCTTGCATATGGACACAAAACAAAGATCTTCAGAACACAAACGCACAAGGACTTCAGTGTAGAATGTGCAGAGCTATGAAAAGCAATGCAGTTCAGAATTCATCTCCACGGGATTGTGACGGGGCTATATGGTGCAAGAATTCTGCGGAGTTCTTCACTGCCGAGGTACACCTTGACTATTGAAGAAAACCCTGCCCTTCTCCAAAGCTTCTTCAAGTGTCTGCGAAAAACGGCATCAAATTCAACTTCTGTCCGGGAAAGCCTTGATCCCTACCCTACGTCTTGACTTTGGACAGCATTCTTCTTGAAAGCGAACAAGCCGTGCAAAAGAAAGACAGCTTTGGATCTAGCATGTTTTTTAATGCTCTTTCTCACCAGCATTTTTCTTGACAAAGTGCTGGTTATGCAAAAGCACTCTTAAATCTACCCTCTCAAGAAGTGCAGCAACCTCCAATTTCTGGTTCTCAAGTGCCTAAAAGTCCGCATTGACAGCGCTCAAGCTTGTAAATTCTATCAAATGTCGAAGGGGAAACAATCCTGAGAGCCTGACGAGTTTCCCGGACAGTACTTGAGCCTCTTCTTGTTGAGATGCAATGATTGCAAGTACCTCAGACTTTCCAGTACACTACATAAAAAGTCTACGAACACCTATTTAGACGTATATACTAATTTAAATATCAATGAAATATCATCAAATATATATATGTATAGTAGATATTATGTAATATGTAATACTGTATGTATATGTATGTGTAAAGGGGTGCCGCCCAGAGGTTTATCATGTCACCAACTCTTTAGGGTTTGTTTAGGGTTTATCTAGGGTTTCATTTAAGGTTTTTAGGGTTTTTTACCACGGTTTTCATGAGATTTTACTTTCAAGGCTTACTTAGGGTTTCATGTCAGATTTAGGTTTCAGGGTTTAGAATTTTGTGTTTTGGAAACAAATCTCGTCAGCCATTCGGCCAGTCAGCCAACATCCCAAAATGCATAAAACGCCGGCCCTGCAAAACGCACTTCCCCGGGCAGCACCCCCGTCTTGGCCATATTTATGTATGTATATTATATATATGTTTTTTATTTCAAACGATATATGTATATATGACATTGCAGTCTCTATTACCACTGCAAACAGGTTTGGCAGGCATTCAGGTGCAGTATATGATTGTAATGCTGTTTCAATCATCTTCAATCTGCCTAATTCAGTCGACCTGCATTCACCGACATGTCCGAGGCGAGCCCAAACAAAGTAGGTCAAGTAGGTTTCAACGATCCCAAAACGAATTTGAGGCCAAACAATTGCAGAAAAAATGCAAACACTTTTACATGGGATTTGATGGGATTTACATACATAATATTATATATATATGTGTGTAGGATGATATATATATAGGTATATATATATATGTATATATGTACCTATACATGTATATATATATAGGTATGTATGTATACATATATTAGGATGATATAGTATAGATATATACATATACTGTAATTAATCACATATCTATATCTATATATTATATCATATTGTATCATATTATATCATATCATATTATATATATATTATCATATTAAACACAGTAATGTTACACATTGTAGCAATACGGAAATTGTGTCCGTCCCCACTTACATATTTTTGATTCTCCGCTAGTCGCCTTTTATTGCCTTTATTGACTTTGTCGAGTCACATCTCCAGCCTTGGCACCACCAGCTGCACTGGCGCGACGTTTCCCGGACGGGTAGGTGTGCTTCATGAGTTCTTTCTTGTGAATCTCGCCCTTGACTTGCTCAATGCTGTCCTGAAAAGTCTCCAAACTCCATCTAAAACCAAGATGCTACAGAGCCGTGCAAAACAACCAATTGACACAATCAAATGAGACATCCTTGATGTCTGCGATCTGGTCATCAATGTCGCTAAACCTGGTCAGAATATGTCAGAATGAAACAATGATGTTCTCAATCTGATGCATGACGACCACTGCGACTACAACTACGCTGCCAAGGACGACAACAACACAACCAACTCAGATTTGCATGCGGTGCTGCCACGCGACTTCTTTGCAGCTCGCTCCTGCTGCCGCCTCAGATTGGGGCAGTCATCCATGCTGCCACATCAGTTTCACATCTTCCTATCGTCTATTGTTGTTTATTGTTGCGGTTTCCGAAAAGAGTGATAAACAAGGACAAAAGTGGATCTCATACAAGTCCTGCCTCAACCTTTCTTGTCTACGCTGCTCTTCTTCTCTTTGCACCTCAAAGACTACCCTTTTTGGTTGTTTTGATCCAAGACTCATAAAACTTTAAACACTTGAAATATGTTAAACATCCCACAATATACATGTAGTATCATACTTGTATAGTGTCATATAGCGTATGTGCATATGTATATATATATAATATTATATTATATATATAATGCGTAAGAAGCACACACACAACTAACAGCTGCTCGTGAGAGACAGCAAAGGATATCTTTGAAGCGAGCCAAACTTTCAAGAATAAAATAAAGTGGCTACAGGTAAGTTTTTATGTGAGTAATTACGAGTCTGTGTTGTGTCTACTTGTCGACGCATAGAGGATTTTTTCTTACCGAGGTCATTCTGTTCATGTATCAGTAAAACCAAATGGAGCAGGATGAAACAACAAAGTCAACTGTCGGAGCCCAGTCTGCGATAAGAATAGAAGCGGAAGTAATTACGCAACATACATGCCCATGATGGCCCTTGCAAAATCTGAGATGCTGGACTGGGAACAGGATTCAAACAGGACCCTTTCGGGGGAGCATTGTATTGGATCTCGTCAGAATGCTGCTGCAAAAGGTTGAGAATAACATGGATTCCTTCTGAACTTCTGACTGCATCATATGTATCATTCCTTTTTTATCATCATATTACCATCATTCCGAATCATTCCTCCCTGCAAGGCGTTGATCACACCTGTGCGATGGCTTGATCTCGAGCTCTTCTCTTCGCGGCCCAATGTTGCTCAACCCGTCGGTCCATGTTTTGCCGAAAGCCTCGCGACGGAAATTGGCAAAACTGATGAACAAGAATGAATAACATAGGTTTCATATGAAAACATGAGCAACAAAAGCATCGCAAATCTCATAACTTCAGTGATTTCACGTCTAATCCTTCAAGATCTTTCACACCTCCATTCTCTACTTTCATCAATCTTTCATCATCATTTGTCGTCTCCATCTTGTGTCATGTTACTACAGACACAGTCATTGCTACTTCGCTACTCATGATTGTTGATGCCAAGCGGCTGCTGACAGATGAAACAAGCGCAATTTCCTGCTCACAAGTGAACACCGCAGCAATCTTGGATCTGAATCTGAATCTAAACACTGACTTCGAACGCATGACACTCCATCTCAGGTTGCATCAGGTTGCATCCATGTCAGCAAAAAACAGATGATAAGGCACGGCAGCAATGGTTCCAAAATCAGTCCTTCCTTTCTATAGCGGTCTTCAGAGCTCTGATTGACTCCTTACACGTCGGATTTAACTTTAATGCGGAATCGGAATCAGTGAAAACACCGGCCAGCCGAAAACAGTCTGAAACAGCTCTAAGCGGGAACATCAGGCAGTGATTTCTTTGAATAAAGCATCCAGAGGATCATAGACAGTTCCTACCTATTCTTGCCAGGCGTCATGCTCAGATGCTAAAATCCTGAATCGCAACGGGAGCAGCTGCATTGAGGGTTGGGCTAATCTGTGACAGAATGTGTAGTTTCGATACGAGCTGTACTTGCGATGCAACTGCGTGCAGACAAGAAGCTCCCTGCTTGTTGCTTCAGCTTCATCCAGCATTTCAGCCTGGAAAAAACGTTGCAGGCCTGCCGATACATGTTAGAACCCCCTGAACAAGGCTGCTGTGGCTAAAACGCACCCGTCCTCCTCTCGTGCAGCCCATGAACGGTGTTGGAACCATTGATTCCTAGGCAAACAAACTTCTACTGTACTCTGGGACGTGAAAGTCAGTGCATATGTGGAACCAAGGTGAAAACTGCATGGGACGCCGCGCATTCAGGAAGTCAAACAAGTCAATGCAACCAGGTCTAAAACACCACATGGGACGCACTATGTAGAAGTGTTATTTTTAGATCCCTGGCAGTGCACTTTTCTATTGCCAAATTTTCCAAATCCCCATCAGGACGCGTGTGCACAGTTGTGTCCCACAATCTTAAAAAATATATATATCCACGGATGTTAAACACCATGTGGACGCTTATCCACACATGCACATCTTCTGCACAGCTTCCAGCCCTTTCACAAATCTCTTGCTTCTCTGCCCAGAAACCGCGCCTTGCCCAGAAGCAGCAGCACAAGCAACAACAACAACAGCAACAACAACAACAACACCAACACCAACACCAACAACAACACCAACACCAACACCAACACCAACAACAACACCAACAACAACAACAACAACAACAACAACAACAACAACACCAACACCAACACCAACACCAACACCAACACCACCAACAGCAGCAGCAGCAGCAACAACAACAACAACAACAACAACAGCAGCAGCAGCAGCAGCAGCAGACCAAGCAGCAGACCATTGCAAAGCCTTTCCAAAACCTCTCCGGGCTGGGTTTTGACTGGCTGCAATTTTAACGAGGTCCGAACCAGGTGCAAACGAGGTCCAATCGAGGTCATCAAATTTTGGGAGACTGACCCCCTAAGTCTCCTGACAAACTCTTTGGTAGCCACACGCTTTCGCATTCTTTTCAGAACAGTAAAACTCAAGAGCTTTCAGCGGTGGAGCAGAAGAGGAAACCAAGCCAAGCAGCAGCTGCAGGCAAGAGCAAGGAGAGAGAAGAGGAGACAAAGGGCGAGTAGGGGAGACAGAGGGGAGACAGAGGGGAGACAAAAGGACGCAAGCTTGGCAAACAAGTATACAATTGCCACGACTTTCATCTTTGGGAGTATAGTGGGTAAACCCAAAAAGATATGACAGGTAAGCATCGTGTGCCTATGCGAAGTGCCAAAAAATACATCAGTAAGTTAAAGTCATAGGCACTGCCCATGCGGGCCTTTCCCCATAGGCACACCACGATTTGGCACAAGATCTTGTCATCGGCACTTGTTACAACATCAACCCAGTATTCGTCGGTGTTTGTATGAATCTTGGTCAACAGAGCGAGCCACAAATGCCTACCCAATCGGAGCTACATCATCACCGCCTGCCTACTTGTCCAAGGACAACAGGACACCATTCAGTGATGTACAATGCCATTATTGCAAAGCTAAAACTCTCAAAACACAAGGGCATAGCTACAACCATCTGCATGGTATCCATGAAAAACTCACGATAAACCATCACTTGGAGAAAACAAAACATGATAAACACATATAAACACCAACTGGACGCAACATCGCACCGACTTCCAGAAATTTCTCCCCCACCTAGGACGCACATTTCATTGAAAAATTTGACTTCCACAACTTAGAGTAATTGACACATTTTTTACATCATTTACATCAGCACGCAGGAATGCTTGCAGAGCAGCACCGAGTGAGTTCCAACCAAATGTCAGATGATGTGAAGTGTAAAAGTATGCAACATATTGTAACAGGATTTGCATGTACTTGCACAATTTTGCAATGCAAAAACATGAAAATATATTAAAAGATGCTACCCGCTACCCAACTGATGCATGCGCTGCTGGGGCTCACTTCCTCCATGATCTTCACCCGTGCATACTCCTTCCACTCATACATGATTCCTGACGGACGCTATTCACATCTATTCACATGACAAACAATCGAAGAACACAGTGATAACATGTGATAACATGATATAACATGTGATAACGTGTATGAGTGCTGTCAACTGACGAATACCACTGCAAAATACTGAAAGGCAAAGCATGGCAAAGCTGCAGCACCAGCGAAATCTTGTGTTCACATGCGCTGACATGGCAATTGCAGGCACGCTGCGATTGGTCGCCGCTCGACCCCATCCAATCTGCCAGGCATTTGATGTCGGCATAATTCCGGGCTTTTGTGGGCTTGAAATGGCTTGAAATCTTGAGCGGCCCTTTGGACTGGTGTTTAGTGGTGTGTCCTTCTACAGTCTTAAAAAAAGCTGAGGCTGAAATGGGCGCAGATGGGCACCCAGGAACCAGGATTAACTTCAAAGTCAAAGCCTTTTCACGTGTAAGTGCTTGCATTCATGTATGGCACAGCACCATCGGTGAGCTTTCCACAAGGTCACCCAAATAAGTTAAACTAACCACCCGAGCATGTCATACATTTACTGTTACTTCATTTACTACGCACTTACTACGCACCGTGCAGCAAATGTCACATGGATGACACGCTGTCAAGGAGTGAAGAGAATGCAAGTTCCAAGAGTGCCTGCTGTTCAAGCTTCTTTTCATCCGTCTCTTGTACCAAATCGTCAATGTCCTGGTGACCCCACTGGTGACATCTCTAGCTTCTTCAGCTAATACGCACTGTCAATATCTATCAAGGCAAATTTTGCCCGAAAAGAACAAGTTTATCTCACTCAGCTACATTGTAGACACAGGGCTACTTTGCCACACATGCTCCACATAATATATCCAAAGAAATTCAAAGACATCCAAAGTGAATGTGATGTCGGCCGAGCAGCATGTTGAGCTATATGCAGAAAGCTACCAACGCTTTCATCGTCGCTTGCACCTGTGACTGGTGCAAGCAAGGAGTCTTGCTATCAAAATGTCATAAAATGTCAAATGCACAGAAAGGATCAGAAAGGATCAGAAAGGATCAGAAAGGATCAGAAAAGAAAGCATGCTTGACATTGCTTGACCGGTTTGACCTGCCTTGCTCTGCAGATCCTGCATTCGAGTCCTTACAAATCTCACAAGCTGAAGTGTGGACAAATGCATATGTGCCTCATATGGGATATGTGATTTTCCTGGTGCCAAAATGCAGCATCGATTTTGCATGGCCAAATATGGAAGTGCCTTAGAAGCAATAAAAAATCATAAAGTAGGTACAGTAGGCCTCGTCATCAGAGTGCCTTAGCCAAGTCCGCAGGAATTCTTAAGGTCATTGAGAAATATTGAGAATACTTTGACAGTACTTTGCATCTATCATACGCACAAGACTCTACGGTGTCAAACAGCAGAACCAAAATCAAATACATATGTCAAGTCCCTTTCAAAATCTTTCAAACAGCTTAGGAAATCAGGATCATTTAGGATTTCCAAATTCAGCAGGAGGATGAAACACGCAGATCATTTCAATAGATTGCTGGCAGTAACAGCAGTACCATGCTGTAGACATTGAAGGGTGCTCCCGTGCCCTTCAGTCGGTCTCTAGCTTCCTGGAGCACCTGGAGTTTCCTAGAATTCTTATGAATTCTTCATAGAAGTTGAATTCTCAAAATGCCTTTTATGGCTTTGATGCCTTTGAGCGGCACTTCATGCTCGATCCATATAGGCATTCCTGCCTCAGTTGCGATTCCAAAAATGTGAAGAGGTATGAAGAGATGTGAAGAGATATATCGTGATGTATCCTTAACTTATCCCGCAAACGCTGTAGTATCTGAATGAGGTCAGTCACTTCAGTGTGACAAATTCAAGAGAGAAAGAGAGAGAGGGGAAACAAAAAGAACCAAATAATAGAAATAGAGTCCACGATCCCTTTTCCACAATTATTGTGTGCTTGTTCTTCTGGACAAGTTGCCAATGACTTCTTGAGACTCACTGGTACTGCTTCTTTATTTTCTCTCGTGGCAGCTTCTTGCCCGCTTTGTGCGCTTGCTTCTTGCTTTGCTTCCTGACGTTTTGAAACAATGGTGGCATCATGCCACATCTCTTCCCCAACATTATCCTCTATATCTATCTGTCATGTATTGAAACATATTGAAACATATTGAAACTATCTTTGATCATCTTTGATCTTTCGACTTCATGTCTCTCCTCCGTTGGACTTGGCACTTTCTCATTCTGTCCTTGCGTGGATCCACTGCCACTTGCACTGAGTCATCTATCAACAAGATTCAACAAGTGTGCATGTTCACCATTGTTCACCCATCGTGCCCTGAAAGCCACTGAATGATGCAGAACCGTGAGAACTTTGCAGACTTTGCACAGAACATTGTTCAGAAGTCTTCGGAGTCTTCGGAACATCTTTCAGAGCATGGCCAAGAGAAGCCAGGGGAATACATGTTGTATTGCTATGTATTGCTCTCGGTGCCGAGATGCCATCAGAACTTGAGCCGCTAGATGCCGTACGTGGGCATTCTTCTTCCTCCTGCAGCACAAGACATGTAATCGACTGAGTCAAGGTAGAGATGATGTGATTGCCAGTGATTGCTGTGATTCTTGGGAGAGAATCATGGAATCACGGAATCATGGGAAGAAGCAGTGACAAGATTTGCTCTACATACCTTGACAAATCTTGACAATCCCTCGGATCGTCTCTTGAGAGCTTCATTGCTGCGGGTTCACTTAAACACCTAGCTTTAGCATTTTTATACATCTTTAACATTGAATAAATTCTGAGTCGATTCTGGATTGAGGGCTGCCCTGGAAAGCCAGAGGCTGTCCCTTTGAAGATTTCGCACCTCCTGCTTGGGGTGAAAGACCCGACCAGCCAGTAGGTCTTCAATGCCTTCTTGAAGTCCGGCAACTATGGCTAAGAGCCGGTCCTGCACAAATCTGTCAAAGCTGAGAAAAACATTGTGCCATATTGTGCCTAGTTTAATTCCTTGTCTGAGTTGTTGAAATGACTCAGCAGGATTCACCCTACTTCGAGAGATACCTTAAAACAAAAAATAAAGAAACATAGAAACATAAAGATATCAGCATGTTCTCTCATTTGCTGGCAGTGTTCAATTGACATCCTTGTGCACATTTGACATCTTCTGCATTGCAATGAACAACAGCTACATTCTACATCAGTCTACCAGTACCAGTACTAAGCTAGAGGCACCTAGAGGCACTGTATGTCATGTCCATTCTGAATTCTGCAAATCCAGGCCTGGTCCCTGCTCTTTCCCTTCAAGATCTCCGCCTGTAGATCCATGTCATGCCTCGAGTCGGCAATCATTTTTGAATCCAACGGAATCTGGGAATTTCTTTGAACTTTTGATCGTCTTTTAATTTCTTTCGTCTAGAAAATACCGCGGGCCTATCACTAAATTGCTCCAAACTTCAGCATCGAACTCGGAGTCTCGGCCACGGCCATGACTTCGAAACTTTATGTCCTTCTGGTCCTGGAACACTAAGGCACGGTTTGGTTCTCCCAGTTTCTCCAAGGTCCACTGCTTGTTCTGGAATTCCGAATTCCCGAGCAGTCTCCATTATGTAACCACTTCTTCAACAAACATTGTATAAAAGTGACTAATAAATACTTTGATTAAAGATATTAAAGTGTCTGCTTTTGGCTGGTCTCTTCTGAAAGAACCGTTTGACAGCATTCTTCCACATTTCTGGGCATTCTTGAACACGGTTGCTGCATGATGCTGCATGATGCTGCAATGTAGCACTTTGTCATGTGAAACAGCCAAGTTTAGACAAGTGGTCCTGACTCACATCGCTGTTTAAAACGGAAATGCCAAGCGCTGCAAATCCTTTTCTGCGCTGTCTTGGCACTGCCTTGGTTCACCGAAGCAAAAAGAAGCAAAGCATGTATGACAGCAGTGCGTGTGAGGTAGCTTAGGGGCCCACGTTGGCTGACATGCGTTAGCAGAGGTTTGGATGGGATACAAATTGCCACATCCTGAACACCGACAAAGAGTCAGAGTATTTGCCGTATGGGTGCAATCGGCAGACGAAAATAAAAAGCACAGCTGCTATAATTCGCTGCGCCTTTGATGCTGCGCTTTCCACAGTGCTGATCAGTACTGCCGCACTACTATGTTTCTTCATATTTCTTTGACGCTGGACCAGGGGCTGTGGTACGAAACATTGCGAAACTGTTCGTATTGCAAGACTAGCGACATGGGTCAAGAGCTTAGATCACAATCTGTGGGCTCCTCTTTTAGTTGCAAATGTTTCAAGACTTTGACATGTCCTCTTGTATATTCTTGTATGTCGGTGTGTTGACATTCCAAGATGGAAGTATCTCTTTGGCATTCCTCTGCATCTATAATTATACCCCTTTTTGACCATCTTCCATGTCCAATTGGCAAGGTAACATCCTGTGATCATACTCCTAGTCATAACAGAGTGCATGCAGGTTCCGAATGTTGAGCCTTGTTCAGCCTGATCGGAAAGGCATTGTGGTGAACCCGTGTTGCCGAAGCCGGTCGAAAGCTCTCCTCGTGCTACAGTCCTCAGAAGCAGAGATCAGTGTGTAGGTGCACACTGAAGCCAAACTGGATCGCACCGGTAAAAAATTAATTCAACCTCTCCGGGCTGTGCATGTTTCATCATGGTTTGTGGATGTTTGCGGCCACTAGTTGCGCAAATTTGGATTCGGCGTGTATTTGTTGAAAGCGTGCAAGTGAAACGATCATTCCACAAAGGGAGCGAAGATGTGAGAATATGATTGAAGATGCGTGTCTTCTGAATGCAAGAAAGCAGCTTTGCAGCTCAAGGGCTCAAGGATCCGAAAACAAATGCCAGCAGAAAGGGAACAACAAGTGACAACAAGATATGGATCCTGTCTCTCTGCCAGCTTGGACAGCTTGGATGTTCAAGGTCATTCAAGATATTCAAGGTCTACTATTTCATGCTATTTCTACACTCTCTGCCAGGAAAACGTTGAGATCTGCAGCAACTCTGTTTACTCAAGCGCAGCATCAGCTTGCACAATGACATACAATGACACGACGTCACACGACAAGACAATATTAAGATCAAGTACCATTGGGAGCAATTGCTTGGTGCAGCAGTGTCCTTTTGTCAGCAGAACTGCATGGCGCTGCATGACCATTTCATGGGTCCGGAAACCCGGCGGTCAGGTTTATTAACATCTGAGTAACTCAGCGGAGGCAGAGTGCCTTCTCCGACATACACATTTCGCACAGCCCAAAAACTTTGGCGTCACAGATCCATCGCAAAAGCCATAGACCGTAGCAGGGTAGCATGTGACGCGCATGGCCACACCATGGAAGTTTCTGAGAGTTCAGACATGTTGAGACATGTTGAGGCACTATTTACAAAGTCTGACTTGGGAAGCATAGCTGAAATTGCCGCTTCTGAAACCTCTGTACAGCGTCGATGTGCCTTTGCACCATTTTGGACCTACCAACCTCCTCCACCTTTAGTCCAACCCTTTGATGTCGGCGGCCTGTCTTGCTGCCGTCCACCAAAGCCTGCCGAACTGTTTCAAGATGTTCCAATGCCGATTGGATCTATTGGAATCTATGTTTTTCAATGTTTTTCATGTGTATCATGTTTGGGAACATTCTGAGAAACTTCATGCTTGTACCAGTAGAGATACTTTCAAACATTGGCATGGGAATGCCTCCTCCCCCTTTGCCACCATAGTACCCTGCGAGGCACGGGTTCCAGTGTAACCACTGCCGGAGAATCAGACAAACAATGACAAACGTTCGATGCACATCAGTAAGTGTATACATCATGTTGCAGGACGCATACATGCACACAGACATCACATTCACTGTTGCCATTGTATTATGTTGTATTGCATCATTGCATTGTAGTGACCTATATTCTTACTGGCATAGATACAGTACATTGGTTTGTCTGAACATTGGGTGCCCCAAAATCCAATGATTCGACGCCATTTTCCCACTAGAAAAGCAATTTTGGGGTATACTATGGTATACTGTATACTTCATTTTCAGACACGCCCACATGGGTGGGTTGAGGGATAGATGGCTGGCTGGCTGGAACCTAGGCTTGCGAACGTTGCCTCCTCCACCGCCACCTCCACCCTTCTCGTAGTATCCGCCTCAGTAAAGGCGCAACGATAAGCACACTCCCATCCTACTCCATACTTGCCATACTTGCCATACTCGCCATACTCGCCATACTCGCCATAGCTATACTTCCCTTTGTAGAATCGTAAGGTTTAAAGACCAATTGGCTTTATGGACTGGATCAGCTCGCCTCCACCACCTCCACCTTGTGCATAGAAGCCGCCTCAGCTTTCGATTGGCGACACTGTTGAACATTTGATCCCGTGTTGGTATTCGATCGTCTTTGAATTCACTTGAAATGTGTCTACAGATATCTAAATAAAGACATCTAAAGTATTGTCGATGCCATTTGCACATTTGCAAATCCTTCCAAGATCTCCATTTCTTCTTTCAGTGGCAACGACATCGGACAGCTTTGTGCCTCCACCGCCTCCTTGCGCGTAGTAGCCACCTCCACCTCCACCTCCATCACCTCCTTGTGAGTAGTAGCCGCCACCACCTCAAGAGGTCAAATACGAAAAAGAAATAAGAAGAGAAGAATCAAAGAGGCCGTAGCCGTGAGCCTGTAGCGAGATGTCACAAGTGTATGAAGCACAGAGTAAACATATCAAATCATATTAAACATTCTTAAACACTCTTAAGCTACATCAAACTGTGGAACTTTGCTTGGCGATGTGAACAGAACATAACTGAACTGATCTGCCAATCGGTGGATCCTCAGGTTGCAGCCTCCACCTTGCCCGTAGTAGCCGCCACCCCCGCCGCCACCTCCTTTCTGGGAATAGTAGCCTTTACCAAAGCTCGTAGCAGTTTGAAGTCTGAAGACAACTGGCAGTGCGAATCAGTGCGTTGGTCCTGTCCCTCAGTTGACGTTGAGGTCACAGGAAAACCAGGGAAAACCGAGGAAATGTATTGAAATGTATGGAAATGTGTTTTGCCTTTGCACAACTGGGGGTACTTGGACCCCATTGCTCTCGCAGAAAACCCACAACTTGACAGTGGCCAACCTCCACCACCACCGCCTTTGCCTCCACCTTAGCAATGAAGGTAGGGAACAAAAATGAAACATGTCCTGTATCTACTTTTGATCTCTATCGATCACTACTGAACTCTCAAGTGTCTTTGAAGCATTCTGATCTTGCAAGTCATGGTGCCCTGGGAGTAGTAGCCACCTCCGCCTCCTCCCTTGCCATAGTACCTGCAGGAACATGAAACATGATGGAAGATGTAGAAACGAGCGGAGTACTTCGTTGACTTCAACGCACAACTGCATTTCTGACATCCTCCGGACATGTCGATCGTCATGGATCGTTCTCTTTCCCTTGTAGGTCCACTTCTAAGCTCAGTGGCGCACCCACCACCGCCACCATCACCACCTTCACAAGCGATTTTAGATACAAAATGATACACATATAATTTGTCAATACTTTGAGGATCAGGGCAAGAAACAAATCAAACATCGTTGAGTGATGCTGGCATCTTTTGGCCTTTTCCACCATAGTATCCGCCGCCATAACCACCACCACCTCCACCGCCTCCTTTTCACATTGTACACAGTTTCGGACATTTCAAGGCCGTCTGCATCTATTCAATTTTTTCAACTCCTCACTTGCAAATGCATTAACTATGTATGACATGTATGACAGTGTATGACTGCATGTTTAATGTATAGTTAGATTAACAATGCGTTTTACATAAATCAATATGATAAACTACAGCTCCTCGGGGACTGTCTCGCGCTTCTCCCGAGCCTGAGGTGCAGCAGTCGGCAAATCGGGGATGTAAAAACAAAACCCTAAGCTGCCCTAAGCAAAACCACGAGACAATGCGATTAACGCCAGTTACTAGTAACACCACTAGCACAGTATCGATGTGTACCGCGTGCGACTATAGAATAGACAAACAATTTCCAAACAAATACAAATCCGCCGACCCCGGCCGCCGCAAGGGGGAGCGCGCTAGGGAATAGGAGTTCCTGCCGGTTTCAGAAAGGACGGGGTTTGTCCGTCTTTCAAGGGCGCGCAAATCCGCTTCAGACATTGCTGGGATCAGATTGGAAATACGTGTCCGGGGTCGGCGGCAGGGGCGGCAGCCCTTAAACTCCGGCCAGGGGCCCGCGGGGCCCGGAGCTGGCCGTGGCATTGCCGTACGGCAGTTCTCTCCTCTCCGAAGGAGAGAGGGGCTGCCCCTGCCGCCGAACCCCCATCCCGTACCATCAAAAACCCCTGCGTTTTACGGTGTTTTTTGCTGTTCCCATTTTTTCCAATTTTTCGGAGCTTGTAGCTGAAGATGGGTCAACATGGGCCAACATAGGCCTCAAGATGGGCCAACATAGCCCCAAGATGGGCCCAAATTGCCCTCAAGATAGGCCAACATAGCCCCAAGATGGGCCAACATAGGCCAACATAGCCCCAAGATGGGCCCATATAGCCCCAAGCCGTTCACAACAAACCACGAACCAGAAACCCCAAACCCCAAACCACAAGCCACAAACCACACACAACAACCAGAACAACCAGAACAACCAGAACAACAACAACAACAACACCGACAACCGCAACAACCACAACAGCTCGACCCCTATCACCTCAACATGGGCCCCTGGCCGACTGTCGCGCGTAAGCGCTTAAATAACATACAAGTAGTGCCTGGGCAAGCCGGGGGCGGAAGGCTATAGAGAGGAACCAAGAATGTGCCTATAGGCTATAGGGTGCAGGCCGGCCTTCTGTGCTTTGCAGCAACAGACTCTTGACTTGTTATTCCGGTGCTATGTCTTTTGAATGTTGGATCTTTTCTCATTTCATCTGATCTCATCCCGTCGCAGCTTCTCTTGGAAATTGCTCATTGCATCCCATTGTCACCGCAGTCTGTCTCATCCCATCTCATCTCATCCCATCTCACCTCATGTCGTGTCTTCTCAGAATTTTCCACCTCGCCTCATCTCATCTCATCTCATCTCATCTCATGTCCTCTCTCCTTTTCTCATCTCTTCACCGCTGATCACAACAGCTCTCATCTCTACTCATTGCGTCTGAGCTTGTCTCACCTCTTCTCAGCTCATCTGAACTCTTCTCTTTTCAGCTCTTCTCAGCTTCTCCATTCTACGCAGCTTGTCTCAACTCAGCTCTTCTCATGTCAGGTCGTTTCAGCACATCCCATCTCGACTTATCCGGCACATCTCAGCTCTTCTCAGCTCACTCTCAGATCATCTCAGCTCTTCTCTGGCCCAAAACCTGTTCCAAAACCGGATCCCGGCGCCAAAGCCACAAAAGGATACAAAAGGTACGATTTTGAATTTTGAAGGCTTTGTAACAGCAAATTTACAGTAAAAAAGGACAATGGAAATAAGAAACTCATCGTCGCAACTTTGGCGCAACCATTCCAATGGGATTTACAAGCAGCAAGCTGCAAAAGACCATAGAACTACGTGCGCAACAGTAACACAGAGCAACGTTGACGCGGCCACTCCAGTGTGATTTGCAAGCTGTACTTTGCAAACGACCAAAGAATCGCGTGCGCAACAGCAACGAAGAGCAACATTGACACAGCCACTCAAATGCGATTTGCAAGCAGCGAGTTGCAACCGTAGAACTACGTGCGCAACAGCCGCAAAGCAGCATTGATGCAGCCACCACTCCAATACGATTTGCAAGCACCAGGTTGCAGAAGCCAAAAGAATTACGTTGGCAAGACGGAAGCTTCTCCGGCCAAAACCTGACTTCTAAACTTCCTTTGGCTATGTCAAGCCAAGACAAACTTTGGGGTGCTCTCAATCTCGCTTCCGTTGAGTCATCCAACAAGAAAAAGCGTGTCTGGGAAATGGGCCCATGCCCTTCCCAACCCATCTCTTTGCGGACATTGCAGCTGCAGTCTGCGCCTCAGGTCCACTGGTGATCAAATTTGGGGGAACTGTGTCCACGAAGTTCGTCGAGTTCGTCGTTTTTCTTGCGTGTAAGGCTCCGCTTGCTATTGAGGGTGGGGCAGAGGCACCTTTTCCACCACCACCTACTGGAGATAGTGTTCATGTATGTTCAGGTATGTTCAAGTGATATCAGTTTCTCGGATTGTTTTGATGTGATCGGATGTATTCTGATGACCTGTCCGATGATTTCACATGATTTCACGTCAAAATCAAATGTGCAAAAATGATCAAACATGTGCAAAAGGTCCTGCAGTTCTCGAGGCCTTGGTCTTTTTTGGTGAGGGCTACGTTTGCTTTCACGATGTCTTTGGCGATATCTTCGACAGTGTAGCCTGGGTGCACAAAGTATCAAAAAGGCAGTGCAATGCGGTGCAGCCTGGATCAGATCAGCATCGGCTAGGATCAGCTGGGAGCAAAGTATAGCATAGTGTAGCATAGAGTAGCACAGTCAGGAAATGTATGGACATGTCAAGAAGTGCAAGCGGCTGCAAGTATGGCATAAGTATGGGCCTTCAGGTACACCACCTCGATCAGGCACTGCACCAATGATAATTGTCTTCACCTCAAATTGAACATGAATTTAGTAGCTCCGTCCATGAAGCAGAAGCCTATTGCTCTTGAACGTGTTGGATAATGATGTAAGGCAGAAAGCATCTGAATGTGCAGGTATGCTTCAAAAGGAAAGGCTCCAGCCACAGATTTCAGCGCCGTAATGGAAGAAATCTGTCATTGGGCAGTTGGTCAGTGTCTCCGTGCAGCAAGACATAGGAAGATTTGGATTTGCAAAGTAGGGAAAATTGCTGTGCCTTTGGAGGCTCTTGAACCGTCTTTTCATCAGTTGCCAACATGTGCCAGCTCCTTCAGAAAAGCAAATGCTGAGAAATCTGCAAAGTGCCTGCGGATGCTTAGAAGTGATATGCCCTGAACAAAACTGGACAGAGTGCGCACCCGATATTGGCAGAACTCAAATGATCTCGCCAATCCATTACAGCCGCAATTGCCTTTCCGCGCTGGGTCAAATGCTCGAAAGAATCGACATCAATCGACACAGCTTGGCACAGCTTGGCATGTCTCATGCCACAAAACTAATGATTAACTAATGCCTGTGAAATCTGCTCCATGTAGGAATCGGCTTTGGGCGACCAAAGGAAGGCCTAGCAAACATCTGAAAACGATCTTCGAATATCGGTATTTCTCTTGGCATTTCTCTTAGATCTCCTTGAAGTTGTTTGATTTCTTTTGAATTGGTATAGGGGGCTTCCTGAAATGGGGCAGCCTCAATCACGGGTTTCAATACTAAAATGGTTTAATCATGGTTAATCTTGAATGATTTGGGTTACCCCCATTTTAGGAAACCTTCATAATGTTGATATATTTGATATGATTTCTTGGAACTTCTGCACTTTTCATGGCGGCGTCGCTCGTCAACTAATGCGTGCCTGAATGGTCACATCAAGACGGCGTGTGAGCACCTTTCGCCTGCACAGTCGCAAGGCGATGAGTTTGCATCCAAGGGTCACAATGACTAACTCTTACACATTTGAATGTGTTTTGTAATACTGCACCATGGCGTGCGCCTTACAGAGTATTCCTGGTTGAAGATTTCCATCACCTCGTACACTGTCCGCTCCTGGCAGGTAAGCAAAGGCATTGCAAAAAGGCGATGATTGCATTCGGTTGCATTTTGACAGAATGCATGGGATAGGCCAAGGCTAAGGCGATCGTTACAACCCAAAAGTAAAAATGGTCGTAACTGCAACTGTACTGCAGTTGCAGATAGTTACAGTTCCATGTTTCTCCCAGTACCAAATGGATGAGAATTCATGTCAGTCAAATGTGATTCATTGCTGATGTTTGCAGATATCCAGCCATTCAAGCCAAACAACACATGCCCACCGATGCTCCTGTTCCGGGTTCAAACTCCAGTACGGGTATAGGAGGTGATCAAACCTGTAAAAAGCAACAGACAAAGAGACTTTCAAAGAGAATCAAAAAGATCTGTTTTGTGTAGAGTCACATCGTGAAGTGCATGGGCCGTTGCTAGCATTCCGCGTACCCAAGTTACCCAAGTTACCCAAGTACACCAAACGGGCCAGGGACTTCAGTTTCCAATGCCGGCGAAGCTGAAAAACAATGATGAAAACATAGAAACAAAAATACATGTTAGTTCCAAGAGAAACAAAGAGAGTGTGAGTGATTAATTAATTACAGCAAGTGGATGATCGATTCACGCATGAGCGAATTGAGTTCATGATGGAGTGACTCAAAGCTCAAGTGGGTGATTTGTGGAGTGGATGATATTATGATCAAGAAACGTTGATACAAAGGATGAGCGATTGATGAGTAGGGCAAGTTGAGTCAAGTTGACTGAAAGGTTCAGTCAGTGAATTCATGAGTGCTTGAAGAAGCTGCTCAGTAGGTGATTGGATGCTGGCTTAGCAATTGAAGATGGAATTTGTTATCATAAATCCTGGATTGGCAAGAAAATATCATTTAGATCTCAAAAGAGCGCCATCTAACAAGGGTCAGATTCTATCTGCACCCGTGCAACTTTGAAGTCCCCTCTGAAGGCACAAGACTTATTTGCCTTAAGAAAGCATTGCATTCCGCCTAGTGAACACAGCACTCTTCCGCCTTTCTTGCATGTAGACATGGAAGCTATCCCTGCAAACTATGTGAAAGGACCACGCATTACAATTTCTGCCCGTAAACCAATCTTTTTGCGCAACATCTTCCTGCCATGAGCATCACCCAAGAAAAGCCATACCCAATGCATGCCTTTTCCCTGACCACGAAGTGTCCTCGGTTCTCGAGGCGCAGAGGTGCAGGACATGTAGGATAGGACATCTCATGCCATACCAGTCATACCGGCCATACTGGCCATACTGACCACACAAGAATATTACAATGTGTATGTTTGCAGACTGTACAGCAAACGAATTATGAGCTCAGCTTGCGGCACTCTCTATTTTGTTTGCCACCTCCTCCAACGCCTCACACTGTCGCTACAGTATGTTTTGAATGTTTTTTCTTGGCATCCACGGTTGAATTCATTTCATGCTTGTGTGCCGGCCAAGTGTGTATTTTGATAAGTATGGCGCGCTTTTTTAGCGTTGTTTCTGTTGCGCGACGTAGATTCATGACTATCGTCGATCTTACAATATCATACAATATTGAGGTAGTGGTTCTGCTGAAGACATGAACGACAGTGGCTCGCTATTGGCTTGGTGTTTCCGTTCTGTGGCGCATGTTGATGACAGTGGTACTTAAAAATGAGCAAATTGCTGGGGTTGTAAACGGGTTAATTACAAACAAATCAAACAACATCTCCCCCAACATGGATGAAATCGAGTGAATGCTACGCCAAACATATGTGAATTCTCCACTGAGATCTGACGGGCACCCCACTCAGTTTCTGTCGTAGTCCATTAGTCCATTCCCAGTCCATTCTCCGTATGTCTCCATCTAAATCCATCTAATCTGTCTATGATAATCATATCTAGATCTGTCTATAATGTCTCCATCTTTGACTGTTCTGACTGGCCTGAACCTTTTCGTCTGCTGGCTGTGCGCCAGAGCCTCATGTGTCTGGATGTGTCTGGTCCCTTCAGATTTTCTGAAAAGCGTCCCTTCAGATTGGCTGAATTTGGCTGAATGGTTTAAGAGTTTAAGCATTTTAAGCAATCGAATGCAGAGGAATGCAATCGAATGGTCTGGATGCCGTGCTTTTGCCTTTGTATGCACCTTTGCCTCCTCTCCTGCACCATGCGCAATGACTGTATAAATGACTTTACAAAGAGCATCAAGGAGCATCATGAACTATGCTTTTTAGCATGGTAGTCCTGGCAGCATATGCAATGATCCCAAACCTCTCCGTCACAAAAGTGTGTAGTACAGGCGTGAACAAAAGAAACGCACGGGACTAAAGGATACCGTATCAAAAATATGACGAATATATGACCAATATAAATATGACCAATATAAATATGACCAATAAACGCTACAATTCAAAGCATTCAAAGCTGACTGCAGGAACTTCAGCATCGGGCGCTTTGGCGACCTCCTCGACCAAGTCCTTTGCCTCGCTGGTCGCCTCGCGCAGTGTCGAAAAGATGTGTCAACATATCCGTGATGATCCGTCATTACGATAAAAACAATTACGATCTCATGAGAATATGTGTCAACATGATTCAAAATGAATCAAACAAATCAAACTGAATGTGTAAAATTAAACTATGTGCCCCTCAGTGATCCGTGTAGGAGCTGGCCTTGTCTGAGAGCTCCAATCGCAGATCAGTGCAGCAGTACTTCTTGGCCATCAGCCGGCAAGCCTCTTGAGACTGCAGCTATGCAGCTATGCAGCTATCATGTGACAATACCTGACAAACATTGACAAGGCAAAGTCAGCAACCGGTCCATGATCAATGATGATCAATGCATGTGGATGCCATTTTGAAAATTAAACTCCTCTATGGCCAACAAGGCCAGCAATGGTGTGCATTATTATATAGCATTGTTGTGAATATTTATATTCATTCGGTATATTTTGACATCATTCGATTGGATTCGATTGGTTAATCAACACGTCATCACGTTTATCCCAATTTTACGCCTGCAAATCTACGAGAAGCTCTCCCAGCAACTGCGTCCGGAAGACCGTCTCCGCCTTTGCAATGTGCATATAGCAAATCATGGCAAATCATAGCGGCATGGCGAAGCAATGCTTGCAACACATCACATTCAGTTGCTGGGGCCGCTGCCAAGTTCTCTGTAGTTAGGTCTCCCTGGTAGAATCGCAACCATGTCCGAGATGTTTAGCAAGCTGATACACTCGTCCGTTGACATCTTGGATCAAGTGCAGGACTACCTCGCAAAGTGTACGTGCAAAATATGGCCAATTTAGCCTCCAAATGCAACTCTCTAGCTTTTGCCAAAGCCGCAATGCCTAAGCAACATAAATGTAGCTCAGCAAAGCTGTCTGTGGGGAGAAACAACATGCTTTGAGCCTTTAAACCGGAAGTGCATTGTGAAGTGAACGACTTAAGATCAATGGAGGCAAATATAGGCAAATACATTCAAAATCATTCAAATATATTCAAATGCTCTTGCTCAGCAAATTCTGAGCGATCTGAGCCTTGCACTGGCTACATCAGTGACAGGAGCCAAACTTTCACCAGTCAAAGTGGAAATCTCCGATCGCAACGCTTCTGCCAGGTCGCTACTGGAACGAACGCTTCCCGCACACGACCACGTGGCAAAAACGAACGAGTGAAACTACGTAGTGTAAAGAGAATCAAAAGAACCAGCCTGCAAGATCGAAGAAGGTCGTATCATTGCCTCTCCATGCTGATTTTCTTGCCAGATATTGAAACGCCAGACTTAATACGATGACGTGTTGATATTTGAGCCGGGTCCCAAACAAAGCATGATTGTCTCATGCGGCTGCCATGTCTCCACGCTTCTGCCATTGACCTTTACGTTGAATCAAGTTGGTCAAGGGCAAGGTAGCCATGAGGAATGCTTAGGGCGCCAAGGGTGTGGTACTGGGTGTAGTATGGTGTAGTATGGTGTAGTGAGGTCTTGAAACACAGTGCCATGAAAGGAGAGGTACACGGACAGGTAGCTGAGTCATCCTGAGTCACCCTGAGTCATTCTGAGTCCTGTCATGCTGGTGACTTGCCACACCAAGTCACCGTCTTGAAGCACGCACTAAATGCATCAAAGAGCTCCTGCAAAGAGGAATGGAGCGTTTCTTACTGTCTATATATATATATATAATTATATATAGTATTACATAGTCGTTTCAAGCGACATATCGAAATTGCACTTGCGAAATTCAACCTCCCAAACTGAATAAGATTGATAGGAATCCCAAACCTTGTATATAATGACTTCAGGCCTTTTGAGCATCTTTCAGCTACAAAATGGTACCAGGCTGAATCACTGCAGTGTTCAAACCAAAAGACAGTCAACCATAGGCTCGATTGCTGTCAGGCTGCCACGCTGCTGAAAAATGAATAAAAATGAAACAACATGAAAGAACACGAAACCTTGCAATACATTGGACATGTCTCTATTACGCCCAATGAGTAATGGCTATCTAACATATTTGGAAATGTTCAACATGATTTAGAGTAACAAGTTTAACAGCTTGGATTCGAAATGCCAAATGATGTGAAGCAAGATGAATCAAGCCTGCTGTGCAGATTCAAGCTTTTTGTGCCCTTCAATGGCGAGCACGGCCATGCTCACCTGATGTCAAGCTCATGTTCTCTCATGATTTTGTGCATAAACGGTTCATGGATGTTCATGGTCATGGCATGGTCATGGCGTACCTCTTTGACAGTCACCCCTTGCTATGCAAGGACGCAACGGGCACTCCTGCCCCATGACCCTTCTAAGCTTGGGCCAAACCACAAGTTGCAGTAGCTTATTTGAGCAATAAGGATCGATCGTCTTTCGGGATGAAGTTAGAACTTCTGCCGCCATCTTCTGCCAATTTCCTACTCAAAATCTTCAATGAACAATGGAAGTCACGCTCACAAATCGGCACATTTTCGCAAGCACACAGCTTGCTGCCCTTGTGACTCGGGTTGCCACAGGTTGCCAAGCTTCCTCAGCTCCTACATTCAACCGGAAGCTCACTCCGGTCCCTCATGGCGGCGTCCTGCAGCCAAAACGCAATGGACAGTTACACAAATCACAAAACATCGGACTTGTGAGGAATTAAAGGATATTAAAGGATATTAAAGGATATTAAAGGATATTAAAGGATATTAAAGGATATTAAAGGATATTAAAGGATATTAAAGGATATTAAAGGACTTGCATTAGGGTGAACAGGCAGTGGATGGCAGTTGGCAGTGGCCATCATGACGAAGGGTCACCTTAAGTTGCATGTCAGGTCGCAATGTGCTGTTTAAAAAAGTTTATCTTTCCATCCTTTATTTTGCAGTTGTGACTTCTTCATGCTCTGGATCTGATCTCAATGCAAAGCAACTCACTTGTGGCAAAAAAGGACTCAGTGTGACCCAGCACGCACTCCCCAACTCACCATGCCCTGAACAGCACCACAGAAGAGCCGTCCTCCATGAGGTGTCTGCTGACACTTGTGAGAAAGCCTCCAGGCCATTTGTTGCCTGAAAGCTGAAAGCTGCTCGGTTTTGCTCACACCATGTGAAACGATTCGACATCATCATATCCCAAGCTTAGCACGAAGCTGGTATGCATGCGTCACACATGCTCTATTCCTTAACACTCTGTCAAATACGTATGTTCAATTCAATGCCCCGGCCAATTCACAACGATGCATACATACAAACTCTGTTCACACTTCAGATGGCATGGAGCAATAACCTTGATCCCTCATTGTTTGCCACAGCAGGGTAAAACGATATAAGACGACCCCTAAATCAATATAGATTGTGCACATCTGTCTAGTACGAGTAAAACATATAAAACCACCAAAGAGTGCCTTCGCGTTGTGATCGGACTTCGTACTTGGTGAACATTTCCTTGGCAAGCAGGGACAAGAGAAACGTGAGAAAATCAAGGAAGAGTTTGTGTTGAACGATTGTGGCCATTGACTTGGGCTTCTCTGGTTAAAATCACAGAAATTTAAGCTTTTGGTCAACCAGTGTCAGTGTGAATTTAGGACTGATTTGATTGTTGCTATCAGCACAACTCCATTTCATGAGTACAACCGGGCCAAAAGAGTATGTTCAAAAAGGGTTCAAAAAGGAAACGAGGTCGCCACATAGTTTGTGTCTACAACGTCAACCAAACTGTTTGTGCTGAAATCATTCAAAAGCATGGCGGCATCCCTCTGACCAGGAAAATCTGATGTGCTGTTTCCCCTTGAAATCCAATCTTCTGGAAGTGCCTGGACCATTTATAGATTCTGTCTCCAAATGCCAAGCTGTTCCAAGCTGTTCGCGATAGGCCGAAATGCCACAGGACTTCAACAAACCCGGTTTCAAGGGCAATCAGGCTGAATCTCTACAAGATCTCTACAAGTAATTAAGCTGGTCAGTGCTGGATAGTGCTGGTCCTTTGGAGTTGTATACTCACTCCGGGCCTACACTGGATGCCACCAGAGATTCTGCCATTATGTCCTGTGGCATTTGTTCCTGCAACCAATGCTTTACCAAACCGTCTGTAGTATGGTCTCACAACAAGCAGTTGCAAAGTTTTGCGAGAATTGTGCTGAGTATGACAAAGATTGACAAAGCATTGAATATGAAATTTTGCCGGACTTGCCCTGGTGACGTTCGCCGCAGGGCCACAGCGAACGGATAGCTGATCGAGGGCCAGAAGGTAGAGCCACTGGCAGCGTGTGCCATTGACATTGCATGAGTTTACCGAAAAGAGTTTTTCCTTTGAACGTGTAAGCCATCTCTATCTTAGATGGACTTGAAAGCACATGTATATGGTGACAATTTAATATACACATTGTACAAAGAAATACCGTGAAAACAAGTATATAACCTAACGCGCGTATTTTGATGCATTTTGTTCATATGTTCGAAGGAAGTTTAGAGGTCAAACTTCCGACAATATGGACAAATGGAAAAGCACAGGTGGGAAGAGTCAGAGAAGAGAAGAGAAGAGAAGAGAAGAGAAGAGAAGGGAAGAGAGAAGAGAAGGGAAGGGAAGAGAAGAGAAGAGAAGAGAAGAAGAGAAGAGAAGAGAAGAAGAAAGAAGAAAGAAGAAAGAAGAAAGAAGATCAAAAAAGAGAAAGTCTCAGGAGAAAGAAGATCCAGGTGCGCGACACGGTAGGAAAGTCGCAAAACGCTGTGTTTTCCAATGATTTGTGGCTCCGGAGGGTCGAAAAGTGGGCTCGCTAAAGCAGCGGGCGCGGAGCCATGTGCTCAGATGAGAGATGAAAAGTTGCACGCCGTTGTGGTGCGAAGCAAACTGTGCAAAACACACCATGTTCGGACCACTTTTGGGAGTTGAGATGTCGAAAAAGTGCACGGCGTTGTGGCGCGAAGCACATTTCGAAGTTAAAATGGGTAAAACACCTCAGCTTGGGAGCACTTTTAGAAGTTGCGATGTCGAAAAAGTGCACGGCCTTGTGGCGCGAAGCAAATTTCGAAGTCAAAATGTACAAAACACCTCTGCTTCGGAGCACTTTTAGAAGTTGCGATGTCGAAAAAGTGCACGCCGTTGTGGTGCGAAGCACATTTCGAAGTCAAAAGTGTAAAAAACTGCATCACAACAACTCACCTCTCCTATAGCGTCCTATCCTTGAAACTTCCGCCACCGGCTTGTGCGGTACTACTGGTATGTTCACATATTTCCAAACCCTCCCTCCAAATTCTTGGGTGCTTTATTATATTTTCCCTCAGTCCTTCAGCACCTCTCCTGTCTCAAACTTTTCTCATTTCTTGAACCCTCCACTGCTCAGTAGCACATCATACTGAACCTGACAATTCGTGACCGACATGTGTGCCTTGCCAGCTCCATTGCCATGCCAGGAAATAGGCAGGTTGTTCTGCCAAGAGGACCGCGACTTTCACTTGAAAGGTGGACAGCAAAGTTGTGTTTACAACTCTCTACGTTTGATCATTGTCTGTAATGCCCACCAATCTCCAAGCTCATCACGGTCCATCCATGTGATGCAATGTTCTCAGAGTCTGAAATGGGATAATCATGGACCTGCCTTCCGCCAAACTGCACAGCCTTTTACCTTGTAGCGGCTGAAGAATATTTGATGAAACCTGGCGGATCAAGCAAATCGAACACCAATGACAGGTCTCAAGGTTGCATACTGTTGTCACAACCTGCCGGACTTCAACACTCTCTTGCTGACTCTGCCATGCCTGCGGAAATTGTCGCTCTCTGTGCAGCAAGGCTTTACCTGGTATATAGTATATTTGCAGCAGCCAGCATCAGAGCGCATGCAACTGCAAATGCTCAGAAGACAGCTAGGGCAGTGACTGCACACATCGGGGCAAAGTCACTTTCACATGGTCGATTGGAGATCTCGAGAAAGTTCCTGTGCAGAGCATCAATGGGATTTTGACGCTCCACAGTTTTACACCCAAAATCATCTGATGAGATACACCTCATCGCCCCCGTCTGTCCCGAAAATTGACTGGTGGTAGTCCAGGGCAATGCGGTCCTCTCGGATTGCAGGTTCCGGAAAGGACCAAGTCTTACGCACAACAAGAATCAACAAGACAACAGTCACGCGCAGGGTCCTGATGATCCCAGAAGTACAGCTTAAAGAAATACCTCGCCATGAAAGTGTCAGACAGTACGCCATACATGCAATTGAAATCAATTGAAGAATGTCAGCTTTTGGTGTTTCCAATGCACAGGATTGGAGCACTGGTCTGACATCCGTCCTTTCTCTTTGTGCTCTCCAGTTGCAGTTCCTTGGTTAAGATCGTTCTAGTCATTCTGACACACACAACACGAGCACACAGGGACCCCAGCACCCACATAGCTCCACGCGTTTCATTTGCAGAACTGCTGAGATCATCTCGCTAAGAGCCTTCCATCAATATGCCAATGTGCAATGGCAGCAACTCACCCCAGCAGGCAATAGAGATTCAATGGAAGTCCCTCTAGAGCCTCTACATCAGCTACATCAGTTCACTTACAGGTGGCAGTACGAAATTGTTTCTGTTCGTTTCTACTTGATCTACTTCATTTTGGTTTTGACTACGGTACTGATTGTTGATCACACCGGCATTGGCTGGTCGTCTCTCCTCTGCTGGTCCGATGTATCCACCGGCGTTGAGGTACTTAGAATCTGTAGGCGCCTGTGATGAATGTTGAGCTGGCATTTCACGTAGATTTTAGTTGATGCCATGAGCAGGGAACCGCTAGTTCGCCTTCTTTCCAACAAACCCAAATTTAGGTGGTTTGTATAGCTAGAAACCTTGTCGACTGGCAGAAATCATGCAGAAACCAAAACAAGAGTCCAATGGCCTCTGGATATCTTGCTTCGTCCTGTGCCATTTGCAAAAACAAACATGAGAGAGAGAGAGAGAGAATCACAAAAGTGCGCAATAAATGCGCCAAATGCGCTTACACATCCACAAGAATCCTCCGGAGAGCAGAATTTGGCGCCGCCCCAGCCACACAATCGCCTGAGTGCCCAGAACTCTCAAGAAGAGGTGGCTGGAGCAAACATCCAGTTTGGCATTTCACGAAGCTGTCGTGTTACAAAAAGGTCAAGGTTGAGGCAACATATCCGTGTACATGAAAACGACATGCATATAATATCATATAACATATTGGATTACTACCGTATACATGTAGACATATACTCTCATACACATAGACTTATACAGGCACATTTTGGCATACCGTGGAACGTGTATACATGTATATAATTGTAAATACGTTTTTGCAGGCACATACGTTTGCAATGTATATGTATGTGTATATATATATATAGATGCATACATGCAAGCATACATACATACATACATACGTACGTACGTACGTACGAGTACATACATACATACATACATACATACATACACACATACATAAATACATACATACATATATACATCACATACATTACATGCATTACATGCATTACATGCATTACATACAGCACAAAGCCTTACGTTGCATTACAGTACGCTATACTACACTACATTACATACATTACATACATTACACACATTACATACATTACATAAATTGCATACATTGCATACATTGCATCCATTGCATATACATTGCACTCATTGCATACATTGCATACATTGCATACATTGCATACATTGCATACACTGCATACATTGCATACATTGCATACATTGCATACATTGGATACATTGCATACATCGCATACATCGCATACATTGCATACATTGCAAACATACAAACACACATACCTACCATACCTTACCATACCATGCCATGCCATGCCATGCCATACCAATGCCATACCATACCTTACCAAACCATACATACCATACATACCATACATACCGTACCATACCATACCATACCAAACCATGCCATACCATACCATACCATGCCATACATACATCACATACATCACATGCAGTACATACATTACATACATTACATACATTACATACATTACATACATACATAACACTACATAACATTACATTACATTACACTACACTACACTACATTACATCACATTACATTACATACATCACATACATTACATACATTCAAAGAGACAGGCATACATACATACATACGTACGTACGTACATACATACATTTCATACATTACATACAGTACATACATTGCATACATTACAAAAAATACATACATTACATCCATTACAAACATTACATTCATGTCATACATTTCACACATTTCAAACATTACATACATTACAGAAATTACATACATACATACATACATACATGCATACATACATACATACATACATACATACATCATATTACATTACGTACATTACATACATTGCATTACATTCATTACATACATTACATACATTACATACAATACATACAGTACCTACATTACATACAATACATACATCACATACATTACATACATTACATTGCATACATTACATACATTACAATGAATCAAAAAGCATTACATTGCATTACATTACACTATACTACACTACACTGCATTACATTACATGGCATACATTACAAACATTACATACGTTACATACATTACATTCATTACAAACATTACATACATTACATACATTACAAACATTACACACGTTACATACATTACATTCATTACAAACATTACATACATTACATACATTACATACATTACAAACATTACATGCCTTACATACATTACATTCATTACAAACATTTCATACACTTCACACATTTCATACATTACATACATTGCATACATACATACATACATTCATACATTCATACATTTATACATTCATACATTCATACATACATACATACATTACATAAACACATACATCAAAGTACATTACATTATACACATACATTATTTACATTACATACATTACATACATTACATACATACAAACAGACAGACAGGCATGCATACATACATACATACATGCATGCATGCATGCATACATACATACATCACATACATTACATACATTACATACATACATACATACATCCATACATACCATCTCATCCCATCCCATCCCATCCCATACCATACCATACCGTACCGTACCATAGATAGATAGATAGAGAGAGATAGATAGATGGATGGATGGATGGATAGATAGATAGATAGATAGAAAGAGAAAGGGAGATAGATAGATAGATAGATAGATAGGTAGGTAGATAGATAGATAGATAGAGAGAGAGAGATAGATAGAGAGATAGATAGATAGATAGATAGGTAGATAGATAGATAGATAGATAGGTAACTAGATAGGTAACTAGATAGGTAATTAGATGAAAAAGAGAGAGAGAGATAGATAGATAGATCGATAGATAGATAGATAGATAGAAGATAGATAGGTAGGTAGGTAGGTAGGTAGGTAAGTAAGTAGGTAGGTAGATAGTCAGAGAAAGAGAGCAAAAGAGAGGAGACCTCAAGCACCTTTCGGTCCATCAGTGGATTCGCTCTGCCATCCCTGATTCACAACAACCAACCTCTCCTGTAGGTTTCCTATTTTTGAAACTTCCGCCACCGCCTTGTGCGGTACTACTGGTATATCATTGTATTGTATTGTATTATAACACAGTACATGCGCAATGTAGCAGCGCACGTTCGGATCCTTTGTAAAAAAGCTACCCGACACATTTTACGCCCGTTGAGGTAGCAATCTGAGCGCAAGTAGATTGAGAACCTTTCGGAAGTTTCCCATGTGTTTTGTGCTGCAGTACTCTGAGCACAACACTCTGAGCATCTCTGAGTTAAAGGCTCAGTAGACATTACGATATCCCGTCGGGGTGGACCACTTGCAAGGGCCTCTAAATAGTCTGTATACGTCTATGTCTATATAGTAAATGTCACTCAAAACATGTCAAAACGACTGAAGCTGCAAAAGCATGTCAACCCCCGCAAAACCTTCACAGTTGCATTGTCAGTTTTCCAGCTTTGCACCAAACATGCTGCCTCATACCGCTCCGCAATCACCCTTGAAGTTATGTCAGCCAGGTTTTCTTTGGCGGGTGAGGCTGATACCTGGCCAGCGCGACCACGAACGAGCCCCAAAACATTTCCACGCCTTGACAAACATGCTCAGCATGGGCTCAGCATTGCATGGAGTGCATATGACAGCACATTGGAATTAGATTGTTGTACTAGATTACAATAGAAAATGTTACAAGGAGTACCTGATAGTACCAGTATGACATCATGGGACTTGTTAGACTTTCTTCTACATACCGCAGGTCGATTAACATAGTGCTGCTTAAACTAGCAAAGCAATTTGGATGCTTTGGCGATGCTTGAGCATTCGGCTTTGAAGTTTGGGGACCGGGTCAAGGTTCCAAACATGTCCAAAAGGGAGCAAAGGATGCTACAACCTATAAAAGCGTGGACTGAATGACACTGATATAAGTATGCACTGATACATCTTCAGTTCTTGGACGTCTCAAGTACTGTTCACTAGTTCCCTGGTCAAGACATGTCAAGACCGGCCTCGCTTACGTCGTTGAAGAACAAATCCAGGCCGTCCACGACAAGGTAAAGCACATCCTGCATGCACAGCGTGTCCAATCTGGCCATAAGCTTTGTGACAATCCGTGTCAACGCAGCCTTGCTTCGAGATTTCTGCGAAGTCCTGGGTCAGAATGCAACTGCGATGTTTTGCCCTCAAATGAACATTGGGATACATTTGGTGCCTTCAAGTGCATGATAGCAGGTTCAACAAGCACGAATAGAACAGTCGAGAGAGCACAGAGGTCCCAACTCACGGAAGAACTCTTCGTACTTGAGGAGACGATCGTCAATGCCCTACAAATCTAAAATCGCATTTTGCACCCAGAGGATTCAAAAAAAAACAAAGAAACACTAAAGAAACAAGAACTTTGAAACCAAAGCTACAGTATCGAGCAGAAATGCAATGCCTTCCACTTGATGTCTTCACAAACATTGTGCAAAGTTTGCAGTGGCCTCGGCACACAAAATCATCACTGACAGCCCACTCCTGTTTGAAGATCACACATAGCAAGAGCTTGAAATGTTTCTGCAGTGGATTTGGACCCTGGACGTTGTTGCACGAAAAAGCCTGTACATCGGAAAGTCTGCCACAACCTAAGTAGTGTCATCGGGTCTCTCTTGTTTCAGTAGGAATTTGCCAAATTTGATTCACTCTGCTTGGAATCTTGAAGCCGCTTCCAGTCACTATGCTAAGATAAGGTCCACATCTTTGCCACCTGTTACACACCTGCGCTTTCGCTTACACGCACAACACAGTCAGCAGGCATATTGCGCAGTTTCAAAAACAACAAAAACATGCTGGTGTCTCGTCACAATCTCCACAGATCGCCACTTTCCGTTGACCTGAATCAGAGTGCCATGATGTCCAGACTGGGCTTCCTTTGGACTATTCACAAACATCGAACTTCTTGTACTGTATCAAAAAATATCTTGCTGGACCATGTCATTGGTTTGATATGGTTTGATGATGTTTGATATGGATTGATGATGTCTGATGATGTTTGATGATGTTTGATGATGTTTGATGATGTTTGATGATGTATGATGATGTTTGATGATGTTTGATGATGTATGATGATGTTTGATGATGTATGATGATGTTTGATGATGTATGATGATGTTTGATGATGTTTGATGATGTTTGATGATGTTTGATGATGCTTGCGAAATGCGAATGCAGGATTGCAGCACAAGCGTTGCGGCGAGTTTCTTCCAAAGTTCCAGACCCTTTGCACGGGAGTTGGAGATGGAAATACGTACCCTCGTTCTACAGGTGTTGCCGTATGCAGCATGGCTGCAAACCTTCGGGTAATGAAGAGCTTCACGCGTCACTGTGAATCGTCTGTGACTGTGCCGTGTGCATCACGGTGCATCATGGTGCAAACCGGGCGAACCATTTTGCCCTTGATTTCTGTGCAAATCTGACACAAACTTGACAAACGCAATCCGATACAAGAGTATATAAAGCTTGAAAGCTGTCTCCCTGCGGGTCTTTGTCTCTGCGACTAAGCAAGTGCAGGTGCCACTGCACCATACTGCACCCATGAAGTTCTGGAGCCAATTCACCCCAGAGCATCAGCTATGATCAGATTATGATCCGAGAATGCTAGGTTTGCGAGATCTTGTTCTTTGCGCCGTGCATATTGCACAGCCCAAAACCGCCAAAACACCTCTGTACATGGGCCATTCTGAGCAATTCTGAGCTCAGAAGACTCAAACAAAGAGACTCAGCATGAATCAGCCTTCGGGCTGAATCTCTTGAGAAAGCTGCTCGCGTTTCAAAACAGCTGCCCTGATTTGCCGATCAGCAAGAAACTTCACCTCTGCCAGAACAAAAACAAAAAGCATCTAGGAGAGCAAGTGATGCAAAGCCTTGGTTCACTCAGGTCACATCAGGTCACTCTGCTGTTTTTTTCCACTGGCACCACGGCACGAAGTAATAAACCAAGTCCACGTCAGTTTCTGAAGTTCTCAACCTAAACAGTTTTAAACACCCAGGCACAACTTGATACAACTTGCCTTGAGTGTCGCAACCTTTCTTCGCCTGTCCAATGCCCTCAGTCGCACCAAGTGTCGAGGTAGAACCGGTCAATTGTCATGTTCAAAAATCAAGCATGATCTCATGCAAGTCGCGATGCAAGTATTGGATAGTACCAGCAGATTTCATGCAGATTTCTATAGATCTCTTATTGAGGCTGCACAACACACCTACCTTTTCGGAGCAAGCTGTATTTCGTTTTATGACAAATTGAAATCCGTGCGGGGTTGTCACGGCTGTCCAAATCCTGAAGGCCTCGCCCTTTTCCAATGTCTGACCTTTTCTTCTTGACCTCTGCCACCTGGCAAATGTGACAACACCAACAAGCCTCTTTATGATAACATCAGCATGTGACAGCTTATCCCGTCGTAAGTTTTGGCAACCTGTAGACTCTACAGGCCTCTACTTCAAGCAAACCACCCCTATTATCTTTCCTTCGCTGTCATGAATTTCGAACAAGTAGTCACCAAATATGTTCCTTTTTTTTTTATTTCCTCCGTCACCTTGCACATCCTTGCAACCATTGACAAACTTATATAAGTGTTATAATGTTTTATACAAAATTGCACCCCTTCTTCCTGCGTGCTACAGTCATCTACAAGTACCATCTACTTTATCATATTTCTTGTAACTCCTATGGTACAGGTGTGCACTTACCTGTGCCCCATTCAAGTCAAAGGTCTTCCTCATGTCAAGAGGTATGGCCATGCCCGCCATCCCAGCAGCTCGGCTCGGCACATCTATATGTGCACCAAAGCGTTTTGCTACTTTCATCACGGACACGACCCTTGGTGTTCCAGTTCTTACCCTCACAGTGACTGTCTGCGACTGCGACAATGAACATGAATTTGAAAAAAACATAAAGTATTTAATGTGGGCATTGCACAATGAACAAACGATAACCAGGACGATGAATATGATCATGCAAATGACAACATAAATATACTGCCCACGGCGGCGACGACGGCAACAACGATGATGATAGTATATAATAACAATGGCATTGATGGTGGCAACGATAGTGACGACGGTGGTGGTGTTGATGACAACTGGCGACTGGTGATTGGTGACGGGTGACTGGTGATGATGATGCTGATGATGCTGATCACGCTGATGCTGATGATGCTGATGATGCTGATGATGTTGATGCTGATGATGGTGATCATGATGATGCTGATGCTGATGATGCTGATGATGATGATGATGATGATGCTGATGCTGATGATGCTGATGATGATGATGATGATGATGCTGATGATGCTGATGATGCTGATGATGATGATGAGTTGATGATTTGATGATTGGATGATTTGATGATTTGATGATTTGATGATTTGATGATTTGATGATTTGATGATTTGATGATTTGGTGTTTTGATGAATTGATGATTTGATGATTTGATGATTTGATGATTTGATGATTTGATGATTTGATGATTTGATGATTTGGTGATTTGATGATTTAATGATTTGATGATTTGATGATTTGATGATTTGATGTTGTGATGATTTGGTGATTTGATGATTTGATGATTTGGTGATTTGATGTTGTGATGGTTTGATGATTTGATGATTTGATGATTTGATGATTTGATGATTTGATGATTTGATGATTTGATGATTTGATGATTTGATGATTTGATGATGATGATGATGATGATGTTGCAAATACACATGCAGGCACATGTAAAAGTGACACAGTGCTATCAATGTGGGTTCACCATGGGTCACCATCAGCATCCTGTCCTATTCTGTATGTATCATGTATCCAGTCTTATCAAATACACAATGCGGATGCCACATGCGCAAAGATTATGCGTCTGAAGCCGTTTCATCTGACATGCCATATCTTCCACTTGATACCCCGCCATCATGCCCACTCTTTAAAGATACCCGTCCGTGAATAGATCACACACGAACACACTTCCTCGAAAGAAAAATCATACCGCATCGGTTTGGTGGTTCTGGCTTTCCTTGCATCACAGGTCTCTTGAGGAGCCGCGCATTTGGCAGCAGAAATGTTACAGTACTATTATAATACTGTCTTAATCCAAGAGTTTGAGGTGCTGGCGACTCCAAACGTGAACCAACAGGTAGTCCCAGGCCTTCCAACGAGCCTGTGTCAGCAAAATGTCAAAACATGTCAAAATATGGGATGTTTTAGGAGCTCTCCTACGCTCTCCTATGGCAAAATGCAAGGATTGGAGATCGTATGTGCATCTTCTTGCATCCAGCTACATAAAAAAGCTCAAGGAGCTGCCTTCAGTTGGCATCGCTGCATTGAGCGCCTCAAAGAGACACACTGAACCGCTGGGGAAAGAACAAAAGCCACATGGCTCTTTCAGGAGTCCACCTTGCTCTTGCTTGTAGCTGAGTATGAAGAAACTACGTACAACTACTGCACAGTACCTGTATCCTTGAGTGGTCAGCAAATATGCCAGATGGGCGTGCTTGGCAGAGGTGGATGTTCAATTGTACTGCAGCAAGCAACTTGAACTATCAGGGCTCCCATCTCATGTCACCAGCGTTACTGTCGCAGGCAAATTTCTCTGAGTGTAAGGCTGAGATTGTTGATTGCGATGAGTCCTTTGCCTAGCCAGCAGTCAAGATGATAGTCGTGAAATAAGAACGAGATGGAGCCTCAGGAGAAACTCTCTTCCTATGTCATCTTAAGGCCCCCCACTATCCCCAAAATTGTCTGGAATCTGCTCGGCAATGATACTGCTGGAGGAGCACTTCTGGATCTCCTCCGTCAAACAAAGCACTCACATTCTTCTGCCCTGGCTCTCAATTCTCAGTCTGCGATTAGGACATGCTTTGACTGTTTCCAGGATAATGAGTTTGCTCAGTCTCCTTACTGGTTCATCCTCTTTGACAGTAGCTTCCCTGGCCTTCATGTGCTGCTGACAACTGCAAAGAATGTAACTAAGATTGTTTGACTGTACAAGTACTTCAGTTCAAAATTGCTCGATCCAAAAAATCTAACCACATTCAATGAAAGGAATTCCTATGTACATTCAAGAATCCAAAGCAAAACAAAACATGAAATAAAGAGGTCTAAAGAAGTTAAGACATGTTGAGACTTGGCTCAAACCGATGTACTTTCGGAGCCTGCAACTGTCGCGTTGCGCGCATGCGTCGTCCCCATTTTTCGTCTGGCACTCCCATAGTACAGCCCTGGCCAACACGCATTCATTCAGAGCCTTTGTCGAAGGATTCAGTCTGAACCAAAAGACCCCCAATGCATTTCGTTTCCGGAGCGACTTAATTATATGGCCGTAAACGGTAGCACATTGGAGCACCGTGCCTCTAGTGCTTCAAGCAGCTCATTCCATGCCCTGCAAGAGAAACAGGGTCGAAAAGGTCATGGCTTTAAAATCCCACACAGGCATATTGATATCATATTGAATAGAGCAATAACTACTGAAATCACGTCTTCAACTGACGCGGCAGTTTTTCCACAAACACGAATTTCGAGCGAGCACGAAGAATAATCCCTGAAGGTCAAGCGCTAATTCCCATCTTGAAGCATCTTCCAGCATATTCCAACTCCTGTTTCATGTTGTTCAATCTTTACTAACCTTTACAATAGTTCCCTCTTCGGGTTGATTCAAGATGATGCAAGCCAGGATAAGCCAGGCCTCTGCTTCGCCTCCGCTTCCTCTATAGATTTGGCCTTCGCAGGCAAGGTGGTTCTTGCATTAGGCAAACCCGTGTGAAGGGAGGACGAGTGAAGTCAGTCATTGAGTCAAAGCCACAACGATTCATCAGCAACGCAGAGATCAGTAAGAGAGTTAGATCAGTAAAAGATCTTGAGATATCCCAAAAATTCCCAAAACATCCTTTAAAAATATCAAAATCGTGAGGATCCCAGCTGCTCTGCACCTCCACCATCAAATGTGGCAGCATCTCAGTTTTTGAAGCCATTCCTGGCTTCGCAAAAAAAACATCCCTGGCTTCCAAGATGACGGAGTAAACCTCAATAAAAGTCGGAGCCACGGTGCTTCAGCCCATCGACCATGGCCATCAGGAATTGCTCAAACTTAGCTTTCAAGGTTGCAAATTGTCTAGCACATCTTCATGGTGATTGGCTTCAACCCCACAAGAGAGTGAAACTTTATCATTGCAATCTAGACCTTTGAGATTGTGGAGATCTTCCTAAGAAATCTTGAGAACCAAACAACACTCTTGAGCCAGTCCCAAAAGCTTCAAAAGCTCAGTGGGAGACCCGAAGCTCCACGGGCACTACCAAATTCGGATTCCGATACATAGCCTCTGAGACAAGGAGGCCACGACTGCACAGGCAGTGAAATGCAGTGAAAGTATCAAACGTGGAGGGAACTCGTAGTTGATAGAATCGTAGAATATGTTATCTTTTAAATATTTTTATTCTATAGAATATTCAAGACAATCTTGGAATATGATATACAGTGATATACAGTTTTTGTTATTGTCTACACTCTACACTCTCGTCTCGTTCACACTCACTTCTAAGTTTCCGGCTGCTGCGAGGCAAACCTCTTGGAAGTCCTCGAAATGAAGGGCGGACGCTTGCCTCATTGACCGACTTGAGTCACTTGAGTCCATATAGTCCATTGCACTGCAACACAGATTGATCAAACATCTACATCTATTAATCCCCACCTCCTTTTACTAAACGTACCCCAAATACTAAAAACTAGGGTCCGCGTAAAATTTTGGGAAATTTCAGACTGGCCAATTTGATTTTTAATTGATCCCCTTTCGAAAACAAATTATACATGAAGGTCTCATTTCAGGGTTTCACCCCCTAATAATAAAAACTAGTCAACCCCGGGGTGTCTTTTATTAGGGTCCGTCTTTTAAGGTCCGAAAAAAAAAAAAAAACATATGTATATATATATATACGTATGTTATATTAATGTTTTCAATTTAATATTAGGGGAAAGCTTCGAAATCCAATGTTTGGCAATATTTTAATTAGATTTTACAACGAAATCTATATAATCGATTTTTAAATAGAAAAAAATAGTTTTTATATTAAGGTTTTTAATTTAATATCAGGGGAAGGCTTCGAAATCCAATTTTTGGAGATATTTTATATTTTATTTATAGATTTTAAAAGGAAATCTAATCGATTTTGAAATAGACAAATTTAGTTTTTTATGTTAGGGTCTTTAATTTATAGTATTAGGGGGAAGCTTCGCACCCTAATACTAAATACCCTCTAATACTAAAAACTCCTCGTGTTTATAGATTGGGAGGGAGGGGGGACGGTTTAGTAATAGGGGGAAGTGATTAAGAATCTACTAGTCCTACACCAGAGGGATGCGGAGGAGCAGGTTCTGAAAATGCGCGCAAGGAATGCCACGAATGCGAGGAACGTCACCATTAAGTCGATAAAGTCAAGAGTGTAAACGCGCACACATGCTATTAATCACCTCTAGACTCTAGCTTTCTCCATGGCAAATGAAGGGGGCTCTCTCCATGAGCTGAGACACCAACGCAGTCAGCTGTGACACGCACGGCTGCAGTCCCTGAACGGAAGTTTCAAACATCAAATGTCTTCTGACGCATATGAAGACTCTGAAGAACTCTGAAGGCTGGCAAAGACTTGCTGGGACTTCAGGAAAGTCATTTGCTGATTGGCCTGGATCTTTGGAGGCAAAGACTTTGACCTCCCCATGCTTTCTTTTTTGATCCGACGGCGTACCTTCCAGGTTTTAATTGTGCACAAAACATGAATAAAGAACACATGACCTTTACACAGAGATGCGTCAGTCTGTTTTCAGTGAACTTCACTACGGCGACATCGCCACTTGATGGCCTCGGCCTGACCTTGAAAGCAAATTTTCTCCTTGTTGGTCTGGAAATGGCGTCTGTCGGTCAGGCTCTGGTAGATGGACCTGCAAAAGCCCATGACCAATGCTACGACGAAGCGGAAAGTGTAAAGCACATTAGCACAGGCTGGGCACAGGAACTTCGTGATTTCAAATTTGGGATTGTGCGTCAAATAGGCAGATGGGTTTCATTATGTTCCAGTCCGAAGGTGAAGACCTGGTGGTAGCTCGCTGCAAGCCACTGCCTGTCGCTGTTTGCAAGACCCTGCAAACAAACGAGTGGTTTCTAGTTTACGAATTATTGTATATTATCACAAATTATTATGAACCATTATAAATAAATAATTATGAATTATGAATGCTTGTGATGTGAATGACACGCACAGATCTGGACTTGCGCCTTTTGACCTGGTATGAGACAAGCAACAGGGTTAACAATACCCGCTACAATGGAGGTGTTTCTTCCTGTTGCCCTGTAAAGAACTTGAATAGCCGTCACTTTTTTTGACTGCATTGGAACATTATTTTGAGGTATTTAAATGTATTTAATATATAATGTAACATCAATATTACAAACATAAGTTGTATCAAAGACACACTTACTTTGCTTGTCCAAATTACTGACCCACTTGTCACTTGTAAGTCAGCAAAGCAGAATGTTTACACTTATTGTTCTGCAAAAGTCTTTATTGCAGTTGAAACAGTGATGCAAGTTGAAACAGTGTTGCAGTGCACAAACGTTCCAGATCAATCTGAGCCTAGCAAACCAGCATCGGAGAAAAGGCTGACCAAAGAGGCCTCCAGCTTCGGCAACTGTCAACACCCCTGGCCAAAGGCCTAAATGCGTTGTATAAATTGTCTCCGAATCTGCGTTTCAGTGTCCAGGCCTCTCCCATTCGGAGCTCCTTCAAACAATCAAATACTCACTAGATCTTAGGCAAAACGTACCGATTGCCAACTTGAATTCATTCAAAGTCGAACGAAAGGCGGATCAAATCACATCAAGTTCGAATCAATTCCCACAATCGCACGACTCCTCTTGCGTCTCGGAGACATAGCCTTGATTCGCGTACCTTTCAGCCCAGGCAACGGGGACTGGCACATACAATACATACAATCTCTATGGCACTCAAGCTCTGAACAGTCAACTGCACAAATGATAGCCATTTACAACAATGACCGAGACAGCAATACCGGAACCTCGTATAAAACTCGAAGACAATAACAAACCAACTCGCAGATAACAAGCGCAGTAAGTATGGCAGAGTGGATCTTGCAAGACACAAGAAACAAGACGTGCATCTCAGGCGTGTACAAGACAAAGACCGCACGCATGAAAGGCTCCCAGCTAAGTTGTAGATGCTGAACCTGCACTTAGAGTCACGATGCAAAACCGGAACACAGTTGAAGTCAAAACACGAAAAAGGTTGAAAAACATGTTGAAACCAGACTGTCAAGATGTCAAGATCAAATCATGTCATATTTGCTGTCACTTCAAAATGGGTCAAAATGTGTCTAAATAGCTTGTCAAAGGAAGTTTAGTAAGAAAACTTCCTGAAAAGCAATACACAACATAGATCAACATAGCTCATCAACGGATGCACCACCATGCCTGAGACGTATGTATTGACAAAGTGAACTGGTTCTCTGCAGCGTTGCACCTTGCTCTTAACCGGATTTGCGGATTTGTGGATCTTTGCTTTTAGATGATGCTGGGAGCTGTGCTGCCCATTGAGCAGCTCTTCCGAGTTGCGGACTCAGCTTTCTGCAAATGGCTGCCAAAGAGCTCCCTCAACGACCTCTTGACATGTGACAAAGAGTTTGAACAAACCACCAGGAATGTTTAACACGCACTGTCACCCCTCACGATCCTCGACACATCCTAGTCTATCGGAATGATTCGGAATGATCGTTCTCATTTCCTCATGCTGCTTTATGACTGGTTGTGTTTGGCATCATCATCATGATATCATGGCCATCGTCGCAATCATCTAATATGAGGCAGTATGAGGCAAATGACAGCTGCCGCCAGCAAATAAGGTTTTCTCGAGTGCATGCAACGCTGGGGAAACATGCGCTAGACTTATGAGGCCAACTGGAACAGAGAAAGTTGATTTTAGCAAAAAATTGGAAAAAAAGAATCAAAAACATATTTACCACAAAAACAAACTGACTGGAAGAATCACCAGAAAAACCAAAAAAGAACCAGAAAAAGACAAAGAAAAACAACTAAATGAAAATAAACACAAAATAAATCAAAACCTGGATTTTCCTCAGTGTTTGATGTTTTCTTGTGTTTTTTCTGTTTTGTTTTTTATTTTTTTTGTTTTTGGTTTTCTGGTGTGTTTTCCGGTTTGCTCTGTTTTGTTGTTTTTTTGTTTTTGTAATTTTTGTGTAAAATAAAACCCTACATTTTCTGTGTTGTTGGACTCGTAACGCTAGACCCCAGCCACAAGTCAACCTTGTCAATGATACTGCTGAAGATTGTCTCCGAAATGCACTTTCCTGCAATGGACTGCACTGCTCTCTGATCGGTTGAGAGACTCATGCACATGATGAGCGACCAGGCTGGATACTGCTGGCTTGCAGCAATCAACACCATGGAAAATCGTCCTCCCTGTGGATGGCAATTCGAAGCAGGTAGCGAACGAATCCATGCCTTGGACGAGTCCAAACTCTGCAATAGCCCTTCCCGGCGTTGTACTCTCAGAACATCTCACAACAACAGCTCAAAAAGGTAGAAAGGATCAGAAAGGATCAAAGATTGCTCAAAGCAAACACCACCACATACCACCACTCTTAGTGCCACCTTTTTGAACCCAGCATTGATCACCACAAGGTCTTCACTGAATCAAAAGCAACTAGCTATACGGACATACGGGCTATACGATGCTATACGATGCTAAAATCGTACAAATGTTCTTGAAAATTCTTGAAATCAAAAGATTCCTAAGCTCCACTCCGTCAGTGCAGGTCATTGGCACTTACAGCGTGAAAGCGAAAATTTCGAAAAATCCGCGGTATCAGCATTCAATGTATAGCACTATGTAGCACTGCGGTTCATTCTCCGTGGTTACGCACCAACGGCCTGGAATCCCAGAATGCAAAGAACTGCCACTATTCACTTGACGGAATAGGTCAACATGGTATGTATATGGTATGTATGGGAATGTATCAATAATATTCAATAATGTGAAAATGTGTGAAATAGGTTTGAATAGGTGGACGTAACAAGGAAAGAGAAGGGCGCTTCTTAACTGATAGCCAAACAATGCCAAACATGACAAGTATGAACGGCCTTGCTTCAGATATACATATCAAGAGATTTCTGTCGAAGTGGATTCTGTTGGCTTTTCTGGTGCTGTCAATTGAGTTTCTCAAACACCATCTGATATCTGTCCATTTATCGATCGCTGCGCTGACGTCCGCGGACTCCCCACCTTTGACAAAGCTGTAAAATCCTTAATGCAGGTGTCCAGTGCCACTGATGCTTGCGCCATAAACCTTAACCAAGACATTTGAAGACCACATTCCCAGGTGACAAAGGTCAATTGCTCGGTCCGCGTAGCGAACTGTTTTGTCTGGCGATCTTGAGGGCACAGCTTTCTGAAGCTCTCCGGACCACCATTGATGGCAAATATCGTACAATATGCCTGCCCAAGTGCACATGTCAGCGAGTTGTCCGCGTACAACCAGAACACTTCACAAATAGGCCAGCTCCTTATACAGTCTGATTGTTTCATTTTCTTCTGAATTTGTTTGATGTGTTTCCCTTGTTTGACACCGGACCTGATAGTCCAGCTGGGACAAGTGCTGCAAAACATCCTGCCGCAGCAAGAAGCATATATGTCAAGTTCTCTTGCCCCAGGAACTTGAAAATTGCCTCTTGCAGTTCTTCATTGTTTTCTTTTATATTCTTTCAGTGACCTCCATGCCATACACAAGATCAACATCGCTTTGAGTGAGAATTTCATGGACAACTCTCCTCTAGGTCAGGAACATCTGGAGGATCGTCAACATAGACCTCCATCAGGGCGTCCTGACAACTGGAACATCACACCTTTGTCCTCCCTTTCATGTGAAGATCATGTGAAGATCATCTGAGACTTACGTAGATCAACTTGGCGACTGCATGAAGCAGGCAAGTTCCAGGTCTCGAGACCTGGAAGCTCTCCTTGATCTTGAAAAGTGGGGAAACCGTTCCAACAGTGCCAGCTACCCGGCGAATATCGTCGCCGTTGCAATCAACACCTGAGATTCGCTTCGAAATGAGAAAATGACGACTCTTGGCACTCCTTGCACTCTTGGCATCTCTTGGCATCTCTTGGCTCTTGCTTGGTCCGAATTCCAAATACGTCTCACACGGATCTCCTTCACTCATTCACTGTGCTTTGGATCTCAGCCAAGTCGCGTGTCCAGCACTCATCTGCTCTCAATTTGTCCAAAGCTTTCTTGCTAGCGACAATCTGTTCAGTCGCTCCTTTGAGAGGGCTGCCAAAATGGGTTCTGCAACAGGTGCCAAGGGCTGTTAAAGTGCTTGCATATTTTCAAAGAAAGATCGAACATGAAAAAATAGACTGCAAGATATTGCAAGATACCGCAAGCTGCACAGAACGTGCGCAGAATGATGCAGAATGCATCAACTCACCAACCAACCCAGCCCCTCAAAAGAATGTAGATGTAGTAGAATCTCTGCCAAAACTGCCATCGTGATATGACTGCTGCAGCATTTCATGCAGAATACCACATTTGAATGAATTTGCCCTCCCGACTTATAGCCTCAACTACAGGTCCTGTGGCCCCTGCGGGCTGGGCAGCATTGGCAAGGAGAATGCCAAGCCCGACTGCTCGCCTCTCAACAATATCAATGGAAATAGGATCTAATAAAATGAATCTGATCAGTAAACTTGATAGCATTAGATAGGCAATGTACAGTGCATGATGCAATATGATACAATTCAGAAGCGTTCGTAAATATCGTAAATCTAATCTGAGGCTATATATGGAGCGGCTATATAAACATAAAATTTCATAAACCTGATTCAGGCCGATTCAGGCCTCGATGCCACGGTGTTTGCCTGCCAAACTCAAGATAGCTCACTGTGACACTGTGACACTCACGAGCCCAGCAAAAGCTGAAACGAGTGAAAAAGTGCCGAAAAGTGCCGAAAGGTGCCGCATCTGCTGATGCCTGGGACTTGGGCGCAGCAAAGGCTTTCTCCCAGCAGCTGAGCCTGAAAAGGTCTGAAAAGGTCTGAAAAGGAAGCTCAGTGAAACTCACAATACCATACAATACCATACAATACCACCGGGTTTTATCTCACGACACAATCAGCAATCAAAACACAACGACAGCTGTTAGCAGCTCTTGTTCACAGCTCTTGTTCACAGCTCTCGTTGACAGCTGCTGCTGATGTTGCCAACCGCAGCCTGCCTTGTCTCAAGGCAAAATAGGCATGACAGCAGGAGTATACAAAGCGGAAACGTAGATTGCAGGATGGTTCTTGAAGGTCTTCTATGCCTTTCATTACCTCGAATGCCACTGGCTCTTGAAAGTGGATGCACATTGGCGCAAAATGATGGGCATCTGCAACCGGCCATATCTCCCACAGGTTGCTGGAATCGAAGCAATCTGACAGTGCTGATTTTGCCAAGCTTCATTGCCATCTAAGCATTGCAGGGAGGCAGGAAGCTCTCTAAGTCTGACGACAGTTTCTTTGTACAATCAAACTCACATGGCTGCGATGAGAAGCATCGGCGATGAGAAGCATTGCAGACATGAGCATGCTGTGAAGATTCTCTGCAATTCCTTGACACGGCATTGAAAATCTAGTCTACTCATGTGCTGGATTTTCAGGTCTCGACAAGCTGAGACCATAGTCTTGCCAGCTGGAGTCTTTTTCAGATTCCTGCCTCAGTAACATAGAACGGGCATATATTCAATCTACATCACAGCGCAGCTTTTCTGCAGACTCTCGGCGTCAAAGCCCAGAACCACCTTTGTATCTCTGCCATGTGCAAGTACTTGGTATGCCTGGCAAGGGCAGCGTGTCACCACCACGTCCCCGTAGCAAAGAACAGAGAGAAACTTCCTCCTCAGATATCTGTTCCAAGACATACGCACAAGACATGCAAAAGACATAGGCACAAAACGAGCACAGGCCACAGAGTTGCACTTTCCTGGCAGATTTGCCAGTTTACAACTCGCAGAATCGAAGGCAGAGGTATCGTCGTAATCCAATACATTGGGATACGCGGCTATGCGTTTCAATGTACTGTACTCTAAATCTAACGTCATAGCTAAGTCTGCCAAAATGTAATATACCAATCCAAAGCAACTTATAAAGCAGCACCTGCAATGTTTCTGGTTCAGCGTCTAGTACCTGCATCTCAACACTCATGGGCAAATGCAATACGCGCCTCATGTTTCACATCTCCACATGTTCCACAAGCTTCATCTCAAATCGGATCAAGGTCTTGTCCGCCGTTGAATCAATCTCAACAGAACTGTACTTCATCATTCTTTGTCCCTCTTCCAACCAATCACAACTGACTGGAGTCAAGACCGCCTCACCTCACAAAAGATCCTTTGTGCGGCATCTTTCGGCAAGAAAAGGCAGGGACATGACCTGCTCTCAAATCACACCCGTCATTCCTAGTCATTCCTATGAAAAAGATGGGAATCGAGTAGAAGTGCAACCCATAACAGCAATGAACAGCAATGAGTTGCAGCTGGCGAATATTTGAAAGAACATGAAAGAACTATGCTGAATCTATGCTGAACTGAGCTGGCGTGCATGTTTGCATCTCGGTACAGCTGGGCTATGCCACTCCAGTACACCTGGCGTCCAAACATGTCTAAGTTTGTCTAAGTAGCTATGAACACTTGACACGGCAACCCCTCTTTCTGTCGTCAAAGGGGCAGCTTGGCCGCGCAAATCCAAGCCAAATGAGCCAATTATTTTGGTGCGCAAGTAAGTATGCTTCTCGGGTCCCTTGGATGCTCTTGGTCTGTACATTGTACCAAAGCACCGGCCGCAATTGAAACGTTAGTGAGCCAAAACATCTTAAAACATGGCAAGACATCCTAGAACTAAATACAATTCCGCTACTTGTCCCGTTCGAAGGTACACTTGACCTTTTGGATCTTGAATCATCCTGAAGTCACTGCTGACCAGGCCAGGCAACTCCTGTCCAGAGTCCAGCTTCAGAATCTTGTTTGATCCAATTTGCTGTTTTTTTTTCCAAAATGCTGTTGTCTCCGCCTAAGATCATCCAAGCAGCTTTGGTTGCCACAGAAACTGATGGAGGGGTTGCTCGAAAAGCCCACAAGCCTTGGCTTTCGGAGACATAGCAAGACTTAGCCACTAATGATCACGATCACTTTTTGTTCACTAATGATCCCTTGGTCTGCAGTGCTTGTATTGAATTGATTTGAATTGTATATTGAAATGATTTGAAATGTACTGCACTTTGTATTGCTTGATGTAATCCTTTTGCAGCCCGGAGGCCCTGCCCAGAAAACACTCCGGAAGCCATGGTTCTCAGGATCGACAGCTACCTGTGGCAAAGTTTGAGGAAAAAGAAAAAGAAGCCTAGACAAATCTCAGATATTCGCAGATTCAGAGTGTCTGACTTTGGGGTCTGCACTGTCTGACTGTCTGCACTACATCATGCAGTGCTACACAACAGCATGTCAGAGACTCGCACAATGTTGTTTCATGACTGAGCTTGTGGCTAAACCATGACAGAGACCATACGCAACCTGAGTTTTCAGTATGAATTCGAGGACACACTACTGTAATGGACCAGCCATTTGACGAGTATTCCCGCTCCACGATAGTGTCCAAGGAGCACCAAGCGCAGAGCCCAACTTCAGGCCGTGTACTACCTCAAACACATCAGTATCATTCACATCTCTGCAAAAGGTGAACATTGAAACATATTGAAACATATTGAAACACCTCGAAAAATCAAAGGTAAAAACATTGCGTTGTCAAAAGCAAGTCTGAGGCACCAAGTCCAAGCGCTGCATCCCGTAGTACAGCAGGAGGCCACCCAAGTAAGCTACTTTGATGGTCCGGAGTGTTTGATTTTCACCAACCTGCCCGAAGTAAACAAATGATCCCAGATCCACAAAGTGAAACACTTGCGCAAGAGTCGCAACAGTAGTCACAACAGCTGTCTATATAGAAACATGCCCACATGCGAGAGAATAGACCTCAAATGACCTCAAGGTCTTCTTGTAAAGATCCCTGTCGATTCTGCACATGACAAGTGCTGTTCAATCTTCAAGAAAATCTTCAAATATCTTTGAAGTTGTTGTCATTTCAAGGTAAACATCTCAATCACTGTCCCTGGCATGAAGCCGTATGAAACCAGTACCGAGGCATGTTCCAACAAATCCACCGGCCACAAAACCCGCACACATTTACAGCTCACACCCTCACACCCACCCACTCGTCTAAAGATGTCTAAAGTATTACGATTGCCTTCAATTACATCGGATTGAAGATATCAAAAAATGAATTTAACATTTCATGTTATTTCATGTTATTTCATGTTATTTCATGTTGAATATGGTGCGAAACTTCCTGAAATCATCGTTACTGCTGATGCCTCGCAAAACAGATGACACCTCCATGATCAACATGCGCGCCGAAGCGAGAGCACACATTTGCAAAGACAAGTTAAAGTGAACATGTAATCAGACTTCCTACGAAAACATAATCTTGATTTTGTTGCATTATTTGTTTGAATTCTCTCTTTCATAGCGCAAAATACCTGGAGACTCTGAGTTTAGCAGGCGAAACTTCTTCAAAAACACACATCTAAAGTCCTCAAAATGAGCTGTTTCTGAACTCCTGCCCAAATTCGTGATGAACAAAAAACAATACAGTCGTAGAAGGCCCGCTGCAAGGTCCAAAGGACTGCACCCGCAACTTTAGGCCCGTGACTCGTGATGCAAACTCACTTTTTAGTTTTGAACCCATCAAAACCTCCGTTCTGGTTCTACAGTATGAGATTTTTCCGACAGGGAGGCCTTGGGCAATCATTGATTCGCTCCAGCTAGCGCAGTCGAGTATGACCGATGTTTTGAAATGTTCTTAGATGCTTTTGAAATTAGAGCTGCTTTGAGTGCACTTTGCTTGGGATAGAAATCAAAATCTCTGAAGAAAGTTTGCCCGATGCACGGAGGTATCAGTGCCTGAATACCTGGCCAAGCGCGATCCGGAACCGCTGCAAAACCACCCAAGAGCACACCTGCTGCAAGTCCTGCAGCCGCGCCAAAATGAGACTTGACAAACAATGGCAAACAAGGCTAAAAACTTCTACAGATTCTACCGAATATGATATGAAATGGACTTGCTTTACTGGTGATTGATTGGTAGAGTGGTTCCTTGAAGTCTTGGAAAGAATGACTACAAGACCATCTGGGTTGAGCTGAGTGCGGGATGGCCACAATTATTACAACACACCATAAGCGTAAAATCTGTTGATATCATTTCTCGCTACGTACGACTTCTTACTACCTATTTTAAATGGTAGCGATTGCCATCTTGATCCATCTTGGATACTGTCTGCTTTTACCCCACCCCTGCGGTGGGTATTCGACCTGCAAGTCCGCATATTGCAAGCTTTTGCAACCCATTCAAATGATGCAGTGTTGCGTGATCTCGGGCTTGGGGATGGTTCAAAAGTCGGTGGCCAAAAAGTCAAGACATCTCCTGACACCAGATTATTTTGCACGTGTGCTCCTCAAAGGCGGTTTGCCACGAAAAATCAGGTCGTTGGTTTGGGAAAGTGTCCTGCTGACTCTTTCTCTTCTCTGACTCTTCCCACCTCTGCTTTTTCATCTGTCCATAGTGTCGGAAGTTTGACTTTTAAACTTCCTTCGATTATTTGATATTTATCTAAAATATCATCTCCAGTCCTGATATGCTTACTGTGACAGGACTAGCAGTGATGCTGCGAACCAATATATGTTGAACGCATCCAATGCCCACGGCAAAAAAAAACAGTGAACAGCGACCTCAAAATCCCAAAATCAAAAGAGAACGGAGCTGGAACGACAGAAATCAAAACGAGAGAGGGGCTACTGATATCTACTGATACTGCTAAGACAGATGCAGAATGGATGGATTGGAAGGACACCAGAAAGAAGCAATACAAAAAAAAGGTGACAAACCTGTCCAACGAAAGCAGCAACTGAAGCAAAGTTCACCTTTGAAATGATAAAACCAAAACACCCTTTCGCAAAAACTGCCAGGTGATAAGAGAAAAACGGACGTAGACCTGCAGTACCACCGATACTCTGTTTGTGGCAATGGCCAAAAAACTTTTTTCGTCTACTGTAATATATTGTAATCCTTTCCAGGGCAACCAGATCCAACCAGTAAATGAGATATACGTAAATTCAGCTGAACATGTTGAGGAGGAGTGGATTGCAGCTTGCTGCTCAGCAGCTTGAACTAGTGAGTGATTGCTTGAACATTTTGCGCTTGCTTATGGCACAAAGTGATATAATATGGGAGGAATTTTAAAGTGAAAAGTTAAAGTCCCACATCGATCCAAAGTAAGAAACATGCTGGGACAATAAGGATGGCTGTGAGAGGCACATTTCCTATAATTTTCTTATGAGCTAAAATTTTAGGTCGGACCTAAAATTTGAGGGTTGTGTCGGGAAAGCCTCAAAACTGTAAATTACGTTGGAGGCACCAGGTACATGTATCTACGCTAGTATGATAATATACATATATATATATATAATATATATATATAATCTATATCCAATTATATAATATTATATTATATACAGTGCCTATTTACACACTCCAGTAATTACTTGTCAGATCTTTTCAATACCATGCAGTACATCGAGTACGTTGGAATATATTGCACTGAGCAGCGCAAATTGATTTGCTGATTTTATCATCCCCGTATTCCAACAGTCAAGCGTCAAATCAACCGATTTTCCAGTCAATCACGGATAAAATCAATCAGGCCTAAATCCAGTCCTGCTATACCCCAGGAGCAGCCAGCGCCAGCTGCCCCACATGCTTTCAAAGATAGCCAACGTAGCCTGCGTCTACGTTGGCAATTGCTGATACGAACTGATTTGCGAACTCCTCACAACTCTTCCCAGTGTTGCTATGTTCCTCATGTTTACAGAATTTGGGCCCCTAGTGACCCTAGTGTGCCCGGAAAGGCTCTTCCCACGCCTCCAATACAATCGCTGAAAGGTACTATACCGTTGCTGCACAGGTTTTATGGAAGCCTCCTTCGTACCTTAGGGCGCTATCAAAGTTTGTTTCAAATTGGTCGGAACCTCGTGCCAGCCACTTTGTTCCCTCTGGGGGCCGGGATGCTGGATTTCTTGGCCTCCATTTGTCCCGTGCTTTGAAGCAATATACTGTAGATTCTATAGACTATATATATATATATATCGATATTCATGTATTATATATATATATTGTTATTATTATTAGTAGTAGTATTCTTATTGTTATTATTAGTATTAGTATTATTATTATTACTATTATTATTATATATATATACGTACGTATATATTACAGGGATTCTGCGCGCGATGTGACGAGTTGGTTGCTCTGTCTGCTTAACAAGTCTAGTTCTGCAAAGTCTCCAAGTTGTTGTGGCTCTATGCCAAGTCCAAGAAGAAGCCTCTTCAACTCCTGTGCTGAAATCATCTCGCTGTTATGGACAGCAAGTTCCTGCAATGCAAAGTTCCCAATGAATGCAAATGGCATCATGTGGCATGGCAACGCACAGCCATGCGGATTTGGCATGCTCTACAACTCATGTGAGATACTAGTGTTGTGCCGTGTACCAATGTGGAATTGCCACACGAGTTCGGCGATGGTTTTTGATGATCCAATACCGAATTGGCACCAAATTGGCATCACGGTCACACCAAATAAATTTGACTTCAAAGGGTTGAAACTGCGCAACTCAGGATATTACCAGTACTAGTACTGTACATGAATGAACCCTAGCCTCACGCAGAACTTCCTCTGGCACGGGTATGGTTGCAGCCAGCAATGCCACAACCGATTGAGTTGGGACTGTCTCTTCCTGTCAGTTTCTTGCAAGCGGTGACGCACAGTTGCTACTAGCAGTCGCTAGCACTCCAGTCATCCTCTGGTGAAATTGTCCTCTCTCTCTCACTCTCTCTCTCTCTCTCTCTCTCAGCTTGAAGGTGATACGCCTGCTCTGAAGTTGGCTGTAGTCTATCAAGGCGACGAAGCCCGAGGATAATTTCCTGCGGATGTTGAACGGCAAAATGGACCAGCGAAATTTAGCGGAGGTAGGTTTCAAACCTGTGGAGGGAAGACTGACTGGAAGCGATGATAGTCACAGCGATGGGCTAGAAATTTCTTCAAGTATATACAGTGTCCTGCACACATACACATAAATCCACCCACACTTCACTCAGTGAAATGAGTTCCGAACCGTAAAACACTATTGTATGATGTAGCGGACTTGGGCTCAGGGACTGTAACAAACATGAACAAGTGAAGTGTGACAAACAAATACAAATACAGTGCAAGTTTCTTGGACTTCGTAAGAAGTTCGTGTTTCGGGAAAATGTCAGTACTGTACTGGGTTGTCGCGTTGAGTCACCCCTGCCCGTAAAAATTCACCCTCGTGCATGGGCACACTTGATTAGGAAAAAAAACATCCCAAGCCGCAAAAAGTCACCCTTGAAGGGAAAGCATCTTCAGAACTGAGTGTTGCTTAGCTACTTGCAGGATCACTTCTGATATCTTTAAATCTTTATAAAAGTCAACCCATGACAAAGTTCAGCCGCACCAAAAATCCAACCTAGGCTCTTGCCATCGGTTGGATGCCATTTTGTACGGCTTTGGGGCTGTACGCTTAGCTTCCTCTCTGTTGCCCATTTTTTGGCATTGCAACATCAGTAAAAGACTTTAAAAGACTACTGACTATTGGAGAGCATGGATAGTTGGTAAAATGATGTAAAATGTGGGTCTTGTCTCTGCAAGCAGAACAGTGTCCCAAGTTTGCGTGGAAAACATCTCCAAGATGGTGGCTGCAGTGTGGATGTGTCCCAAATGCGTAGTGTCTGTGTGTCACAGGGTAAGAAATTGCTTTCAGCATCAATCTGTTAGTTTTCAGAGCGCCCTGCTGATGGACATGACACTTCAGGTGCCTGCCTCTGGTGATGTGGACAGAAGCCATTTCTCGTCTAAAGGGATGGACAGCTCTGCAAAGCTTCGGCGACATAAAGGACACTTGCCTTGCAGTGCTGTAGAGACACAAGTTTTCCAAAGGCAGAAGCAACTCGGAAGCAATGCCGTAGTTTTTGTGAATCACATTCAAGGCCTTGGGATTTTTTGCTTTAAGATCAAAAACTGGAGGCTGACCAGCAGATTACATGAAATACTACCATCTACCGCCGGGCATCACTACAAACAATGTAAGAATACACATACATCATACATCATCATACATTTACATCAAGGCAGTGTTTCTTCAGCGCCATTTTCACGACCACTATCTCCGTCATCGCTTTCCGGAACAAACTCCAAAGACCCCGCATCAAATCGACCCGATCCCTTCAGCATGCCATGATGTTCTGATTGAGCTCCGCTACGTGGACACAGCTTCTCTGCGCAAGACATGTGGACAAAATGCTGGCAGACCTGGATGTCACATGATGTCACGTGTGTCAGCGCGATCAGCGCTTATGTGAAGGAAACCCCGTCAGCTCTACAGAGACGTGCTGAGACAAGGACTCGCTTCGGCCAATGGTTTGTTGAATTTGTTGAACTTGTTGAACCATCTTCATGTGCGGCCTGTGCAGCAATCAGTATTGATGCGGGCCCAGAGCCTCAGGGACTGCAAAGTTTGCACAAGCAATTGTTGAGTACGTTAAAAAATTGGAAAGAAACTAGAGGACCAGCTCCAATGGCTCCACAGAGGAAAACCAAATATGAAATTTGGTTCTTGTCATTTCGTGTCTTGAATTCTGTGTTGGGGAAGCTGCGTCAAATTCCAATCGTTCAGCCTCTTCACAAAATCCAAGGTGCTGAGTGCGTCTAGGCAAACGCAGCACGATTCGAGTTCGCTCTCATCTTGGCTTCACATTCAATGTAATCAGATCTGAAAAAATGCAAGGTGTTCGCATGTGTTCCATTGAGATCCAAGTCACTCATAGTCTCGGCCCGGCCAGCGACAGCACAAACACCCAAACATGCAAGCAGAAGGCTTAAGCATCTGCACTGTCTTGACTGTCTTGCCAATGGCTGATCAGTTCAAATCTGTTTAAGGCACTGGAGTCTGTGGAGTCTGTCATTGGTTGCCTTCAATCATCTTGCATCATGGCATCTTCTGGCTTCTTACGACCAGGGATGATTCAAATGTCTTAGAATCCAAGGATGTCCTGCGTCAGAACTGAGCCATCAGCGCTTGAACCAACATGCTGGGGCTTTCAGGGATTGAGAATCACCAAGTACGATTAGACCGTGTGAAGGATTTAACATACACTCATATAATGTTATATACTCAGTAATATACTCCGTAATGTACAGTAACACTAGGTAACACTGTACCTGCATCACTTTGTCTAAAGTCTCGTTATATCTATAGGACTATATAGTTATTGTATGTTATTGTTGCTCTTTCTGCATTGCCAGCCCTGCTGACGCCTGTCGCTCCCCGCGGGGTCCACCTCGGCACTGGGATGTTGCATTTTTTCGCTGCTGAAAGACATGGAGGGAATATGATAGACATTGAAAGACGACACAAATACCTACAGAATACATACAGATAACTGATATGTATCTAATATATTTTATTTATGTATATCCAATATTGCGTCACCATAATTGGAATAGATGGCAAAAGCATCCTATCAATCGGCTTTGGCAGAGTCTTGGGAGATGTATTTGAACTTTGAGCCTTCCGATAGGACCAGGGAGAATCCGAAAGTAGACCTTACAAAAATGGCAGCCAAGCAACGGATTGAAAGATAATCAAAGAGCTTCACAATCAACGCGCGTTTCTCGCGAACCTGATGCGTTGATCACTGAGTCTGCTGATCCCCGACACTCTTGTCAGTTGCTGCAATGTTTGGTCAACGAGAATGCGGAAAAGGATGTAAAAAATGATTCATCTTGCAAATGAGTCTATGATATATGCATGTTCCCAGGCAGCCAACCACAGATCGTGGGCGTGAAGATCTTGTTGCTGGATGTTCATTCTCGGTCAGGAGGATCCAGTCCTTTTTGAAGATTCTGGATTAATCACTTGATGATTCTGGTTTTGATTCTGGTTTTGGTGGGTCCATCGTGGGTCCATCGTGGGTCCATCGTGGGTCCATCAGGACCATGGACATCATGCCATGCGACGGTACGCCTGATCTCGTACCAGCTCTTGCAAAGTCACCAGCGTATGGCCATCTCGGTTTTAGCGTGCCAGCTCCAATGGACAGAGGATGACAGACGGACCTCGAGAAAGGATGGCTCATCTGAGCTCGTGGCCACCTCGACTACCTCAGAGGACGGTGACATCTCGTGACTTTTCCCTTTTTCCCATGTTTTACATGTTTTTACTTATCTGAACCTATCTTCAAATATCATCAAAATCATCAAGTGATTAATAATTACTGTATACATCAAATATCTGCAAAGCCCTGACTTTGCAGGTTGATAGAGCGCAAGAGGTGCTGGTCAACCGGAATGCCATGTTCGGTCGAGCCGAGGCACTTTTGAATCTTCGCCGTGAAACAACCTTGAAAGCAATGGCTTTAAGGACATCAGCTAAATACATTGGAGAAACTTCAGAAACCTACTGTACTCGTGGAAACTCGTGCAGAGTCAGAAGTAGCACAGGGAGGAATAGGCAAAGGACACAAGTTGACATGAGAGAGAGCCGTCCACAGGTGAGCAGCACCAACAAACCCAGAGGATGACTTTAGCCCACATGATGCATGAAAGATGTGAAAGATGTGAAAGTATGTCGTCTGATGTCGTCCGGCTCTAGTCCCGTCTTGGAAACTTCATCCTGTGCATGTTCGGGCTGTGACTGACAAGAGGCAAGGGACTCTCTGACACTTTGCAACAATGAAAGCGCAAAAACATGCAAAAACTGCAATAAAGCAGGAACGGGGAAAGAACCCCATGGGTGGAGTCTACTGGAGTCGCCCAACACTCAGTACACTGTATACGCAAAGAGTACCCAGCAAAGCCTGCGAAGAAGTTTAAGAACATTTATTGTGCTGGAACTCAAGGAACGCAACGTGAAGCCAACACCTTGCAGTGTCTTCCAGGATGAGAGAACACATTCCCAAAGGCATACCCAGAGCCAAGAAACCTGCAATGCAGAGAGAGACAGCAAGAAACAAAGCGAAGCAAACTTGTAGAAACTATGAACCACAATGAACGAAAGACAAAATGTGTCATGCCAGGCGCAGGAAAGGTATGAAACTGTTTGATAACACAACATTATGACATAATGATAACAAAACCCAATCTAAACTGATGTAAATGTCACAAGACTCCTGTCCAAAGAAGAAGGAAGAGCAGCACACTGAAAGCATTGTCCCAAGCCACAAACTGTTGTCATGGCTGAAAATCCGGAAGGCATGTTTAATTGATGGGTGTACAATGATATTTGTGCGCAAGAATCTGCAAACATGTTTGGAATATTTTGGAATGCTCAAAGTGTGTTTATTGTTCAGATTCGCACCCGTCTCACCATGACTTCAGCGATGAAGTTGCGCAAACGCCTCGGATGAAGTTGGATCAAAGGAGAATATTGGGGTCATTTGTGTGCGCCCTAAGGTGCACTATGGAGCTGACGTCTGAAGTGAAAACATGACTCTGTGATGTTCTTCGATTGCTCCAAGCGTGCAGATCAACCTGCCAGTGTGACATTTTGAGAAACTCGCAAGACGCATACTGATTCCCTGGAAGCAACAAGAATTGCTTCAAGTGCCTGTTCTCTTCGCCAGAGTCACCTCACAAATCAAAAGCACTCAAGAGCAATAAACACATTTTGCCAACTGATCTTGAAATTCAAAAACATACACGAACATATCAGAGCGAGCTCATATAATGCAAATTCCTGCGCGTTATCAGTCAAGCTGCAACATGTGTGGTAAGCCGCTGGGATTTGCCGCAGCTTTAAGAGAAGTTTGACGGCTTCTGATGTTTCTGGATATCATTCTACTGATATATCGCATGGTTATGTATGGTTTAGTTAAGTGTAGGCGGGTGCGTGTGTTGAAAACACGCGTTTTTTAAGCAATGTTGCCCTTTTTGGTGGAATTCCATCAAAAAATTGAGGCAGTGGTCAAACATTGCTTGACCCCATTAGAACTGCATTACGTTGCTCTTTCCCGCATCATGATGCTGGTGCTTTGGCTTTGGCAATGTTCAAGCATTTGGTAGGAGCAACTGATGCCTCAACCACGACCATTGACCAGAAAGCAAGCCTAACCAACCTTGTTGGCCCACAACCCACCCCTACCAACCTACCAAACCCCTCCGAGCTCCACCACCTGCTAGAAACTTTGTGAAATGGCCAATCCTAGCACTTGAATATCAAATATCGTAGAAAAATATAGAAAAATGTAAAAATATTGAAAATGACAAACTCAGCCCCTGACATTCTTTGCAGTAGGCATCCAGTAGGCCGGACTTGTCTTCTGATTCTGGCACCTCTGCTTCGCACACCACAGCAGTTTTCAGCCACAAATAGATGCCTTTTGGAAGAACAAGTTCGCAGATGTTCCTCAGAAAATGAGATGCAAAAGATTGCAAAAGCCCTGCTGTTTTAGAAAAACAGGGGCAGCACTGCTTCTGCTGGCATGGCTGCAACATTTAATCCAACCTGAACGCGGCAGAAAGAAGATAAAGTACAATGAAAATCAATGAAATATGTCATGGTAACGAATGATCAGCATAGTATAACACACCACAAATCAATACAAATCACTATTTTGAAACGCGTGGTTCTGAAACCTACATTACACCACACAAAACATACGTTTGCAAAGTATGCAATAGAAGCCCTAAATACTGGTGATAAACATACCTACTATATAAACATGATCAAGAATGCAGCGAAAATCTTCTGAAACACATAGACAGTGCATCATAGTGCAAGATGTGAAACTTGGTGAAACTTGGTGATCCACAGAGTGCAATCGAGTGCAACGGCCTCCAGGAAACGCTCTATGCCTTCCAGGTCTTGCCCCAAGCTGGATTCCGGCTCAGGTCTGACGCAGCTTCGCGTGCTGTGCAGAAGGATCCGAAAGATCAGATGTCAAATTTCTAACAAGAGAAGATGTTACAAGATATGACAAGATGTTACAAGATGTTACAAGATGTTACAAGATGTTACAAGATGTTACAAGATGTTACAAGATGTTACAAGATGTTACAAGATGTTACAAGATGTTACAAGATGTTACAAGATGTTACAAGGCAACAAACAACCCATGTCGCCTCAAAGTAAACCACGAGAGGAAGAGGCCACCAACCACTGTCGAAAGCGCATCCTAGAATTAAGCTGACACAGTGATCTTGTGTGTGAGTCAAAGCTTTGCGGCGATCTGCAAACACACTTCTGTAGCTTGTACCAACATATCAGATAGAGCCTGGACAGCACCAGGTTTGTTGCCTTTGGTTGCGTCAAGCTTCGTTGACAGTTATTACTCATGACTTCTGGCACGCACAGCACCCGTAACACCCGCGCAGCCACGCATACACCCATGCACGCAAGCACCCCCACAGCACCCACAGAACCCACAACATCTACATACAATAGCATCAGTGACAACGAAGTTATGGAAACCCCCAAAAGCCAGCTCAATATCTCTGAAGCAAGAATAGGACAGTCATTGAGAGACAGTTTGGAAAAGAAGAAAGAACACTTCTGTCAACTTCCTTCTGCTCATCTTGTGCGAGCACAAGATCAAGATACATTCGGATAGATGAAGACTTCTTGCCTCCTGGGCTGCAAGCAACGCATCCTCTGTCAAGAAACAGTAGGGCACGCCTCAGTGCAGGACCAAGACATCCAAGACCAAGAGACAGCAACTTCTGTCAGGTGCTTTGAAATCTGAAGACTTCTGAGGAGACACCGTGGTAAGTGCTACTGTCATTGTTGGAAAGGACTGCACCACTCACAACCTCGCTGTTGCTCAGACAGCTGGATGTAGTTCGTTTCCAAGGATAGAACATCTTTTGACCAATGGTATGACCAACTTCATAGCCTCTTTGTCCTGAGGGCGGACTTTCAGATTCCAGACAAATCATGACAAATCCAATTGATTGTGTTGTCAAAATTGTCAAAGTACAACCCAACTCTAAAAAGCGGTCCTCTCGCTGCGGACTATCTGCAAGGCAATCCTCTACCTCGAGAGGTTTCAAGTTTGCAAAACCGGTCGGAAAAAATGGAGAACGTACTGTTAAAAAGAAAGTAATTTGAAACGATTTGAGGTCTGTGGATGAATGTGTAATGTCTATGCCCCCTCTGCGCCACTGCCTGGTCCCTCATGTCTTCAGCATCAATGGCATTGCCAGCCTGAGCTTAGGATGAGTTCCGGATAGTTACCGTATGCTAGCGAAATGCTGTCTAGAAACGCCAAGCTTACAGGCGTACACTGAACGTAAACTCAGGCCCGAACCACAGCCGTGATCAGCTTCAGAAGTATTCGACCCGATGCCAAGTCGCTTCCAAAGTTGGTCACCTCCGCTAACTTAAAAACAAGAAATATCAAGAAAGCAGAGGAAAAGAAGACATCTGATATACATTGATATACTACATATACTGAAAGAATCTGAAAGATATGTTTCCCATTGTTTCCCCATATTTCCACTCGGGTCGGCACACCAGTGGGTTGGCCATCCTCCTGTGGAGCTACAGAACCAAAGACCTGCGCTGAAGCGATCGATTCCCATTTCCCAAAGGAGGGACTTGCCTCAGTGACTCTTGACTGGTCTTGCCTCAGTGAACGCAAAACTTAGCTATGACTTAGGATGTCTCGTTATGACAGTATGACCCTAAAATATTGGGCAAACATCGTTTATAACCCTATGTAGTCTGAAAGTGTACACAACCGTGACTCTTATATACCGCATCTCGCACATCACTTAGGTATGACTCTATGACTTAGTATGTCTCAGTACAACAGCGTGCTGAGCCTGCAGGTTCACCCAGCGGCGCAAGATTTCCACTAAGGACTCAGGCGTTCAGGTGTGGGCAAGGCTGCAAGGAAGAAAAAAAGAAAGAGATGAAGAAAGTGAAGCTGCAATGCAGTTTGACATGTTTGACTTTGAATGGTGCTTCATTGTAGCATCCATTTCGAAACCAGTTCAGGGAAATTCGTTGCTTGTGGCAACAAAAGGTACGGTCTCTTCAACAAAAATCTCTTCCCGAAGCTAAAGCCACTGCCAATCTGCTCAAGCTCCAGATGGTCTCATTTGCAACACACAGCCTTCAAACAAAATGCGTCGGACTATGTCGAACTGTCAATTTGTGTCAACATGTCAATTCTGGTGGTTGGATGTGACCGTTGTGACCCTCTCACTCTCTTTGTATCTTAAGTCTAAGTCGAATATAAGATTAGGCAAGCAACAAAATGTGACGATGGGTCACCATGTTTCTACTGACAGAGTTGTAAGTTGTAAAGTGCTGTCCTGGACCGTTGGTTGTTTGTTTGCATCTTGTAAGATCCTGTAAGAACTGTCCGCATGGTTCTATCCACATCCGGATGAGTTCTCCTTAGTCCTTAGGCTTGCTGATTTTTTCTGTGTTCGTCCGTGTCCTAAGATTCGAACTCCATGCAGCACCCTCATGATCTTTCCACCAGAAGATTGGCATTCATTTTCGTTAAATCTCAAGCTAACTTCATTGCAAATTGTTCCATGGTGAAAGTAACGATTCTGGACTTGACTTTCATGTGGTAACGGGTTTCTCATGCGTTTCGTGAAGGGTCCAGCCAAATCAAGACATTACACTGCGTGTACAGTACACAGTGATCAGATTGTATGTAGATTGACAAGGAAACAGGAAACAATGGCAAAGAAATCCTATCCCAGTTCCTTGATCCTGTCTCCACCGTCACTAGTTTGGCAACGTATTCTCTAATATCGACGTTGTCGCAGGCACACATCCACCCTTCATAGGGACAGCTCCTAGTTGCAGTTGTAAGAACATGTCTTCCACTGCAATGCCATTTTGATCATTTTGCCATAAATATGGGATAATGCGAACTCGCATAGCAATACTTGTGCAATGTCAATTTGTAGATAAAATCATACATATATAATCATATAATCATATATATAATCATATATATAATATATATATATAATATATATATAATCATATATATATATAATATATATTATATATATAATATATAATATATATATAGAATTATATAGACTCGACGGATCCATCTTAATTCAATTCGCAAGACTTCTGTGCACTATAAGTACACTTCACAAATGACAGGTCAGAGGTCACAGGTCAAGACCATTCAAGACTTTCTCACCCTAGACCTTGTAACGATTGTAACACCTTGCACATCTTGCAAACACACGCAAAGTGTTTCATCCTTTTCCATACAATTTTGGAGCAAAGTCAAAGTGTTTCTGTCCGAGCCTGGAGAGATCAAACATATCGGCAAAAGCGACTCTGCCGGCCACATCTTGGAACCTCAAACTCCACTCCGAATCACTCCGAGTCACTCCGAGGCACACTCTGCTTGACACCAACATTGACCAACATGATTCAAAATCTGAACCTACTGACATGGCCCTTCTTGAACTAGTTTGAAAAGTAAACAATACGAATCAAGGCAAACGTCCTATGCCAGTGCAAGCATATGTAAGCATGACAAGTATATCAGGAATCAGTATATCTCACAAGAGAAACGACGTGAAACGACACAGTCGAGCCAGTCGAGCTAGATCGACCAATTCCATATTACAATTATCACAATTATTACAATTATTACAACGTAAATGTAAACATTCTCCACCCTTCTGAATCCCTGTCAAATTGACTCAGTTTCAAGATGTTTCAACTATTGCAAAAGGTGCAGCTACAACGATACAATGCTAAACAATGCTCTGGTGCAAAGTGGCTGTTTCGGTTTCAGCTAAAGCCTGGTAAAGACTGGCCTAGGATCTCATGAGCTGTTGGGCCATCATAATGCACATATGGCATATGGATCAGGCTCTGGCATGTGCATGATCTTCGCCATCGGATATTGGATCTCCAAGGCCTCTCCAGAATATCCAATGAATAATTATATATATATTATATATAATTATATAATATATATATATGAAATTATATGAATATATATATATTATATAGAGATTGTTAGTGATGTATATCTACAACGTAGAAGTAGGATGCATTTCGAACGCCCATGGCCCATCGCCAACAAAAACTCCACAGCGCACCCGCTTCCGAGAATCTTCTAGCCTGGTCGTCACGCAAGTGGCAGCACACCATGGAGTCCATGGAGACACAGTGCACACTGCAGTCTGTCACAGTCTGTCAGTCCTCTCTAAATTCGCAGATGCGAATACACCAACCAAACAACTGCAACTGTACACTCACCTGGGCAAATCTGTCGGCAGAATGACTTGCCGCCGGCTTCCTAAGTCTCGGTATGTCTGGACTCTTGAAGTGCTCCAGCAGCAGAATATTCTTTGTAGAAAACGCCAATTCATCTACAATCAAATGCACAAATTGAGGGGCAAGCGTGGGAAGCGATCCTGTGAGCGTTAGTCGCAGTGTGAGTCTGTCAAGGTGCTTCACAGTTTCAGGATGAGGCAACTAGGGACAGCGAAACCGGAGAGCCATTCCGAATCGTTTCCCAACCTTCTCATCAATGTGGAGGGCCTGGTCCTTCGGAGTGTACTTTGACAAGAATTTGACAACACGCGCCTGCTGTACATCCTTTTACTTGTGAGATCTTGTGAGTGTAACGCAAAACAAATCCACTTGTAGTATCTTGTAGCAAAAATCTATGTCTATGATATATGTATCTCGCAGTGCACTTGTCATCGCCTCAGCAAGCGATTGGGCTTGCATCATGCTTCTGATTCCTGGAGCCTGGAGCAATGAGCAGAGTTCATATTCACCATATTTCGGAATATTATTGATATATTTAGTAACATGTAGCGCCAAAAGCGCTTGGGTCTGTTTCGGGTGGGAGGAACCCTTCTAAAAGTCACCACTACAAGCGTCATGTTTGGCGGTTTGGGGTCTTAAAGACTGACATTGGAATAGATTGGAATTGGCTCACTGCGATCCGATCAACTTTCCAACATTTTTTGGAAAGATGGGAAAGCATGGAAAAGCCAGGTGTTCGATGGAGTTCATATCTTGAAGAACCACATGGCAATTGCTGGCCTCCCGTAGGAAAATAGAACACAAAGAGCTCCTGAGTGGTCCAGGAGGAGAGGGAGCCATTTCCCTCTGGACAAAGCTTCATTCCAGACACTGTCAGTACTGAGTCATTACTGGCATTAGGCTAGTCACTTGAGGCAAGCGAGTTGGCCAGAAAGGATGTCAGTCGCTTTCATCACGAACCTATGGCCGTGTTGGAGAGGCTGGATGTTGATGGATTTTGCTGGATTTTGCTGCATGCTGAAACTGAAGCAGGGTTGTGGTGATGGTTGATGAATGTTGATGAGAACACCTTGGACAACTGCTTGTCAGGTGACGGCAGGGGAGTGGCCTATTGATCAACATTGGCGACAGCGAACTGAAGTGGTCCAGTGCAATGGCCTTGGACATTCTGGGTGCGTTGCTCGGAGTCCTTTCACTATGAAGTGTTTATGCATTGATTTTTGTTGTCATCTTTAATCAAATCAACACATCGCCGCTTCTATTGCAAAGGACACTTGTCCTGAAACCCCTTTTGTCAGGGCAAGGTTGTTGTCCAAGGCAAGGTCACAATTGTCAAGGAACAACTTGAATTTCCTTAGGCCGAATCCTTGTCAACCAGAATCTGAGCAATATAAAAGACTGGGTAAATTGTGTAAATCAAATAAATGAACTGGGTCGCTTGCGACTCGATGCTCAGTGTCCTTCCTTTTCACGGCAAGACGGAAAGAGGCAAAGCATGGCACTGCCAGGTCTTTTCCCCCCATTTTGAATCTGTTTGAATCATGCGGAACAGGGGTTCAGGCTCATCCAATGCTGCAAGCTCAGCTGGATCAAAGAAGTTGTTGTTGTCCCTGAGCACAATCGTTCTGGTGCATTGCAGAATTTGGGTTGCAAAGGCGCAGATCTCTGTCGAGGAAATGATGGGATTTTTGACCGTGTATGCATGTGGTGAATCAAATGATGCAATATGACATGACCTGCATCATCTGCATTTGGAATGTCGTAATTAGTGTCTCTGCATGCAACGCATCACATGTCTCATTAGGTTTCCTCTATGCCGTCACAACCTGACAGTACGCACCAATCGGCCTGAAGGCGCGCAGCAACGTGTAGAGAATTGTGAGAAGTTTTCCGTCCTACGAGCTCTCGAGATAAGAATGATAATGAATAATAATGAGACAAATCTTTGAAAATGTCTGAGAAGTTGACATCCGCAGAAAAAACATGTGGTTCCAAAGGAAATCTCGAACAGAGCGGAGAAAATTCCCAAGGATAATTCTACTGATTCTACTGGCATGTCTAATGTTTGTCAAACTTTGCGAAGGTCTTCTAAGTGTTTCCAGACTCGTTGCTCCTTGAAGTGCTCCTCAAAGGATGATGTCTGCACCAAAGGAAACGATCGGACTTCAAAACACCTGGGCTGATCTCTGGTTTTTCTTGCTTTTTCCCCACATCTTTGTGTGGGGTTCTTGTTTTTGGTTGTGCACTCCCGCCTGCCTCCTCCTGCCTCCCGCCGCCTCCCACACTCAACTTACTCACACACAACTTACCCGCACACAACTTGTCAACACACAACGTGCTCACACACAACTTGCTCACACACAACTTACTCACACACAACTTTCTCACACACACAACTTGCCCACACACAACTTACTCGTACACAACCTACTCACAAAACTTAATCACACACACAACTTGTCCACGCACAACTTGTTCACACACCATATACTCACACACCACATACTCACACACAACTTGCCAACACACAACTGACTCACACATAACTTGCTCACACGCAACTTGCCAACACACAACTTACTCACACACAGCTTGCTCACACACAACTTGTCCACACACACACACACACCTTACTCGCACACAAGTTACTATGCTCACACACGACTTGACCACACACAACTTGGCCACATCGACCTTCACTTCGCGTGGCAGGCGTGGCACTTGGCGACATCGACCTTCACTTTGCGTTTCATCGACGTGCATTCTGCGTGGCAGGTGTGCGTCACTTTGCGTGGCAGGCGTGGCACTTGGCGACATCGACCTCCACTTTGCGTGGCAGGCGCGGCACTCATGCCGAAGGGTTCATGCCACCGTGACGAATCCAGCATTAATCACACACTTGCTCAGAACAGTCATTGCGAATTCTGATGTGGAATGCATCTGACGTGCACAAACACCAACGATTAGGTGACACGAAGAATGTATATTCATAAAAATACATACACGTATAATCACAGTACATGTTGACCATACAAAACAACAGCAGTAAAATATAGGTCCCCCCTGCTGCGACTTATATGCGCCCAGGGCGGGACTATACATATAATATATATATATATAATGCAGGTACGTTTTCACAGGAACATTGCAGCGTCTTCATTGGCCGCTGACTGCAATGTTCCCCAGCGGACCCCTGCAGTATAAAGAAGTTTTACATCTATGCAGATGGTACACACACACACACACTCACTTCTGTCCCAGACAACTCCTTGACACACAATACTTGGACACACACTGACCCACGCAATACTTGCACAAACAGCATTTTTACGCCCGCTCCTCTTCCACACCACTCTTTCACCCACAGCAATTTCACGCACGACTCTATATCACACACACCACTTTTACACACCTTTACACACACTCCTTTCACCAACAACACTTTTACACGGAACTCTTTCGCACACCTCACTTCGATATGCATTTCTGCACACCGATCCTCCACCATCTCTTGTCTCTTTCCTGCCTTTCCCATCCCATCTTCACCTTTCTTTGGCTACTTGTTGGAAGAAGTTGATGTGGGGTTATCCGGTCCTTTAATTACGATGTCTTGGTGCTTTTTGACATCCAGCAACAACGCCTTGGAGAGTATTCAATACAGCATAGAGCACGCATGGATCCCATGAAATGCTGAGGGAGGTGTTTTCGATGTCTTGCACCTGTTTCACTGGGCGTGAATCCCTCAATAAACCCCACCACATCGCCATGATGCAAGTACCCAGTTCGTCCCGAATGCTGTTTACCGGACCATACCGGGCCTGAAAAATTCCAAAGCATGGCCCTCATTTGAAGAGCTGCAAATAGCAGCTACAAATATATCCATACTTCATGTTGATGCAGAAGTGGAAGAAAAATCGAGCAGCCCTGATGCTCGTCCTTGAGTTATTTGAGTCATTTGATTTTATTTCAGATGTAATGACTTATGCGCTGCAGGCCTCATGGAATACTTTTGGCTATCTGTAGCTTGCCAGTTTTGCCTGCATTGTCATGTGTGAAACACACTTGCAGGCAGCTGGAAAACTTGACTGCAATGACTTCAAAGACTTCAAATTGAATGAAACACCGAAACACTAGATGAAGAGAAGCTAAATGGAGCTAACTGTGTGCGACTAAAAATCTCAAGGCATTGGTGAAGCTACAGCCTGCTGTCTTCCACATCACCGGCTGTCAGCAAGCTAGAAGCCTTTGCAAACCCAAAAATGTTGACATCCCTTGGTGTCGCTTGGTGAGACTAGGTGCTGGATGGCGCTGCGCGCTGGATTCCAGTTTCGGAAAACAAGAGTCGCTGAGGTACAAGCTCGGTGCTTGGTTTCCATGATGACGCCTGTGGCGCTGCTACTTGCATACTTGTTCCCCACCGTTCATCCAACTCATGTCACACCCATTTCATACTCCTGCATATCTCACATGAATGTCACATAGCTATCTGCGACACATCCGATGATTGAAGGAGTCATGCTACTCGAAAACTGCGTATTAATATGCACGCGCAAACACACACATGAGCAATGTCTCAAGTCTTCTGGTGGCAGCACTGTGTACTTCTCATGCTTCAGGCACTGCATCGAGGCAGGCGCAATTAATCCACCGACATAGAATCTCCTTCAATTCACGTGTTCATGTGCTGGTCAGAGAACTCGTCAATTGCAAGCAAAACACTCACTTCAGTGCTTTTGTGCAAGCCGGTCTCACACTAGCTCATGCAAAATGCATGCTCTAGTCCTCGCAAGGCAAGTCGACGATATCCTGCAACATGGAACTGCAGAGGCACTCTGGCTTAGAGTCGAGTCACGGAAAGCGCCTGGATGGTGTCAGATGCCTCCATTGCCAGGAAGAGTACATCCTGAAACACAGACTATATACATCAGACAAATACTGTATATATACAGAGCATATAAGCACTATGCGGAGCGTCTTTGCAAAAAGGTCCAAAAAATCACGCTGGCAACTTGCACCTGCTTTCATGTCTGACAGCTGGAGTCCAAGTCGTGTTCGTGGAGCCAGATTGTGCAATGGTTTATTCTTGTTGTCTCATGCAGTGTACTCCAAGTTGTGATTCACCAGCAAGATCTCTTGGACAGGAAGGCTCCTTGGACAGCATCTTCTGCTTGCAAAGCATTTTCTCCGTCATGCTGAAGTTGGCCAGGAAGTCCATGAAGGTCTCCAAACGCAAAAATGGTCCCTGTCTACACTAGGCTATACATGCCTATACTGCCTGAAAATTCTGTGTCGTATGTGTTTGCTTGTTTGTGTTTGGTGTTGTGTTTGTGGGTTTGTGTGGCATCGTGCGCACAAAGTTTGCAACTGATCGCAAAGCTACGCGCCACCTGCATGAATAGGTGGAGGACACGCCTTGGCTGCGTCGCGCCACAACACGTGATTCACAATGTCTTATTCTTCAAAAGTGTGCCTTGCATCAGCGGGAGACATCGTGTTCAACCTGATCAAGCGAATCTTTAGAATTGACCAAGTGATGGAGTTCCAAGTACTTACCTTCCAAAGCATGCGAAGCCTGAAGTCCACCCTGCTCTTGTCTTCTTGAGCGGCTTGGAGTTTGCGTGTCTCGGAAGCACACCGCAGGTTCCATGTTCTTGTGAGCAGTGGCACTCGTGGTACGGTACCCTTTGCTCTACTCGGTGGTACAGACACAAGCTGTGGATCTGAAACAGCTTCTGCATGTTCTTAAGAAAATTGAAGAACCAATGATGCCTCCCATGGACGACTCCAGCCGAGCTTAGGTGCCGGCCATGAAATAACTCACCTCCGGAGCAACACAAACGACAAGCGAGACAAACATCTTAAAAATTTCAAAGCCATGCTAGGCAGAGCACCTGCGTCGCTGCACTGAGGAAAAGACTGTTCTGTCCGACTGTTGTTCTTCTTCGAACTTTTGTCGCCTGTCCTCAAGCGTTTGCTCAAAACTGCATCCTGTTGTGTAATCCCATGCGCAGCATGCGGGAAAATCTCAACCACCATTAAGTGCAAAACGTGTAAAATATCAAACATATCGTATACTGGTAGATGATATTGTGTATCGTGTTTATATATATGTGTGTGTGTGTGGTGTGTAATTATATATATAATTATATATATTGCTTTACTCTCGGCCAGCTTTATTGATTATATTGATACATTTATATGTTGTCTCCTGATGTCTTTTGTATTTACATGGCCGCAAGTCGAACGCCGTGATGCATTTGTATTGCCTGCCTGTGCCTCCTGATGGCGAACCCCGAGCATTCGAAGGTGTAGCTTTTTGACGTTGAGTTCCTGTGAAGGCTAAACATCGGAAAACCATAGAAAACTACAGTCTTGACGATTCTTATCCGAGCTCATGACCATGCAACATTCAAAATACAGACCTCCCACAACAAGTTCATCCGATTTTATCCAAGCCAGCACCAATCCAGATTCAGCGTTTGCATGCTCTTACCCTCATCCAGTGATCCGTCTCCTCCTTTCTGCGCTCAATTTGTAGAGATACAGCCAGGTGACTCCAGCTGGTAAAGAGGATGCCCAGGTACTGCACGTTGCAATGGACAAGCAGTGACAAGCACTGATTTATGCACACTGCGCAGGCCTCGCGATTGATCTTCAGAGAAGTCTCCACTTTCTGCATTTGTTCCAATTCTATAAGTTCCTGTGCAAAATCCAAGTCATCCAACAGGCGGCACCGGCTCAAGATGCTGGAAAAGTCCTCTTTCCGCTGATACCGCCAAAATGCAAACGCCCAGCCTCTTCACATTGCACATGGACAAAAGAAGCACAAGCTGATAAAAGCTGGAACACAGCCAAGTTCAACGGCGCCAGGGACTGGACCATCTGCAAAACCACCAGTCAGCTCCTCTGCAAAAAACAAAGCAACAAAACGTAACCAGCTACGACATTCCAAAACGAGAACCGAAAATTAACTACGAAACGCTAGGGCCGCTAGGTGACAGGTGGTTGCAGACGGACTATACAAGTTTACAAGCCATCCGAAGCCATCTCACAGGCTCAGATAGTCTCAGGGTCGTGCCCGGACCAAGCCCATGATGTTGTAAGCAGCACTGGCGGGATGGACGATGGAGATGGAGATGGAAACATTCACAGAATTTGGCAGAAGTCAGTGCCTGGTCTGAGCATCAAGGCTTTCATGGATCTCATTGGTCCATCCTAAGAACAACAACCATTGTTTGGATTTATCAGAAATCGTTGAATGATTCTGAATGATTCTTTTCTGAATGATTCTTTAGATTTATTGAGTTGTTTCTCGAGCTAGTAATCTTCGTCAAGTTTACCATTTGGTGCCGTGCGCGCTTGCTGAACAAGTTGGCTGCAATGCCACCTGTCACAGGTGTCTCAATCTGTGGTGCCCCTGAAAGCACTGAGTTATAAACTGCAAATGACAAATGCCTGCCACTAGTCGCCTTTCAATGCTTGTAGCACTTTCATGTAATAATTACTTTGCAAGCATGCGTCAAGACAGCAACGAACGTACAAAGATTCCCAAATGGTAAAGCTAACGATCAATGAGTCAATAAGCGTACAATTTAATGGAATTAATCGGAATTAAACAGAAACCATCAAGAAACCATCACCTTTGATCTGAAATGAAATGGAACTGTGCCTTTGCACGTTGGAGGCAGCCACCAATGGAAGGACTCCATCGGATTTTCCATCGTGGCCTCAGCAGGGAGCCCTTTGAGGCGTTCGAGCCTTTCAGCTGGAGTGGTAGGTTCTGGGCATTTTGGACAGATTTAGACAGTATGTATAGACAGTATGTATAGACAGTATGTATAGACAGTATGTATATGTATATGTCCACAATTGTACAAATACACTCACTCGTAGAGATGTAACAATATGATATATTATACAGTATACAGTATACACAGTAATATTATATTCGGTGTTTTGGATATTTGGCTGTATTTGACTGTCGCTTTCAGATAGTCTCGGCCAACCTGTATGTGAGTCAGAGCTTTATTTTTCTCAGTTCTGCTGTTGCTGCGAGTTTCTGCCTCACATCTCCCTTATTTCCCATGGGTGCATGCCTGCGGTCAGCCTTCAGTGACAGAAGGTAACAGTGCTCTATCAGTGATCTATCACAGCTCGAGGATTGTGCGGACAGTTGGAGCCTTTGAAGGACGAAGGCCAGACCTCACAGCCGTGTTTTTTTCGTTTTTAAACGCCGTCTTCAAGTCTTTGAACAAAGACTTGAATGTCTCTGGCCAGTCTACTAAGAAAGTTCAAAAATGCAAGTTCAAGCTCTGCCACAGTCAAAGATTGTTTATAGGTCAATTGCTGCGTCATGTTTTGTCTGTGTCTGTTGCTCTGGGTAGCAAACCTTCGCGTCCACATCTCTTGTGCTGACAGACGTGGCTGAGGTGTCTCCTGCCATAGGGCATTTCACTGATGTTGAGGACCTGACCTTCTCCGCTTCCATGCAATGCCATGCAGCATCATGCAGCATAATGCTTGGCTGTTGGACTTAAATTATATGTGAATCATATAGTTCCACAGGTGGGTTCTGCCAAATGAGAAATGACAGGCCTTCAAATGCCACTGATTCACTGCCACCTCAAAACAACAGATTGTCTTTGGCCTCATACTGCTGCACGAGAAACCGAAACATCTGAGTGAATGGCAATGTCGCACATTGCTTGGGCAGCATCCCTGGGATTAGAGTATGATTTATGCTGAAAGCAAGAGCAGAAGAAAGCTAAGGAAATATTCACAATGCATGCTTTCCGTCTGATGCCACGCCTGTCAACGCCAACGCTATCCTCGACTAAAGCGACAGAGTGACCTTGGCCGATCTTGCAATTGTCAAACATCAACCAGAAGCGAAGTTGAAGAACTTCCCGCAAAAGTGTTTCTTCTGTGCTCATTTCTACGGTATGGAAATGTGTGGAAATGTGTGGAAAGGAGTCAGGAAAAGCGTATTATGGGCCGTATGGGTGAAGTTCAGAATGAGCTCCCAGCTTGCTTCTTGCATGACCATCTGCCGCATCTCTTCCGAGGCAAAAATCGAAGGCTGGCGAGCACAGCAATTGTTCATGCAAAAACAAGAGCTGCACCTCTAGAAAAAAATATTGAATGGGGCAACACCACCCCAAGGGCTCTTGCAAGGCCATATAATGATACACTGGCACTAGGAAGACTAGGAAACTTAGCAGCTTGGGAGTAGATGGGTCTTGGGATCCCTGTTATTCAGCCTCCAACAGGTCAACAAGACTCTTCAACAGCCAGGTCCTGGCAGAGGCTTGGGATGGATCCGAGAACATTGTGACAGACTCGTTTCAGAACCGTTTCACATTGGCTTCCACAAAGCTCCCCAAATCTCCACAAGTCCACAAGTACACAAGCACACCGACAAGACGCACAAATTTGGCCTTTGCTGCATCATATATATATATAAGTTATATATATATATATGTTATACATAAGTTATATGTAAGTTATACATAAGTTATATGTAAGTAGATATGTTTCGACCTGGTCAAGCCTCCGAGCTGGAACGCTTGTGTGAAACATATTTCGAAGAAAAAAAAACGGCAGTATTTGTAGTGTGTTTATGTGTGTTTCATGTGTTTTCCCCGCGCCTGTGATAACTTGGTGGGTGTTGTGGATGTCTTCCAGGGCTGACATCCAGGACATCAAGCAGTTCGGATGCCTCAGATTCGACATCGAGAAGACAGCATAGACAATACAGTGATAGATTCAAGTGTAAATCCAGACCAAAGTTTCCAGTGGTCAACCCCACAGCACATGTTATGTCTGGGCAGTGGACCAGAAGCTTCAACAGACTGAAAGCCATCTTTGGTTTCTTCAAGTAAGTGTCAGCACCCTGACATTGGCCAAATCATCACTGACAATAATCACTATACATAACTCCACTTGTTTCTCACTCTGCTTCTCAGTTTGCTTGACATTGAAGAAGAGTATCCGTCTGACAACCAGTCCGCTAACATCGGAATAAGATGTTGCCCCATGTTGCCCCTACTTTTGCAAAGGTATGTGTTGTACGAAAGGTGCGCAAGCATACTCTGAGCAAGTACATTCAAAAAAGCTAGGAAAGTTCTGCAAGCAGTTTGGGGAATGTCTCGTTAAGTGTGCTTTCAGCACGGAAATGCAGCCCCAGCATATTCTATGCCGGAATCCTTGGTTAACATGAGCAGTCAGGTTTGTCATTTCGCGCTGTGATGTGAATCCGTGGCATGAAAGGAATGTTCAAAAGCGGCGATCGGCAGAGCGGATTCGCTGTTTCTGGTCTGATCATGATGGAAGAGAATAACTCAGGAAACAAACAATGCCTACAGTAGGTGCTTATTGTGTGCGGATCGTGCATCCTTACCATTACAGCGCGTTTGCTGCCCTTGGCATTTAAATTGTAGCATAGTAGAGAAAATCAGAGAACTTGGAAGGATGGAACGGCAATTTGCAACCTCCTGCTGCTAAATCACATGGGGTAGCGCGTGTGTAACTTTCGTTTGGAATCTATGGATACTGGTGGAGAGCGCTGTAAACTGTATTCTGAAAAACTGTCTGCGAATGTATGTTCTGATATGTTTTATGGGTTCTGATTCCTCTTGGCAAGTATGCATAGAAATATGTAAATTGTACGTATATTCTCCGTGAATATTCTCGGTGGCAGATGGTGGCAGATGGTGGCAGCATGCTCTCTGCAAAATGCATTGGGTGCCTGCAGCTGCTTTGTCTAAAGAAACGGGATGATTTCAGCACGAAGCACACCCCATACACCTTGAGGTCTTTCAATATGGCAAGGCCTGAAATTAAACCTCAGTGCGTGCCACGGCATTCATTCAGTCGGACAATCTGCAATGTCTGCAGTGCCTACGTTTGGATTCTCCAAGTCGAAAAAACTATGGCACTGGCGCAGCGCAGAAGTCTGCCCCCCTTCCAGCCAACCTTTGAGACACTTTGAGACTGAGCAGTGCCAACCACCTTCTCCAAGCTGTCTGACGATTTTCGCCAAAAGTGCGAAATGACTGAACTGTTGACATTATTGCTTATTTGTCAGCTCATTTGCTGAAAGCAGTTCAGTATCAGGCGGCTTACTGCAGCCGCCACCTGCAGGCTCCATCGAGACCGCGTCAGGCCTTTAAATCCATTTTAAAAAAAGAAATGACCTAATTTTCCCGAATGCGTAGCAAGGGTTCCCGTTTCACTCTGGGGGTCTGGGGGTTGGAGTGTGTTCGCTCGACGTTGCGTCCGCGTCCGCAACCGTTCGCAACCGTTCGCAGCCGTCCGCAACCGTCCGCAACCGTTCGCAGCCGTCCGCAACCGTTCGCGTGAGGACCGTATGGCCGTGCCTATGGGAAGTTTTACAGAGGTGGTCCTTTTTGGAGGTTTCAGACGTCTGGTTGCTTCGTTTCGCGTGGCAGGCGTGGCACTTCGTGACATTCAGACGTGTTCTGCAACGTGTCGAAAGTCGTTTTGCGTGGCAGGCGCAATACTTTTGCGACGTTTTCAGAAGATGTGTTGCAGTTTTCGTGGCAGGCGCAGCACTTTGGACGCGTCCATCGTCATTTTTCGTGGCAGGCGCAGCACTTTAGACGCGTCCTGTGGCGTGTTTTTTGTAAATCGCATTGGCAGGGCTGCGTCAAGTGGTGACAAGGTGCAAATTCCGTGGCAGGCGTGGCATTTTCTCACATGTGTTGAAAATTGACGGAAGCCTCGCACGAAACATCGATTTTGATGTTACAAATTTTCAGGTTCTAAGGAAAACTCGTAGGAAAACGTCGATTTTGGAGCTGCAAAGTATGAAAATTGGAGGAAGTCTCGCACGAAATGGTCGTTTTGGTGCTCCCACCTGTCTCGTCTCGAGTCTCTGGTTTTCCTGTGGCCTCGCCGTGTCTATGGGGGAAGCTGCAAAACTTGTCCTTTTGTCATGTTGCCAACTGTGAAAATTGGAGGAAGTCTCGCACGAAATGCTCGTTTTTCTGCATCCATGTGTTTTGTCTCGAGTCTCTGGTTTTCCTGTGGCGTCGCCGTGTCTATGGGGGAAGCTGCAAAACCTCTCCTTTTCGAAGGTTTCCAAGCAGGTTGTCATGCCGTTTTGCGTGGCAGGCGTGGCACTTTGTGACATTCCAACCTGTTTGATAACGTGTCGAAAATGTCAAAATTGGAGGAAGTCTCGCACGAAAGGCTCGTTTTTCTGCACCCACGTGTCTCGTCTCGAGTCTCTGGTTTTCCTGTGGCGTCGCCGTGTCTATGGGGGAAGCTTCGCACTCCACACTCTACACTCCACACTCCACACTCCACAATTCCACAATTTACACTTTAAACTCCACACTCCACACTCTACACTTTACACTCCACACTTTACACTTTGCACTTTACACTCCTCACTCCTCTCTTGAGACTTTACACTCCACACTCCACACTTTACACTCCACATTCCTCACTCTACACTTTACACTCCACACTCTACACTTTACTCTCTACACTCCACACTCTACACTTTACACTCTGAACTATACACTTACACTCCACACTCCACACTCTACACTTTACACACTCCACACTCCTCACTCCTCACTCCACACTCTATACTCCACACTCCTCACTTTACACTCCACACTCCACACTCTACACTTTCCACTCCACACTCCACACTCCACACTTTACACTCCACACTCCACACTTTACACTCTACACTCATCACTCCACACTCCACACTTTACAATCCACAGTCCTCACTTTACACTCCACACTTCACACTCTACACTTTCCACTCCACACTCCACACTCCCCACTCCACACTTTAGACTCCAAACTCCACACTTTGCACTCCTCACTCCACACTCTACACTTTACACTCTACACTCCACACTCTACACTTTACTCTCTACAGTGTACACTCTACACTCCACACTCCACACTTTGCACTCTACACTCCACACTTTACATTTTACACTCCACACTCTACACTCCACACTCCTCACTTTACACTCCACACTCCACACTCTACACTTTCCACTCCACTCTCCACACTTTACACTCCACACTCCACACTTTACACTTTACACTCCTCACTCCACACTTTACACTCCACTCTCCTCACTTTACACTCCACACTTCACACTCCACACTTTCCACTCCACACTCCACACTTTACACTCCACACTTTACATTTTACACTCCACACTCTACACTCCACACTCTACACTTTCCACTCCACACTCTACACTTTACACTCCACACTCCACACTTTACGCTTTACACTCCACACTTTACACTCCACACTCCTCACTCCACACTCTAGACTCCACACTCCTCACTTTGCACTCCACACTCTACACTTTCCACTCCACACTCCACACTCCACACTTTACACTCCACACTTTACATTCCTTACTCCACACTACACTCCACACTCCTCACTTTACACTCCACACTCCACACTTTACACTTTACACTCCTCACTCCACACTCTACACTCCACCTTCCTCACTTTACACTCCACACTCCACACTCCTCACTTTACACTTCACACTCCACACTTTGCACTTTACGCTCCTCACTCCACACTCTACACTCGACACTCCACACGCTACACTCCACACTCCACACTTTACACTCCACACTCTACACTTTCCCCGCACTCCACACTCTACACTTTACACTCCTCACTCCACACTTAACAGTCCTCACTCCACACTCTACACTTTACACTCCACACTTCACACTCTACACTTTCCACTCCACACTCCACACTCCCCACTCCACACTTTAGACTCCAAACTCCACACTGTAAACTTTACACTCCACACTCGACACTTTACGCTTTACACTCCTCACTCCACACTCGACACTCTACACTTTACACTCCACACTCCTCACTTTACACTCTACACTTTACACTCTACACTCCACACTCTACAATTTACAAACTCCACACTCCTCACTCCACACTCCTCACTTTACACTTCACACTCCACACTTTGCACTTTACACTCCTCACTCCACACTCTACACTCGACACTCCACACGCTACACTCCACACTCCACACTTTACACTCCACACTCTACACTTTCCACTCCACACTGCAGACTGGTAACAGGGGAAATATGAACAAGACTGTTCAAATAAACTATTGCAGAAAAGTGATGTGCGTCACTGCATATCCATGTGTTTTGACATCTGTGCCATTAACATACGTGTGAGCATTCGGGTTCGTGGGCTTCATCTTGTTGTTTATGATAACAAGTTCAATTCATTAAAAACATGTCAGGTCAATACTCAGATCCTGCCGAGCACTCCACACACCTCTGGCCTCTATGTCATTCACGCGGTGCCTATCAGGCCTGACTCGCGAGAATCTTGGGAACATGCATCCATGATTATCCATGCACAGACCGACAAAACAAATCAATCCACATCTGGCCCAAGACTTCCTCCCTCTTTTGCCTTCACGACAATTCAAGAAACCCCAATCCAAACATAATCGACATTTACTTTCTTGATCTTTCTTGGCATCCCGGACAGGCCAAACACCGCACGCTCGGTGTCCGGCCTCAAAGAAATGTAGGAAAGCTCAGTCTGAAACTTCTTAAGGAGCCAAAAGAAGTGAATTTTCCCTCAGACATGCTTCATCATGTTTCATCATGCTTTAATGATAAGTTTAGTATGGTTTAGTCCACTCAAATTGTTCTCCAAGGTTCTACACCTTTGCCAATTTGGTCATGTTCATTGATTCCCAGGATGTGGAACAGATGGAACAGTGATGAGATTTCATCCACACCCATTTCATGGTTCAAGCAAAACATACACGCACAACCGCCATCGAAATAGGCACACCGGTTATCAAACCAAACTCTTGATCACTCTACCGGTTTTTCAATGGCATTGGTTGATTTAGTTGCGATGTGTTTCCGGACCGGACCCTGTCTGCGAGGATTTGCCTTTGTGTTTTTAAAAAATTATAACGTCATTCTTTTTAGTGTCTTTCAGTCTTCGTTGGCGTCTGACCTGCATTTTGCCAAGGAACCCAGCTCATTTTCAAACGGCTCGTTTCGAAATACGTTTGAACAGACTCCATATGGGTGATTTCAGAATGCACCCACACATGCCAGTACCTGTTGGTAATACTGGACGAATACATACTGATACGATATTCATGGGTAACCCATGGTACCTTATCTTTCAGGGGACTGTGGCTCGCGCGCACAATAGCTCCAAATAGCATGCAATGAAAATAGAATAAATATGAATAAAACAGAATCAACAAATGCCAGTGCCCAGCAGAACGCCTGATTGAGGTGGCTGCAGTGTCAGTGTGGCGCGTATAGTTCTTGTCAAGTTGTATAAAGATATATAAGCCGTTTATTCAATACAATTCTTTGTCAAGCGATGTGAATCTTTTACAGGTACGGTGTTGTTTGATAATTAATGTTATTTCATGTTCAAGCTTTTCAGCTACAGGAGTCTCTGAGCGTCTGAGGCCGTTGCAACTTCGTGTGTGGAACGATTGCTGGAAGCTTTGCCAGCGGCAACTGCCAGGACAAAAAATGACATTCAAAATGATCCAAAATGATCCAAACATAAACCTACATGACATGCAGGTGACATGCATAACCAACTGCATCCTGAGTCATCCTGAGTCATGATACACAGAATGCACTACAAGCAGCACAATGAAACGTCAAGAAGTGATGAAAAATGACGAAAAGTGATGAAACGTGTCTACCGTCTATCCAATCTAACTCTAAACTTCGTGTGGGAATGACATGGAATGACTGGAGTTGAATACAACAAGGCCACCTTGTCACTTGACATTCCACAATCCAACAGAGCCAGCGGCACTCGTCTCGCAGATGCCCCGACCAAAGGTAAACCGCTAGGCCTTCATGTGGGAAATCGAACAAAAACCCAGCAGAAGCGTAACCAATCACCAACTGTTGAGAATCAAGTTCCTGTGGTGGTTAAGTGGTTGTAAATTGAATTAAATTGATCTAATGTGTATCGATGTGGTCCCATGTCCAAGTCGAAATTTTGTAGCCTCGCAGGACTGCAGACTTCATCCACTGGCCGTGGAGCCCATCTTTTTCGTGGAGCCCTCAGAATGATCTGTCGGCAGTCCAAGTCACTGTGTTTTCAAGGCAGATTGATTTTCTATAAACGGTCTTTACATGTCTTAACATGTTCATAACATGTTCATGGCATGTTCATAGCATGTTCTTATGTTCATAATAATATGCTGACAATCACGTTGCGCATCCGCCAAGAACTGGCCAAATCCATCCAAATCCATCCAAATCCATCCAGATCCCGCAAAAAACTGTCCACTGAAATGCTGCGCAAAGCTGGGGCTCAAACGGGGGCCCCATGTGTGGCTGGACACCATCGTAAGGTCACACTAACACTCCAGCATCTTATATTCAGCCAATGACTCTGGAAAAGCATGATGTCTTACTGCAAAACAAACAATATGGCGGACAGCTTACAAAGCCTCTTTATCTCTTTTCTGATGTGAAGCTCAACTGAGCCTGAATTGCTATTTGACTCAGAGAAGGGTTAGCTAGTGAGGTAAGTAGCGCGGAAGGTGCTCATGACATGATACGTTGCCAAGTCTTTGCACTGTTGATATTCTTGAATGAGTTTGTTTGATCAGCTTTGGTCATTCGATCATGTCGCAGATAGTCGGCCAGTGTTTTGTTCTCATCATGAGGATGCCCAGCAGTTGAGTTGCAATTTGTATCAATGTGTTGCAACTGCAAAAGGCCTCGGCACGATGGTGAAGAGGGTCATCTGGATTCTCTGCATCTGATCCTGCAATTCTTCGGACGTGGTAACCATGAACCAATGCAAAGATATGCAATGCATCCAAGTACATCAAACCACTGACATAGTGACATACGACTCATACACGACTGATACTACTGATCAGATCTGAACAAGTCAGGCTGTCCACATCGCTTCTCGCGGCCTCTTGATATCAGCCACGCGACCCATAAGGATTGCTTCGTTTGCATGCAATATACACATAATTGTACACAAATCACATAATTACTTACATACTTCACACGTTCTTTTCGCGTAGCGTTGATTCAACGTGATTCAACTGCATTGACAAACAGGGACCATTTGATCTGCTTCAGTCACAAATTCATTGCCGAACCTCGGCATCGAGCTCTTCATTTCGTTTGGAAAGGGATTCTTCTAGACGCGTCACCTTCCGCGGTACATGTAGCATGCCGTGTCGAGCACCAGAACCAGCTGGGTGGCACCTCCAAGTTGGCCGCTTGTAGCTCCGCCTGAGCTGAGTCTCTTGGAATCTCTTGGATCTGTCTCTTCAGTATAGGCTTTCTATGGCTTTCTATACACTGTACACATCGCTACTTTCTGAGCTGAGACAACTGAGAGAACTGAGACAACCACCTCACGCCTTTTCACCTGAGCCCACTCCTCCCGAAGCTGCAAAGAATTCTCCAGCCTGAGGATGCATTAGCATGCACTACAAGTAGCATGCATTAGCAACATTCAACAACTGCCAGCCCCCCAGTCAAAAAGGGTGATCCGAAATGTTCACATCGACTGCTACTGTCGCCACCATAGTAGTGGGCAGGCCCACTGAGCGTTGCAGAGAACTGTCGAGTCTTTTCTCCTTGCTCACCGTCTGAGGCGACCACAATTCCAGATTGCCTTGCCTTTGGTCGTGAAAAGCAAAGTATGACAGCATTGGTAGTGTGACACAACAGCGGGAAGGTATAGATAACAAGAGGCCAAATAATACAGATTAATACAGTAAACTCTCAACTGATCTCAACTGTGTTTAAGCAAAGTTTTGGGGATCATCTGTTGTTCCTTCAAGAAGTACTTCAAGAAGTATGACTGCACAGACTGCACAGACTTGCCTGTTCCTTCTAAGCGCGTGGCCTCACCTTGAGCGACTCTTCACCCACTTTGAGGCTGTATGCACCGTTGAAGCCAACCTGTGAGCACTTTGAGACTGGGACTTGCAAACAAAGTTAGCCTCGGTGGGCCTCTCTTATGTATCCTATTGTATTCTTATGTCGTCATTTTAATTCATTGCATTCTCTGATTGTCCTTGTAGAGAGACGTTGGTCCAATGTGGAACCACGCTCTGATTCTCCTTCCGTTGAACATGCCTTCTTCCCAACTTCGAAAGGGTACTTCACAGCTTGAAAAAGCTGATGGAGTGGTGCCTGCCAAAGAGGACAAGCTTGCGAGCTACTTAAAACGGTTCATCAAGAAGAGAATTTACGAGGATCGGAAAGGAAAATACAGGAGAAAAAAATGTTAGATGAATGCAAGGCAATGACTCCTACACGCTCAGTGGAAACATCTGTCAAACACACCTTCTCGTTGGGGGATTACAATCTTCCAGTTACCATCCCCTTCTAATTCTCTTAAGAACAGTTTTTCAAGATGGCTTGGGGAAAGGTGAGCATCCAACGACATGAAGACAGGTAAGACAATTGCTTGTTCGCCACGCCTGCCTTGTAGTACTCATTCTTGGCATTTCTATCGAGCCATAAATATTCCTTCAAACAGATCAAAATCATCCTGATAACCTGCATCGAAGGATCTTCAAGACTCCATATCCATCTGTCTGTCATGTGTCCTTTTTGAGAGTCATGGACCAAAATGTCTACTTCTCGTTTGAATTTCAGGAATTTCATGAATGTGTATCAGATTGTATCAGTGTAGACGAGAATAGTCTAAAAGAAGCCGTTAAAAAGAATTGACCTCGGAAGAATGCATCCGCTGGATCCTGCACAACCCGCTTATCAAGGAAGGGATAGCGCCTCATGTTGATCGAAACACGCTTGGCGAAGAGTGAATCTGCAGAGGCTGTGGAGTGAACTTGAAGGGCCCAAGCCATTACGAGTGCCCAGGTGAACATAGTCATCGTATGTCGAGCATATGTCGAACATGTGTGGTCTGAGGTGCTGGCCCCTCGATTCCATGAGCTCCTGCAATAATCTCCTGCATATGTTGATGGCTGGGTGTTACACTATAGATGGTGCTGTAATATTTTAGAATGATGTTATTCTTTTTCAAAGCACATCCTCCTTCATCAGGTTGTCTCTCTGTGTCCTGGCAGTTATTCGAGAAGTTTGAAGCTTCTGATAGCTTACGATATGATGGCTTCTGATTCTTGGAGACTCATTCATACTCTTTAAATCTCTTTACTCCTCGCAGGCACTCTGTAAAGATCACATTCCAAGACTCGATGGTCAGCACTCTTTGTATCCCACTGGATTACAGAAGTTCTTCATGGTTCTTCTGTAATATATATACATATATATATTATATATATATGAAACTCATCGCCAAAGCTTGTAAAGCAAAACAGGAACGCACACGCACACAATGAAAACAGCAAAGACCAACGAGCTTGCGTTTTGATTTGTTTCTCTCCAAGAATTTGTTGAGTCTGTTCGACCGAGACATCATTCGCGAGGACTTTGAGGGAAGTATCGCATCACAGAGAATTAGAAAATGGATCAGATATGATCAAATGGCTTTCAGTGCTCCAAGCATATTTTTGCTTGGGACAAGAGTGTCTAAAGAACAGGAGGGAGAATTGTATGATAAGGGGAAACACCGTCAGCAGGGTTGCCACCCAATTGAAGACGTTCAAGACAACGAATACTTTTCTATGACACGTCTTGATCAGGCAACTGACATGTGCAGTGAATCAAAATGTTCATAGACTCTGGGACACCCTTCATGACACGCACACACAGCCTAGCAATCTGAAACATGGCTGGCAATACCCCACGAAGAAGGATGTCCACGGAAAAATACTCCGCAAATCCTGCTGTGTTGTGTTTGCTTCACCTCTCCATTACCTTCTCTACATTGTTTCTACTTGGCCGGACTTTTTAAAATCTGGTCTGGGGAAGCGGCAAGAATGAAAATCCAGAACGGAAGATCTGCATATCGAATAATCAAGACAGTGATTCACATTCGTTTCAAAATGTTTCCAATATCTTTTGCGTACGCCTGGTTCTTGCTTGAAGATGCATGCAAACCGCAGAAGATAAAACTCTTACAAGCCGTGTACTCAACAACCCAGATTCGCAAATTTCCGATACTCCTCAGGGAAGACACCAAGAGGCTTCAAAGATGTCCTCGTCCCCAGAAGCTTCCCATAGAAGCGGTGCAAAATCACACACTCTCACGGCTCTCGCACAGATTCGCACGGCTTCTGTAGGGTCTTGCTATGCCCTGCCATGTCTCGCCTTTTCTCAGCAAGTCCATAGGCAAAGTCGGACAAGATCTCGTCAGCTCCCAGTGCTGAAAGGAAGACCTTTCAAAACGCACATTGCACTGCTGCGCCACTGATTGGGACCTGTTGGGACCTGGACCTATTTGGACTGCCCACGCTTCCAAAGAACTAGACGACGGATGGCCCGAGAGCGTAGAGGAGCAGGGTCTTCTCTTGTTAGTATGGAGACGCAATTTTAGAAACGATGTATGAAAGATGTGTTATAGGCAGTCGAGAAGAGGAGTATCAAGACCAAATAGTGAGAAGTTTTTACACACAGTAGCTTTTACACAGACACTTTTCCACAGAAAGTTTTTACCCACAGAAGCTTTTACATACAGAAGCTTTTACACAGACGCGTTTACACACAGAGACTTTTACACACAGACACTTTTACACACAGACCCTTTTACACACAGGAGTTGCTTTTACACACAAATGCTTGTACACACAGAAGCTTTTACACATAGACGCTTTTACACACAGGCACTTTTACACACAAACACTTTTACACAGAAACACTTTTACACACAGACGCTTTTACACGCAGACGCTTTTACACACAGAAGCTTTTACACACAAAAGTTTTTACACACAGAAGCTTTTACACACAAAAGCTTTTACACACAGAAGCTTTTACACAGACGCTTTTACACGCATACGCTTTTACACACAGACGGTTTTACACACAGACGGTTTTACACACAGACACGTTTACACACAGACACTTTTACACACAGACCCTTTTACACACAGGAGCTGCTTTTACACACAAACGGCTTGTGCACACAGAAGCTTTTACACATTGACGCTTTTACACACAGGCACTTTTACACACAAACACATTTACACACAAACACTTTTACACATGTGCTTTGGGGCTCCCCAACCAAGGTGTTTTGCCTTCCCTGAAAAAAAGCATAAACGGGCGGACCTGGCAGGCGGCGAACGTTTCTGGGCTGGGACACACACAGTATTACAATATGACATAAGTTGGTTCTTGTTGGGTTTAGCGTCCTGATCCCTGACTGTGACTGGAATTGAAACTCTTATCTTAACACTCATACATCCATCTCTATATATTAACACTCATACATCCATCTCTATTTCATATTGCTATTCCTATCTCAATATATAATATATCGATTTGTCTCTTCGTGGTAGCAGCCTGCCTATCCATGTAATCCATTCTACCCAGGGCCCTGACTCCATGCAAACCTAGCTGCACAGACCAACAACTATATGCGCAAAAGGAATTGGCAGCTTTATTCATCTTCGGATAGAGTCTCAGCCCGTTCGCTTTTTACACACAGACGCTTTTTACACACAGACGCTGTCACACACAAACACATGTACACACAGAGGCTTTTTACACGCAAACGCTTTCACACACAAACACATTTACACACAGAGGCTTTTACACAGAAACACTTGAACACAAACACTTTTACACACAAACACTTTTACACACAGACGCTTTTACACACAGACGCTTTTACACACAGACAACCTCTACACACAGACGCTTTTTACACGCAAACGCTTTCACACACAAACACATTTACACACAGAGGCTTTTACACGGAAACACTTGAACACAAACACTTTTACACACAAACACTTTTACACACAGACGCTTTTACACACAGACACTTTGACACACAGACGCTTTGACACACAGACGCTTTTACACAGAGACTTTTACACACAGACGCTTTTTACACACAGGCGCTTTTACACACAGACAAGAACGGCACAAGTAAAATTGCACTTTTACCTCAGTTTTTGCCGATCGACCCTCATTTCGTGCGAAAGGGTTGCTCCGGCACAAGTAAAATCGCAATTTTACCTCAGTTTTTGCCGATCGACCCTCATTTCGTGCGAACGGGTTGCTCCAGGACAAGTCCGGCACAAGTAAAATCGCAATTTTACCTCAGTTTTTGCCGATCGACCCTCATTTCGTGCGAAAGGGTTGCTCCGGGACAACTAAAATCGCAGTTTTACCTCAGTTTTTGCCGATCGACCCTCATTTCGTGCGAAAGGGTTGCTCCGGCACAAGTTAAATCGCACTTTTACCTCAGTTTTTGCCGATCGACCCTCATTTCGTGCGAAAAGGTTGCTCCAGGACAAGTCAAATCGCAGTTTTACCTCAGTTTTTGCCGATCGACCCTCATTTCGTGCGAAAGGGTTGCTCCGGGACAAGTCAAATCGCAATTTTACCTCAGTTTTTGCCGATCGACCCTCATTTCCTGCGAAAGGGTTGACGTTTCGTGACTCGCCGCCGGCACCACCCTCGGCCTTAAGAGAGAAAGATAAAGAAGGCGAGAGAGAGAAAAGGGAGAGAGAAAGGAGAGAAGATGTGAAGATGAGCAGATGTGAGAGAAGATGTGAGAGAAGATGTGAAGATGAGCAGGTGTGAGAGAAGATGTGAGAGAAGATGTGAGAGACGATGTGAAGATGAGCAGATGTGAGAGAAGATGTGAGAGAAGATGTGAAGATGAGCAGGTGTGAGAGAAGATGTGAGAGAAGATGTGAGAGAAGATGTGAGAGAAGATGTGAGAGAAGATGTGAGAGAAGATGTGAAGATGAGCAGATGTGAGAGAAGATGTGAGAGAAGATGGGAAGATGAGCAGATGTGAAGATGAGCAGATGTGAGAGAAGATGTGAGAGAAGATGTGAAGATGAGCAGATGTGAGAGAAGATGTGAGAGAAGATGTTTTACAGACCCCCACTATTGGAAGAACCCTGCGCTCAGACGCTCTCGGGAAAAAGGAAGGACGTTGAGATCAGAACCTGGAGATCTCTTTGGCGGGCCTGCACGTACATCTAAATCATGTGTTTCTTCAAAGTCATCCTCAGGCTTTAAAAGAAACAGGAATTTTCAAGGGCAAAATATAATGGTTCAGAAGTTCAGCATTCTAATAGGTTCTGCCAATCCGTGAGAAGCCGCTTACACGCTCAGATTCTAAGCTTTGCATAGCTTTGTATATGTTGCTGCTGTTGCTCTCTCATCGGTTTTTGCTCTCTCATCGGTTTGCTTCTCTGTGACCTCCTTGAACATGTGGGAAAGCCCAGCAGCTGCTGGATCTGCGGCCTTGGGTTAACATTCACCGTGAGTTTCAAGAATGCAACATGCTAACTATCAATGTTTATGAATTCATTGTGTATTTTTCAGACCGAAATCAGAAAAGGTGACAACTTGATCTTGATACTATACGATATTATGATATATTAATATATTATATATACAGTATACATTCTGCTGCATGTCTGTAGATCCCACGGTTTCCGCTCCATCTTGCCAGCTGTGTGGCAAGCTGAGCTTCTCGCAATGGTTCCCTGGGTCACTTGAGTCTGTGGATTCCACAATTTGATCCGTTTTGGTCCGTTTTGGTCACTCAGTGAGTCACTCAGTGAGTCACTCTTGAATACTCCTAGGACTACTCCTAGGACTACTCCTAGGACTACTCTTGATCTGTTCGTCTCCTGTCTCCACTCTAGGGCAACCACCTGACGGCCTACTCCGGAGTAAGTGAAGTTCTCGCAGTCCTCGTGGAGAAACCTCACGTCTCAACACGTCTCAACACGTCTCAACACATCTCAACACGTCTCAACTCTAAGAAGCAAATCTGCCTCAAGTCGCTCTAGTCTGTTGAGTTGAAGCAAATGAAACCGAATGAAAGCCTGCCGACCCTGCCTCACTTCCTCAAACAGCTCTTCCTGATTAGGGAGGACCATGTTGCCTTCCACCAACTGGCCTCAATCAAGTGCTGGCGGCAAGTCTTAGGAGATTCCAGTTATATACTTAGGGGATATATAATATAATATATATATAGTCTTATATACGTACTGATACGTATACCTTACATTACCAAGTGTTACCCTCTAGTTGCAGTCAAGATCGGTCAAGCCTTTCACTTTCCTTTCCTGCATCCTCAGCCACATCCTCACCGCCAATTTGGTACGATTAGCTGTTCCTTCACATTAGCTAAGATAGGTAATGATCTTTGGTGGCATTGCGGCAACGAATTCAACCCCACTAGAGTCACTAGAATTGGAACCATGCTGCACTTCGTTCCTACGCGTATTGCCCTTGTGTTCAAATCTGTCTTTTGCATCCTCTTGCTGTCACAGTTGCCCTTTGATGGTTGCATGTTTGTCGGCGATTATGCTCTGCTCAAACGCCCGGTGTCGCCAATCCTGCAGTTTCCTTTGGTACAGTACTGATCACACGCAGTCAATAGATATTGAGACTCGAACCACCCCAAGCAATGCGGTCTTCGATTTCCGTCACATCTTTTGTGCACACAACGCTGTATGCAGCATGCGACCTGAAAGCAAGCAGAATTGGCATGGAATTGGCCTAAACATCTCGTGCAAAGTGACTTGTATATTGCTCGGAGGCAAAGAATTTCATGTTTCAGCATGTTTCAGCGACATATACTCAATTCCTTTTGTAGAGGTCTCGGACGCTCATGAGTTCTTTGACTGGCTTCACTCGCATGAAATCTCCCGTGTCCCTGCTGTGCTCCAGACGTGTTACCAAGTGTGAGCAGAACCTGCAAACAGTGTTCAGCTGAGCTTTGTGCAAGGAACTGTGTGGTAAATGCAGCTTGGAGGGAACTCTTGGAGTACGTCGGAGTGCTTGAAAGCACTCGAGATACTTTGAAGATACTTTGAAGTTACTCTGAAAATGTTCAAGCTTTCGAGCGCTTTCGAGCGCGAGCGCAAAGTGTACGCCTGCAAAGCTCCACTGTCATAGCCAGGTGACAGGCCGATGAATGGTCGGTGCCCTGACAGCGCAGCCATTGTTCACGCGCTGTTTGGCCAGGCTGTCGTGACATGTGGTGACAAATTGGGCCAACAACGGCCCGAATAATCCCGAATATCTACATCGTTTACATATATAAATCTATCAATTAATGCATATTATATATCAATATGTGCCAAAATCCTCTCTTTGCTGAAAGCTTGGGCCAGGTTAAGTTGGTTGTCTGTAAACAAACATGTCAGACACCTTCAGAAAGGAATCTGATAGCTTGGAGCAGAACCATACTGCACTCTGAAAGCAGATTTATTTGAGGATCAAGAATGCAATTTTTTGTAGATCTGGCAAAAGGAGTCCGACTTGCATACGAATTGCAATAGTGCCTGAACTTGAATCTGCAAGACCCAGCAAGTCAAATCTCATACCAACTGCACAGGAATTCTAGCTCAAATGGAGGCAAAATCAAATCTCAGAAAGCCACAAATAACATCTAAAAAAATCAAGAGATCAAAGTAGAGGTTACAGATGGTTACAAGATGTTACAGCAACGGATAGCAATGGATTGGGGCGCTCATCTGCAAGCCAGCAATGATCTATCAGCAGGCATCAGCATTTAAGCATATTGGAGCATGTGGCTGTCAGCAGTGCTTGAAAGATTGTCATGCAACGATACATCAGGTCTGCCTGAAGATACTTGTGCTCGCTTGCTGACCGCTTGGTCAAGCCTGGAAATGGCAGGTGTGTCATGGTACAGGGAGTATTTCATTTCAAGAACTGGAGGCTGCAGACACTTCACACAACCAGGGACCGCGCGCTTGCAAGTAGTCCAATACATCTGTTTTGAACTGACGCAGGTCAAACTCATGCACCTTAAACTATGTGGGGAAAAGGCACAAACACAAAGTAATTATTCGTGGGTCTTGAGCAGGATCACAGAAATCGCAAACACATGCATTGGTAGTAACTTTATCTAACCTTGATACCTTACCATATATCCAACTGCCTGGTAAAACGAAAAGCAAGACAAGTGCTTAGCCGCGTGCCGCAATTCTTTGCACATCAGGTTGGACTGAACCATCCTGCCAGCATCTTCCAGTCATCAATGTATCAAGTCATATTAACACAAGCTTTGCTGTAACAGGTGGATCCAACCAAAGTTACGGAAGACCAGAAATGTCCTCAAAGAGTTTGAAAACAATTGCCTGAGGCAAGGAAGGACTTGCCAAAAGTTATTGCAGCATACAACTTTGGACAGTGTTCGATTGAATGCATGAGTAATGCATGAGTAATGCATGAGCTTGAAAAGCATTGCTATAGCATTGCAGCTTGCTCTGGATGCTCAGAGTCGCCGAGTTTGGATCAACTTGTCGGATGACGTTCCTGAAGCTGTGTGAAGGTCGACGCAAGGCAGTTCATATCAATTCAATTCAGAAAACTCATGAAACTTGGAAACGATGCCAAGAACGGAACGCGTTTCAAAGAACGGCGAAATCTGCTTTCCAAATTGAGTTGGGCCGCAACCAATCAGAAACTGGAATACCGCAAAGGCATTTGAATAGGGAACTGTAATGAACTGTACATCATCGGAGCGGTGCAATTGTCAAGTGGTATGTTCTCACATGAGCAGTGCTTATTCTGTTGAGGAGACCGTGGCTAATGGCACTGAAGCTAAGTAAACGCGGATGCCGAGGCTACTGACCTGTTTGTGATCGCCTATGCCGCACTTACGTGACCCATTGTGATGGCTTTGTCCATGTGTAAGAAGCGCAGCCCTTTGTCTTTTGGCGCAGTGACGCAGTGAAAACGTAAGAACATACACAGTATCAAACGGTCTTGGAGAGCGCCTCTGCAAAGCAATAGGCAACAACATGCCTACATATGCTTACCGCATCCTGCGACATACTGCAATCATTTGCAGTCACTACTTAGCCTACATCCACCTACGCCGTGCACGTGATCGCCTAGACAAAAACCCCTTTGCTGAGTTGCCTTGTCAATTCCTTGTAAAATTTGTCAAGTAAATCTCTGCTCTGGGGTTCTTACCCTCCTAGCGCAAGAACTCCACTGCGATATGAAGCGACGCCTTGGCACGGCGAAAACATATCTGGAAACCGGGGAGCAAACTTTGGTCAAGTGTTTTGGTCCAACTACTTGCCAAGCCAAAAACTCCTGTTTTCATGTAAGAAATGTTTGCCTTGAAGAGTCACTGGTGAGGCAAAAGCTTAAGCCTGGTTCCGTTGAATACCTGTCAGGTCTTTGGTATGTGATGGATGGCAGTACCACATGGAGTTCAAAGTCATGCCATGTCATGCCAGAGAAGAGTTTGCCGAGTTTGCCGAGTTTGCAAGAAGAGATTGCAGATATTGCAGACCGCACGAGGGCACCACAAGGGTTTTGTTGAAAATATGTCAGTGGCCAAAATCACCGTGCTGGAACCAGCATCGACAACCTGGCGAAGCTCACGTATTTCTAGATATGCAAAATATGCAAAAAAAATGCTGAAATCATAAAAGAACATCTCAGGAACACCTAGAATCATGATGAATCATGAGAAAAAAAACTCGTAAAACACAGCAAAGCCAGAGTCACTTACACACAAGGCGCTGAGCCGTCCGATGTCAACAAGACTATTGCCTCTGTATTTGACGCATGCCATATTTTCCTGTTTCTTCTGTTTCATCCTACCCTGAGCTCCAAAGATTTCAGCCCATCAGGGCACTGCTTAGCAGCATAACTTCAGAGTCCGGGATGGTGGGGCTCATTTACAGCACAACTTCTCACCATTCTCACCTCTCGTCGTTATCAATACTCGCCTCGCCCATCATGTTCCAGGGCCAGGCAAGCATGATAAGCAACTGCGAGTACTGTGCGCAAATTTCATTGTGCTAAAGATGGCAACAGCAACAAACCTGAATCTATGTTGTACACGCAATTTCATGTAATTTCTATGCACAAGCACAAAGGCATTTGAAAAGTTCAAGAGGCTAAACTGTTTCTTAAAACCTAAAGTCAAATGCGTCAAATGTCGAAACGTTGTTCAACTCGGCGATCAAACGTCAATTGAGTCAACTGGAAAGGCCAGGTGGTGATGGAGTTCGTGCCATCGCCTGCCTTCTCCGATCTCTGCGCTGCCTTTCTTTCTTGCTCGGTCGATTGGAGCGCTGATGGTCTGGAGCGTGGCAGAATCCACAGAGCTCTCCGTTTCGGCAGAGACCACGAGTTGCAAAGGTGCACGGTTTGCAAAGCTGGGCACAATGAGCAATCCACCATCGTGGTAGCTCCCAGCGCTCATGAGCTGCAACAAGCCGCCCTAGGGTGGACAAACGTGCATTTGGAAGATTGATCAAATTCGAGACCTGGTCCTGCCAGCTCCGCTGTATGTCCATGGGCAGCTTTGCTAGTTCCTGTTCAAATCTTCCTGTCAAGTGCTCAATAAACTCAATCTCTGGCCCGTTGCACTGCTGGAAGAGCCCTTTGGAGCAAAGCTGCGGGAGCTGGTGCATGATGGTAGGTAGCACGTCACATGCATGATCAATTCCAAGAAACCGAGCCAACCCTCGGAAAGCTGTCTCTGGCTCCAACACAAAGTCTTCAGCGAAAAAGAGTCGCACTTGATGTGGTCTCAGGTGTTCCAATCTGGCCCAGGCTACCATGCTTTCCAGGTCTTGGCTGTGTCGCATGGAAGCTGTCACAAAGTGATCTGGCTCAACATGACCCCCAAAGATCCGTGAGATGAATGGCAGCAATGTCATTTCCTTCATGATCAAATATCGAGGATCTCCGCAGAAAACTGCTACCCTCTCATCAAGCCCCACTGACGGAGCAGATTCTTGCGCGACGTGCGTCACTGCTGGGTGAAGCTCAGGAGGAAGCTTGGAAATGAAGCAGGAGTGACCCATCGGTCCAGCAACTGGCATATCCATCTCTGGTGCGGTGGCTCGCATCTCCAGAACTCTTTGAAAGAAGCGGGACGGTATTGGAACCTGCAGGAGAGAGGAGGGATTTGCACATTGCTCCTGCTCCAATCTCTCAATATTCTTCCACTCTGCAAGTGCCACGAAAGCATCTAAGCAGCCAATGTCCATTGCTGTGAAACCTTGGGGAATGACCAAGTATCGATTCCCATCTCTTGGCTTCCACGTTTCTTTCATGACAGCAATTGCGTTGGTGCTTACAAAAGGGGCGAACCGATGAGGTCCCAGGCGCTTGTGGGGAAAGCCCCAAGGCTCAGTAAAGACCTGTTCATCTGCCGACATCAGGTTCTTATGCAGCTCCTTATGCACCGACTAAGCTTGACATAGCTCGGCAGAGCAGGCGTCAGTTCACGGGCACGTACACTTGAGCCAGCCGGCTGCAAGACAAGTGAAAGCTGTCATAGTGCTCTAATGATTCTGGTGACTCTAGGGATTCTGTCAAAATAATAGGGCTGAAAGTAGTGCTGAAAGCATGGAAGTGCTGTCAGTAGAATCTGGCCATGAAGTTGTGCAAAGTAACGTGCCAAAGACACTGTGAGGGCAAATTCTCCATCTAAATGTCGGACAAAAGATGGACCGTGCCGAAGATACAAAGGCAGAAGAACTTCACCTGGTGAAATTGGTGAAGCAATTGGTGAAGCAATGCAAAGCGTGCAATGAATGAAAGCTTCAAGCACAGCCGGAAGTTGTGATAAGACAAGTTTTTCTGAGAGGAGGTACATCACTGAAAGAAACAAAGATTGCGAACAAATAGGGGTATGGATTAAGCGCATATAAAGAATGAACTGACAACAAGTAGCCAACACTGGTTTTACCCCAAGCAAAGAAAGTGCGCAAAAGAAGAGAGACTTCTGAGTTGTGGAGAAATAGAATTATTTAGAACCCTGAGCACTCCGTAGCTTTGAACCGCCGAAGAATACCCTCCGCGACAAGCCCATGCAAGGCCTATATAATTCTTGTCGGACAAAGAAGGTATACAAGTTCATGAGATATCGCTCTTCAGCTAGAAGCAATTAAGAAAAAACCTTCAAAGTCTTCAAAGAATAGAACAAGTTCAAGCAAACACCCAAAGGACATCAAAGAATACAGCAGGTCCTGTTCTCAGTAGTCAAGTTGAGTTGCAACCCACTCACACTAATTGACCGAGTTCTAATGTTTGAGTAACTCGCTGCATCACACATTCACACACTTACTCACACATCAGTCTTCCATGCAAGCAATCACTCCTTCGCTCGAACAATAACCACATGACATGATCACTATGTAAAGCTCCAACAAGTCGATCAAACCACGATACAAGCAATGAAACAATCTGTCAACCACACACCTTAGCCCGCTATGCCTCCGCCTTCCCATTGCTGCCCTATTTCTTTGAAGCTTCATCCCCAAGCTTTGCCATGAACTAGCGGCTTATTGAATGGCATGCTATGAAGACCCAAAGTCTCTTGAAGTTTTGTCCTCAATCAAAAAGAACGAACAACTAGCAATAACACCAAGAACAAGAGAGTAGTCATTGCAGCTTTCAGGATGAGGAAGAGGAAAGTCAAATGCGACAAAGAAACCACGCTGGGCCTTGAAAAACTCTACATATATACATAGATACATCTATACATATATTATATATATACCATTATAATCCATTATATACTAATATATACATATTTAAGCACTCGTGGATTAAATTACTAGTCCCACATGTCACTTCGTTTGTCTGCATTCTGTTCTGTCCTAAGCTTCCAGCCATCGCTCTTGCATTGTATGCCAAGAGCATGGCTGAGGTCCCGGTAGTTGTAGATCTGCAATTTGATCGAGGTGGCTTTGTTGGAACGATTTTGGCTCTTGGATTTGAAGAAGACTTCAGCGGACCTGCCCGTCGTAGACTACCAGGATGCCTCCAAGTGGCATCTGACGTGGCACATGATGGCACATTGACATGGTGGCAAGAGGTTTCAGAGCATAGCATGAATATACGAGAAAAACAAATCAACAAAAAAAACTACAGAAAAATGCAAAAAGGACGGATTGGCAACGGCTGCCGCACCTCTGGATTTGTCCACAAACCTCGAATGTTTTCTCAGCATTTCTCAACCCGCAAATGGGGCAAAATACATCAAAATGCAATATGATGCAACATGTTGCAGTATGTTGCAGTACAATGTTACGGCCTATTTCATCCACATCTCAGTCTTGGGCGGCTGTGGCACTACTCCCCCCTTCTGCAGAAGATTGTGGCACACTGCGATGCCTTCAGGCTTGATCACACTTCACAGTCTCAAAATGTCTCAAACCTACACTGGAGCCATGTCCGCACGAGCTGCATGAAATGGAATTGCTTCTACATATATCATGAAAATCAATGAAATTCAATGAGTAATCTGAATAACTACGAATGTTTCATCTTTTGCTCCACTTCCATAGATGTCCTGTTTGACTTCCTGTTGTGTTGAAGTTGGCCAAAGGCACCTTTGTGGCGGATACAGCGAGTACCATCCGGACCACGCTTTCCCATGTACCTGGCAAGGCTTCCAGGTGGGGAGCACAAGAAAGGGCCAACAACTTCCAACACGAAACAGAACTTCAGAACTAAACAGATCGGCAACAAATGCGCATGGAGCGCAGGGAAGGTTCTGAGAGTTGTGGTTTGCAAGAGACTGTCATATCATGTCATATCTGTCATCAATAAATTTGCATTTCTTGGCAAATCGAGCCGGGTAGACTTGTTAATGTGCGTGTCAGGCAGGGGAGCTGTGGTGGCGTAGAAGGAGCTTCCATTTGCCTCAACAGCTTCTAAGCACTTGAAGCTGTCTTAAGTCCATGGTTTAAACTACTAATGTGTTCAGTGCATGTCTAAAGGAAAGTTTCAATGAAATCGTGTCAAATATCATACAGTGCAAAGGCGGCAAACCCAACCAGCGCTCTGAGGGCCCATCAATTTCCGTCAGAAAGAGGCCAAGGAACAAAAGTATCCGCCATGGGAGCTGTGACATCGGATATCTAAGATATCTACAACAATGCTTGGTCCAGTTTGAGGATGTTTGAGGAATTGAAAGACATTGAAATATCTTTTCCAGAGCGCCATTGAAGGTGCGCAGCTTGACCAGGAGAAAACTTAGAAGAATAAGTTCCACTAAGTTCCACTAAGTTCTGCACGCTCCAAATATTTCCAACAGATTGGCTCATCATGGCTTGTCATTCAATGTAGAAAGTCTCACCAAACTCACCTTTGAGCCTCTGGTGCTACACGCCCCGCAAATGCAAAGCAAATATGGTTGGCCAAAGCAAACATGGTTCGGAATGGTTTGGAAGTCGAGGTGTCCTGAAGTCTCAGGTTTGGGCCATGAGGGGAGTACAGTACTAAGCAGCACACGCCGCACACGCGTGCTGTTTTCCAAGCTGAGATCATCTTAACCGTCTAAAATCGTCTAAAATCGTCTAACCCCATCGTAAACAGAGCACATCCTGCAACGAGTTGGACATCTCTGTCCACAGTGTCTACACAAGTTGCATTGACAGTCCCAGGTCGCAAGCTTTGAGAAGCTGAAGCTGCAGTTGCTCCTGGGCATTGCAATGCATGAAATGTCATATACGTAAGAAGTATATAAATATATAGAATATCATAGAATCATCTGCTGCAATGTGTTTTTTGTCACTGGCTGTGCTCCTTGCTACAACAAAAGAAGTGTTCGTGCTTGTTGCGAAAACACAAAAGAGAAGTCACAAGAAAATCCACTTGAAGCATTTGGTGCCTTCTGAGTTCGGTTTCTTTTTTTTTGCTAGGTGCGTTTGGTGTCCCTTCAGGTCTCTTCTGCTTCTCACTTGTACGGTCCTTGCTGCTGTAACTTGGCAGCTGGAGCATGTTGCCACATGTCATGGCACGAGGGAGAACTTCGTCCTCAGAGCCATCATGACAGATCTGGAAGCAAAGTACTACAAAGCTTTGGTAATCATGAACGATTTGAACGTGTCCTGTGCATGATGTACACTACACAGCCCTGTAGGAAAGCACCAAAAAAGTTTATATAATTGTATACAGTATACAGTGTATATTGTAAGCCTGCAACCGAACCAAACTGACCACTAGGAGATCCCTTATCACAAGTTACAATCAGCTCAAACGGCTGAAGCAGAACCATACCCTTAGACAGCTTCCTAATCGACCGCTTTAGTGAAACTACAGGCAAGAATCACCACCATCCATAGGTTCCACATAAAATGTGAAGCCTTTAGGGTCTCTTGGCCAGCGATCGCTGCCTGCACGACATGAAAGATATTCAAAAATATTCAAAACATATGAAAACCTTTCGTGTTTAATTACTAGTGTCTTATGATGATACTTATGTGTCTTTATTCGTGATTCAGTCTTTACCTTTGAAATCCTTCAATGCCCAAAGCTCCCACCTGTGGTGAATTTCAGCACTTTCGGTCGCGAATCGCGCCATTCTGCAGACCAAAGCGTCTCAAAGAACCAGGATGCTTGCTGTTTTCGGGCCTCCGAAAGCATAAGACAGCTTCATGGTTCATACTGTTTTCTCACACAAATGACACTGGGTCTGCGTCGTTTTCTGTTTGTGTCTCTTTGGAGCAAATCCAAGATGTTCAGCTGCGCGGCTGGATTGATCGTGGACCGCCTTAATTGGCGCACATGAATTTGTGTATTAAAATTGCATACACGATGCACATCGTCCCACATCAACTCATATTTATTCGCAAACAGTGCCTGCCGATAAGGCAATAAATAAGTATGAATAAGCGAAGGGAACATGAGAAGCAACAAAAACATACAAAAATACACAAAAATCAGGTCCAGAAAGAAGCAACGGGGAGGACCAGTGCCAGATGACTTGCAAGAGTGAAGGGGGAAGGGCTTTATTGAAATCATGCAAAAACATTGAAGAACAATTGTTTGTTTTGTGATGTTTTGTGATCAATTAGTGATGTGTTTACATCTCCTGAAAATAAGTGCAGTCCCAGGAGCTCCTGCCAGAACTTCAAGTCATCATCACTGATCTCTGGCATACCTGACCACTCCTGCCACAGCACAAGGAGTTGCCCAAGTTGCGTTCAAGCGAGACTCCTGATCCCAAAGAAAGTGCCCAGTTTTGCTCCACACATTGGTAACAGTAACATCATCCGACTCTCCCTATTCGTAAGATGGGGATTACATGATTCCACATTGAAATGGACTTACACACCTATAGTGACCGCTGCCGAACTACAAGAAACATCAGGAAATTCATGAAACCTTTTAGGCAGCGACCGAAGTATATTGGGGAAGTGAGTAGGTTGCCCAAAATTTTAAACGGTGTACTTGCGGGAAACACCAACTGAAAGTGAACGAGAGTCCTGCTGAAGCTCAACAGCAGAGAGCAGTACTAAATATGCAGCGCCTGCCGTTTCACATACACCCAGACGAAAGCTGTTTGCTGCTTCCTCAATGCTTTCCACGAGTTCATTTCGCAGCATGAATTTCAGCCAATCGAGCTTCGTTGCATCTGTGACGATCTGGTTGCTTCCATCAGGCTTCAGTTGCACCACTGTTCCGTCTGGCTTCTCCCGGCTGAAAGTCAGCTGTCCTTCCAGGCCCAACTCGCTAAGGCTTGAGGTCAGAAAAGCTGTAGAACCCCTGAAGTCTGGAGAACTCTCATCACTTTCAGCATTGAGCTCAGCTTGCAAGTCTTCTAAAGATTCTGGAGCGTCAACTTGGACACAACGCAGAAATGGCCTCGCCAAGGATGCTCCGACCAAGAGTTTCTGCTGCTGTGCCTGGGGCTCGTCATCGCCAGTCACTGCAGCAAGCAGTTCTTGTATCGTGGCATTCTCGCGGACACGCTGTTCTTGGGCTGCATTCTCTGCTTGACAGAGTGCTAGGCCATAAACGCGACCGCAAGAATGAAACACAGAGCCGGCACTCAACCCACTCAACCCACTTACTGCTGTTGTTAGTGTCACTGATGTCACGGGTGTCAGTGAACCTGCAGGAGTTGTCTGCCAAAGGTCCTTTCTTTCAGCGCAAGATCGACCAAAATCATTGAAGAATTCACGTCTTGGACCGCCAGCATCCTCTGCTGCCTCACCTACAAATGTCACCTGCAGGGGCCTCCGCAACTCCTCGGTGGATGCCTTTTGAATCTGAGACACTGCTGAATTGAACAAGTCTGCTCTTTCCACCTGCAAAGGAAATTGTGAAGCAACATCTTGGCCATCTTGGCCTTCGTTCTTTTGAGGAATTGCTAGCGGTGTGCACGCAGCACAATGTTCCAGTCTGGCCAGCCTGGTTTCTGCCACGGGTGGCCAAAGAATGGCGAAGCATTTCCGAGCTATGCGAAGCTCGGACTGGTCCATCTTCATGGCCCGTGACTTCAGAAGTGCTTTCGCTGAGTCAAGCAGAAAATCGAAGTTGTCTTGCAAAGTCTTCTTGCAGGACAAAACAGAAAGGAGAGATTCGAAGCTTGCTCGGAGGGCTCGTAAGTCTGCCACCATCTCTTCCCAAGTGTCTTCAAGTTTGAAAGCCTTCAGACCCAATTCGGAGATGGTCATTGACGCAAATTGCGGAAAAGTTTGTTCGAGTGGCCGGGGAGGAACACCGATCAACACACGTTGACGTTTCCTCGGAATTCGTCCCAAGGCGTCGCTTTGTTCAATTTTAGACGCCAAACCACTGAAAAGAGTATTGGATGGAAGCTCCAGCTTCGATTTCAGTGCACCACGAAGAACTGTAAGACAAAGAAGATCTCCAGGAGGCCCACAATTTGTTTGCTTCAAAACAAACTCAAAATTCCCTAAGTCTTTGGAGCCAATGGATGTAGGGAGCTCCAAAGCATCACCAGACATTACCCAGCCAAGCGCTTGAAAACCTTCCTGCGCACCTGTCTCCGCAAAGAGTGCGCTGATTCGAGCATTGCTCAATTTCAGCTTGCGAAACTTGGCATCATCTGGATTCGACACCACATTCTGCAAAAGCCTTCGGAAAAGTTCAAAGACCTCTGTCGGCCAAGCTTTTGCATTCAACACAAGCCGTTCAAGCTCGCTTGCATCCCCCATTGTGATATCGCCATCACTCATGGTTGTATCAGCCATGGCTCTTTTGACGGCACAGGACTCACTAAACCATCACAGAGACTTCAAAGTCTTCACACATTTTCACACAATGTCCGAAGTATTCCGAAGTAGTCAGATGTCAGAAGTATTCAGAAGTTCTAATCTGAGATGTGCCAAGTCCCAGCTGGGAGAGGCCAGGACCCCACCAGTTGATCCAATTCTCCGATTCCGAATGCTTTTGTAATTGAAAAATATTGAAAAAATATGCAAATCAAATTTTCATTTAAGCATGCTTAGGCCAACTGTGGGGAACTGCTGTGCTGATTTGGACTCCTGAATTGATGCAGTGGAACGTCATGACAAAAAAGGGACATGGTCAAATCTCTACATGTTACATTCTTCATCCAATGCATTTATGTCTAAGTGTACTGTATTTAACGGCAAAACATGAGGAAGTTTAAATCATTTGAAATCTGCTTGAAGACCAAAGTTTCCAAGACTGGCTGCATCATGTCTTGACCAGAGAATTGCTATGGATGTGAGCGACAAGACAAACCCATGCAGATCCTACAAGGACCTTGCAGGTGACCTTGCATCATTCATGTCATCCATGCCATTCATGATCCCCATATGTTGCTGCAACTTCAGCGCAGATACGCGTAAGTTCGCATTTTTGTCCACATCTCTTACTCTTTGAGAGCATCTGGCAGCGCACCCTCCGTGATATCTATCTGTGCAAAGAGAGGAAGCCTGCAGTTGTGCAGTCACTTTTGCATTGTCACACGACTGCCAGCTTCATTGACTGCAAAAGCAGCCAGCTCCACTTTTGAGTCTACACTTCATGGCTTTCTGTGTGTGCGCGTGTCTCTCTGCTCTGTCCCCTGAGACCTCTGATTGCTACGTCTTGGAGTCAGCAACGGTGGTTCTCCAAGGACAACATGCCACCTGATGCCAATGTTGATGATGCCGATGATGCTGATGATTCTGATGATTCTGACGACGACAACGCCGGCCGGTGATGCTGATGCTGCTATTGATGGTGCTAATGCTGGTGATGGTGATGGTGGTCTGAGATCAAGATGCTTGTAGACTCCGATTGGATGATCTTCCTTCATCCAAGAAAGGTATGGGCTCCGAAAGTGTTCATGTCCTGCACTACAAACTCCTGATCTCTGGAATTGCAATGCCACGAATCTTTCGCCATTATAGTTCAGATTCTTGATTTCCTTAAAGCTCTTTCACCTCACGTTCTATGATAACTATATTGTGTATTATTATGTGCACAGGGGTTTCTGAATTTTCGAAGAGCTTGCTCTTAGGCCTTCTAGTGCCTGCGGTTGTTTCTTGAAATCTTTAACTGCTACAACTGCTACAAACAAGTTCCTTCCACACAGACCAACTGCTCCAGGCTGAGGCACAAATGCTCGAAAAGTGCAGAGACCGCAATGCGAGGTCGAGGATCGTACTTCACATCCTGGAAGCAAACATTCAACTATGTGAAATTATATGAAATTATGATAGATTATGCAAAATTAAATATGTCAATATGTGTGAAATCCTCATACGACTGACACACATGTCACACTAAAATTGAATTGCGGTTTTCCTTAGTAAATCGAAACCAAGTCAAGAGCAAGTTTCTATTCGAGGCCTGGGAGCGACCTGATTCCAAGGCAATGTTCAAACATGTTCAAGTCCTGCGCACAGGCCAATGGAAAGTCCCCTGACCTGCCAAGTTTAATCCCGCAAAGCAATCCCACGACATGGCTTGACGACATGTGACAGGGCAGATTCATGGTTTTTGTCGTATACATGAATGATGAATCTGACTGTATCTGATTGATTCTGATATATTCTGATTGGATATCAATGAGGTGGTTTGGTGTGGCTTCGACATGTTTGAAGTTCTACTTCTGAGTTCTTCGACAGAATGGCGACGATCCGTGCGTAGAGAGCTTGAGGCCGAGCCAAGAGTCGATCACGTCGGACCAGGAACCTCTGAAGATGGCGCAACCAGAACAGCAGCATACAGCAGCAAGATGCAAAACACCTGTGAAACAATGCGAAAAGATGCGGAAAGCTATCAATGTGCCCTAACCATACCTGACCCAACTAAAAGCAACTGAGGCAAAGGCTGGCTGCAGCAATAGGAGCCAAAAACCTTCAAACCACTCCAGGCTGCAGGATGGCGGACAAAAGTCAGCAAGAGATAGAAAGTGCAAAGATCATGAAAGATCTAGAAAACGGGCGAAATAATGCAAAACACATGCTCAACAGACACAGCCATCGCAGCCTCAGGGGCCGGAGCATCCAGCAGCCGAGAATACAAATCCCTGCCATTGGCAGCACACTTCCACGAACAATTTGAAGTATCAGCCACCAACCTCTGTTGTGCCTCAAGCAAAAGCTGGACCCCGCCAGAAATCGACGGGAGTTCAAGTGGAGAAAGGGCACGCTGTAGTGTCCAGCCTCCAGTCGAGATTTGTCAAGATCTGTCAATGTGTTCAAGTCTTCCAAATAGGCTGAGCAGCTGGCTGCTAGAGCTGACAAATATCATCCAATACGTTACTAAGTTACTACATGTTACTACATGTTACTACCTGGATCTGGCATCGTTCGATGTGCAGCACTTGAGGCCTGGATTGCACTCGCTGCGTCTTGGACCAGCCGAGGGGAAGCGTGTTCAAAGGGAGCTCCTTGAAGAAAAAACCTCAGTGGCAGACTGCCACTGTCTCGTCCAGTGTCCCCGGTGTCCCATATGCACAATATCTGAACCCCTTCTTGATCAACTCCTGATGTCATAGAGAAGGGAGAAACCATGACAAACCTTATGATTCCGTGGGAATCACTTTGTTTGTGCTTTTTGGGGTTCTTAGACCCCTGCGTGTAGTCTGCGAAGGAATCATAGCGACGTTCCAGGTGAGTGGCCTGCAAACAACATAGTTCATGACAGGGAGCATCCACAATTTACTCCTACCTGTAACTGACAGCAGAAAGCATCAGAAAGCATCACAAAGCTCGGTGTCTGGCATAAGCCAATGATTCCATTGCCAAATTCGGTAAGTCTTCTTTCGTGACCTTTGCCCCACTGAAATGCAAACTCGTCGAGAGATAGGCAAAAGTGCCTGTCTGTGCATACACTGCAGCTGCTGTTGTACACTAGTAGTACACTGTGCTACGCTATGATGCACTGCCCTGTCCAAGCTGCCTTCAGGCAATCGTGTTTCAAATGCGCTAAGGACCGATCACACAGCAAGTGTTCTGGATGTTGCGCAGCTTCCAACCCACACTTTGCGTAAATCCAGATCCTGCAAACAAGGACGAGATGAATCACATTGAAGCAGTTCTCGGCTGAACGTTGGAGATCTGCAAAGTCTCCAGAAAAATGACAGAGCAATGAGCAATCTAGAGCTTGAAGGCATGACGCAGCATGGCGATTTGTGGTGAAATGCGAGGGTATTGAGCAAGCACCGAACCATATCCCCCAATATATTGCGCTGACTCCACTCACTACTGGAGGGCCCTCAGGAGATGGCCTGGCAGTAGTAAAGCTGGCAAGCCAACTGAGATCCTGCCGTCAGGATCTGTCAAAATCTGCCTCAAAGCCTGAGGTGTGTAATTTCTGACCACTCGTTTATATCCTTCATCACAATAGAGAAAACATCAAGAAAACATCAAGAAAACAAGACGATCATGGCACTGCTGCGAAGTATATTGCGCTATGGAGAAGCTGCTCGATGCTCCTCCCTGCACACCGCCACGACAATATCGAGCTTTGCATCTTCGCAACTGAAGGGCTTGCAAGAAACTCTCGCAGAGCATTGCGGCATCCACAGAAAACACTACCAAAAGCTATGTAACATCTATGTAAAAGCTTTGTAACGCTGCTGTAGCACTGTCAAACAATGCCAAACAATGTCAAACAATGTCAAAAATGAATAAATATGTATAAATATGTATAAATATGTATAAATATGTATAAATATGTATAAATATGTATTGAACAAATGTGACTTGCACCCGGTATATCCCGGTATCATCCAGTCGCCTCTTCAGCACATGGGCAGGACTACAGCTGCTCTCCTTTTCAAGAAATCGCTGGACAGCAGCCTGGCAAGTACACTGGCAAGCTGTAAAGGGATGGAAAAAAAATGGAGAAACAAAAAGCTGAAACAACTGCAGCAGCTGCATGCACCTCAACATTCCAACCAGGTAGCATTACCGCAGCCTCTGCACTTGCAGCCCTTGATTGAATACGAATAGCAAAAGCTGGAGTGGCTCTTTAAAACTTGTTCGATGGTCTTTGACACTCTTGCAGGTCTTTGCAAAGTGAATCCAAGGTCGCATTCAATTGCTCTGCCTTCATGACAATCTCTGTAATCCGATGCTCCTGCAATTTCCGTTTTCGACAGCTTCCACAATCGAGCCAGCACTGAATGAAGTATTCAAGATCATCAGAGATTCGAAATGGAGGATGTACGTCTCAAATTCATATCTTGATATATATATAGTGCCTATACACAACGCATGCAATTGCTTGTCTCCAAACCTGCCTTAAGTGCAAAGGGTTGCAAAGCCTCATGAAATGTCAAAAAAAACCGTCTAAACATGACCAAACAGCGGAGCAGTCGTGACCAGAGTAATTCCAACCCCTACCAATCAATTGACGAAGACAATGAGAACATACGAGAACCAATTGAAAGTAGACATGTGCATTTGATTGCATTTCAGCATATTGAACTATATCAGAAATTCAAGGCGCAATTTTGCTGCCGCACGCCATGCCGGCTTTTGAAAGCTTGGCCTATTTCCATAAAATTTGTCCCGTCGAGACTCTAGTGGCGACCCAGAGCATCCAAAACTGAGCGCTTCTACTGTTGGAGTCTTTGGCTCTAGGTGGTCTCAGAGGGATTCAGAGCTCACACGCTTTGGAGCTCCCAGACAATTCAAGTTGGTCCAGTCCGGAATATAGCTTAAACATCCTTAAACATATACATTATACATGTATATACACATACATGTTGCCGTGACAAATTGGTCATTCACATCAAGAAGTCGTCACCAAATCGGCACTCCAGCCAGGCAGCTGGCTGCAACGACGCTCAAACCCATGAGAAGGACGGCAAGTGTATTGAGCATCACATAAACAAGCAGAACTGCTCTCTTCCTTCCAATCCCAAGTTTTTCCATCATCCAAGTAAAGCTGCGCTCAACTCGGGGAGTGACAAAGCCAATTACCACCAATTTGATGGGGCGCAGAACGTTGTTGAAAATGTACAGCGTTGCATAGGTCGAGAGGAATGCGGGCCACTGGTGAATAGGAGATGCTTTGCTGCGAACCGCAACAAGATACCAGGCATACGAAAACAGAGGTATGTAGTTGATGTTTGACACCACGCCATAGCTCAAAACGCCGGCAGTGCCCATTGATGCAAAGCGTTTTCGATTTTCTGCATCTATTAGCCAATCACGTACCCTTCTCCAGCGGCTGGGTTCGGCTTTTCGGCTGGTGAGCAACTGGTTTGCACGGACACCCGAGAGCTGTGACTTTCCAACGAAGCCCAGCCGACCGTTCTCAGCAGACAGAACAAAGTCTAAATGCCACTCCCGACTGAGCCAGGAAGAGACAATGAGACAAAAGGCACCACACCTCAAGCATTTGGATTTGCTTGGTGCGCATTTTCTGGCAGTTCTCAGATTCTTCTGTCTCACCATCTGGCCTAGTTTGGTTGAACTATCAAAATCAAGCATTGGCAGAGCTTAAGCTGCCCATGAGCCAAGAGCTGCACTCACTTGTCACACACTGTGCAGCAGCAATGTGCTTCCAGACAGTGAAGAGTCATTGCCACAAAAAGAGAATGAAATGACTATGGGAACTGGTAAAAACATGAAAAAAAAAAAAGCAGATAGCAAAGTTGCTGTGAAGTGTGAAGGCTGAGGAACAGCTGTTTGGCCATCGGACCTCATCGTAGCAATGCTGGCAATGCCAATGAAAAATTGAAGTTGCTTAATCCGTTGGCTCTCGGCTCTTGGTGGGTTCTTCTGTTCTTCTCATTAATCGTGTGACTGTCTGAGCCTGTGGCAGCCACTGGAAGGTTTGCTGAAGAAGTGCCATTGCCTGCAACTTGGACTGCAACTGCAAGGCTAACTGCCCAAAACCACCAAAAAGTGATTGTAAGAGATTGTAATAAGTATATAAATGCATATGATAGAATGTAATTCTGATCGTCAAATCCTCATCAAAATTAATCCGCCTGGGAACAATCTCCTGCCGAGAGGCGGACCTTCCGAATGCATGGAAAATTTATGAAAATTTGGGATAAGTGACAAGAAGCAGAGATCCAATGAAGGATAGCCTGGGCGATCAGCATCGCAGCTGAAATCAGCAGTCCGGGGCACTCTTGTAGTATCCTCTGTTCACACCCAAGTCAGGCAGAACTGAATGAGGTTCCTAGCATTTCCCAGAAGGTTTCATTGTTTCGTTTACATGTAGTTCCTAGCTTGCGTTTGCACAGTTCAGACTTTGCAATCTTCACACTCCGAATGATCTTCCATGGCCCGAAACAGGTCGGGAAGGCTGCATCTGTATTGCGTCTGGTAACATCACAGTGAAGTATGCTGGATTCAGAGGTGGACGGCCTTGGCGTGGCTCCAAATTCTTGCAGAGCTAGCAGAGCTGGCGCTTTTTGCCAACTCTGGCTCCAGGTTCGTTCTACGCACCCCACTGCCACAGACATCACAAACGCCACCGCCTACGGTATGCCGAGCTTGGGCATCCAGCCGTTATAATGGTAAAAGTTCGCCAGATCCTCTTGAAACTGCCTGGCTAGCTTGACTGGAGCAAAGCAAGTCCTGAAAGTGCTGAATCAGCATCGTATGTGGCGCTCAACAGAAGCCAGATGCACCAAGCTGACAACCGCCATGGAATTGCCGAAGCCTTGGGATGAAACAAAGATAAACAAAGTATATCGGATACATCGGATACAGATGGATACAGTGTGATATAGACCAATCTGCATGGGACGCACCAATGGATCAATCCAACACAGCAGAAAGATCTAAAGACTCTGAGGGCCGAGACGCCAGCATCTTCTGGACCTTGCGAGTTCGGTGACACAAAAAGAGATAACAAGAGCACAAGGAACACCTGATGAAGACCAATTATATAAACTGTATATATATATATAATGATGCAGTGATTGAGATGTTTGCATAAGTTTCCACTTTTCGCCGTCTTTGACTCACCAGTGAAGCTAAAGCCCATATCTCTAGAGCAACGGTCTCCTATATATAATGTTCATTAATGTTCTATCCGATTCTTACGCGAGCAATGATCAATAAGATTCAGGAGCAAGCGCAAGTTGAGCTCGTAATCAGCGTACCATGCTTCTGTGCCTGTGGAGGGTACCTGTCAGTGACAATCACAGACCTGCGAAAATTCGTTGGATGCCCACGGCTTCTCCTGTACTCATGTCTATGCAGAAATTGTACATAATATTCTACAATCATGCTGAAATTACATACATGATCATACGGGTATGGCTTCGGAAGTGAGCTGACTAGTGGAAAATCGTGGAAAATAGTGGAAACGGCACTGGCAGAATATGCCAAGTACATCTAAGTACCATCTGTCAACGCCGAGCGCACTAAGAAATGAAACTTGGCGCACGGCACCAGCTGGAGCCTCAGCTAAAGCTCGCCTTGGAAGCGCCAAAAAAAGGAAGGACGTAGGTTGAAAGCTGACTTGATATGACATCATCATCAATCAATATCAATTATACATTACTGAGTCATTACTGTAATATACTGTAATCATCTCAAAATATCTCAAATTTCTAGACGAGGAAAGGGTTGCACCAAAAGCAGCAAAGGCATCCACCCACAGGCGAGAAGCAGAAGAGAAATGGCAGACTTGACCACATAGGTCTTTGCCATTGAATTCCTGCACAAATTATGTGCATGTTGAAATATGCTGCATCAGATTTGCTGAAGTTCGAGCATGCGTCCAAAGAATTCAAGATCTTCTGAAGGTGTTCCACATACTCAAAACAACTTCCGTGTGCAAGCACCTTCAGTCTCTGCGTGTCCGCAAAAAATCTAATTGGCACGGCACGGACATTCAGCAACGCCCTATGCTTTGCAAATCCCTGAAAATGATGAAACAGCTTCACCAGACCTGGAAACGCTAAATTCTATGCGATTCAATCAATGTCTCATTGAAAAAAGGGGACTGCCTGTGCTGAGCCAAACTGCAGAACGATTTGCGGCTCAGGCAGACCTTGCACACCAGAAGCTCCTTTGAAGTCTATCGTCATTCTGTCACTTCTATCGTTTCTGTCCCTTCCGTCACGCCGCGTCTGCTCCTTTTGTAGCTCTGATTTCTTCTCGCTTGGCTCTTTACCCTGCTGCACGCATATTCTTAACACACGACCTTGTTGCCTTTGGAAAGGCTGAGAATTCTGCCCGCTGGGAAACCAAAGCAAAATCCAAACGAAACAGTTTGGATTTCAAATCCGGTTTGGTGTGCCAACTAGACTGGACTCGTACAAGGTGTTCAGGCAAAAATTGAATAAAATATCTGGAGTCTCATGGGGGTACAAAGACGTAAAGGGTTGAATTGACGTAAGACGTAAGTCTATGTGGTTGCAAATCCCCAAGAGGCCCAAGCGTTCATCAGCCTCATCAGCTAAAGAGAAATTTAATGAAAACTCTTGAGTCTGAGGATGCAACAGAAAATACCCCCAAAGTCTTTCAAAAAGGGGCAAGACAGTGGCGCAGTAGAGAGACATGAAGAAACCTCATTACCAAATCATTATTGATTTTTCCCAATCGAATACTTAGATTGCTGGTGATTCTCCTTCTGCTCCAAATACAAGTAGAAAACCAATGACTAGCTCAAGTAATAACAAATCACACGGACACCTCAGGCCCCAGAAAAAGGTTAATAAAAACATCCACAGTAGCAATTTGAACCTGAGTTTCACATAGTTTCACGGGATTTGTCTTAAAACCTGGCATCGGATTCAAAAAAGTGTATGTTGGACTCGTTGGACTCGTTGGACTGTTCCACCCTGGTGGTTTGAAGATGTTTGAAGTTCCTGTTGCTATGCGAACTTTTTCCTGAGCAAATAGATGCAAATATGTATAAATAATGATAATGTGTTCAAAACGTTTCCACTTCCTGATTGCCGAGTGCTCTCTTACGTTCATTGTTTTGACTTGTGACTTCGTTGGAATGCTGCAGCTACACCTCGAACTATTTGTTTCCGCCAACAAACCTGGAATCAAAGAAAACTTCTGGTGGAAACGTCTACCTTCAACGTGTCCCAAAAACATGGTGCAGACCCTGTCTTGAGATGAAAACTCCTGTGCCCAACCATCCCAACCTTTCAAGACCGCACGGTGTGCAAACCATGTGAAATATTCAAAAAATGTATGGTTAACATTGGTTAACCATTATATTGCATCTTGGATGAAGACCTAGGAGGTGGGGTTCATGAATCATGAAATAAAGCAGCAAAATCTATGTCCAAAAAAACTCGGCTGCACGTCGATTTGTTGTCCAAAGTTTGACTGAAAAAGCTATCCTCGACCCAAGGAGTTCATGTTTGGTGACCCAACGGGAATTAAGGTATCATACGGTATGGTCTATGGACTACAAATGTCTATACGCATACCTAGATGGAGTAAAGGGGCATGTTTTTGTCCGAATGCGAGTGCAGCACCTCAGGTTACTGTGCTTCTAGCACATATATAGATAGTGGGTGCAAAACCCACCACAGGAGCCACGTGACAAGGAATTGCTAAGCGGCTAAACGTTTAGTCACTTCTTCCATAGATTTTCCCGTGGCTCCTGGGCTTGTAATGTTGATTTCTACATCCGAGGCTGACAGCCGAGGACGGGATCAGAGAAACTTCACAAAGGTCCACCTGTCTCAGGGTCTTGGCTTGAGGCAAATTTGACACTGAAGTTTAACCGTTACACATCGTTTAACGTCGTTTAACGTCGTTTAACGTCGTTTAACGTCGTTTAACGTTGTTTGAAGTTGTTTAGCCGTTTAAGCTCACTGCATTTGTTGCTTTGTTGCTCTGCAGAGTCACCTAGGCACTTGCAAAAGGATTGGCGATCTCCTCCGTGCCATCTACAGGACAAATGAGCATGACCTGAGCTGTCGCATTGAGCCCAGCATGTCCCAGCTCGATGTAGTGCGCATGTTACAAGGTGGATCAAGGTGGTAGGTCTACATGTCTGACAAACAGAGTGGCAAGCGCTTTCAAGCAAAATCCATCTGGAGTCAACTGAAGTCTTCCACTTTGGCAGCGGCCACTCCATGTCACTACCAATTCACCAAAGCCCAACTTGAAAAGGCATGAAACCGGCATGAAACATCATGAACTGAGGGCTGTTCTGAGGTGCCTCGTGCAACGACCAATCCCAGGCTTCTAGTCTCGTCAGAGACCTGCGCAGTCTTGTGCATTACAATGCAATTATAAGGTATCATCATAAACCCATTAACCATGTTCCATTGTGATCCCCAAAGTCAACATTGAACCCGAAAAAGAATAGCCAGGCGAACTATGAATGCTTGTGCGAGTGCAATGGATTTGCAGATTGCAAGAGTTCTTGGCGTACCTTGTACGGGTCCTCTAGGTCTCGCAAATATTCCTGGGGTGTCCATTAGAGCATAGAGCAGCAAAGCGATGCAACAGTGAGAACCGATGGTACGCGTGGGACGATGCCATGGCAATACTTTCAACAAAAACTCAATCCACATTACAGCTCCTGGACGTCATCCAGCACTAGATTTGCGACAGCATCATGTCCTTGTCACACTCAGGGACTCAAGAGACTGTAGTCAGACTAGTCTGTCATAAGTAGTTAGATTCTGTGACTAGTCTGCAGGTTTGTTCAACGCCAAGAAAACATGGATGTGTATTTGCAACACGTGCCTTTCAAAATTCCTTTCACTTCTCGTCCACCAGTGAATTTCACTTTCACTGGCTGGTTTAAGTACCTGCCGAAGAGTTTGTATGATGTGAACAGGTGATTACGAATGTACAATCATGTACAAATGGCCGCCACAGTACCTATAGTTTGAAGGCTCCAAAATGTGAACAAGTGCCTGTCAAGTGCCACAGCCCCAGGACTTCACGAAAGGGCCTTTCCAAATCCAGGACTGACTTGCCACTATCTTTCTTGGCCATTGCTCTGCGATTGGCCTGAACATGGAGGTGCAAAGGATGGCTCACCACAGCGAACATTCGGTCAAGGCAAACGATATAGTTACACCACGCAACAGCGCCCACTTTCGACAATGCCTAGGCTTAGATGCTTGACAAAGTCTTGACAAGCTTGGACTATCAGATGCTCTGAAAATCTTCGAATTGCTTGACACATCTTGACACACTCCGAACCTTGGCAGTCCAGGCTGGCGGTGGTAGCCGCCCCGAAACTTGCCAACGAGCCAAGAACAACAAGACCCAGCGGCCCACCATGCAGCTCCATGCAGCTCTCTGCAGCTCCAAGAATATCAAGATCAGACCCTGCAACCAAGAACTGTTTGACCCAAGTGGAGAGATAAGGATAGCTCTTTCATATTCTTTCATATTCTTTCATGACTTTCAAGTTTCAAGCTCTTTACTTTTAACCGCCGAAGACTGAAGGTGTTCACACAGCTTTGGCGCGAGTCGCTTCAGACCTCTTGAAAAGAGCATAACAAAGCTCTGCATTGCTTCATTCCCCAGGGAAAATGGCAGGCTGACAAATGTTTGTTGTCGTATGTTTTCATCACGTCCAGAATTCTGACTATGAGTTACACTCTCACTTCTTCAGTAATTTCAATCTTTGTACTGCGCTCCCCTGAGAACCAGTTTGGGCTCTGCCAAACATGTGCTGTTTTGAGGTCTGAACATCTCCACGAATCCGATCGCAGAAGCACGCGTGACCGGAGTGCATGAAATGAAAAAGCGAGATGAGGATAGATGAAGTTAGTATTTGCAAACGGGAATGATATTCTTCCTTGTTCAGTTTGTTTCATTGCTTCAAGACAATCATTCCAATTGAATGTTGATTGGGGCGCAGACGTGGTGGCAGGCTGGAACCGATGGTTGCAAGATCCATCACAGGCATCATTGTCTCGGGAATGATCTTTCTGCAAGGAAAGAGGAAAGTGCCTGCTTGGCCTCAAGCGGCAAGAGAAAGTTTGAACAGTTCAGAGTCAGACTGACAAGAGCTGCCAAGAGCTGACAATGCGAACCCAGCGCTCAAAAATGTTTCCACATTTCTCACATCACCAAATTCACCAAATCAATCCGAGTAGATGGCGATAGATGGCGATAGATGGCGAGCTCGGCAACTCTATTCTTCTCGCACACTTTGCACACTTTGCACACTCCGGCCAGTCTTGGGAGTCGATGGCCTAATGCTACCTACAAGATCCTACAAGATCCTACTCAGGGCATTCTCAAGCCGATCATCTTAAGGTCATCCCTGCAGGGATGGACCACCTGAAAGTTCTGCAGATTCCACGGAGCTCACTAGCATGGTGTCCCCGCAATCCTTTGCAGCAGAATTGGATTCAAACATTGCTGCATTGAAGGACATCATAGCACAAAAACATTGCATGATTATCGACCACATCCAACCAAGGCACACCAGTTCTCCAATTGCGCCAGGGCTTCCAGAGATTCTACGTCAAAAGGAGCGGGTATGCGTTACCTCGCACAGCCACACGGGCCAGAACAACTGGCGCCCAAACTAATGTCTCAATTCGGAGACAAATCAAAAATAGTCGCTAGAAAGCTTAATAGTGTCTCAATGATGCTTAAAGACTCAAAGTATATTATTATTATGTATATATATATATACATATATACATTTGCATGTAAATATGTATATATGTACAGTATCTCAAAACGCTCAACAAAGATCAACAAAGTCTTCATATTCTTCATGCACAACTTCTGTGTCTGTCCAGCCTGCACCACATGAAAAAGATGTCTGCGAGGAACTGCAGACATAGACACCAACCTGCTCGGGCCCGGCCATGGATGTTGGAATACAGTTTCAGCTGCAAATTCAGGTGTTCCACACCCCCCATTGATTTATATTGATTTGGTCGGTAGGACACAATTGGCCCACAATTGGCCATTGCTCAGCGGTTTGCTGATGGAATAGATGCTGGCAACAAGCTGCATGCCTGGACACTGTCAATCCCGGAAGAGCATCTGGATATCATCGCTGGTCAACTTCAACAGGCTCTCGTTGCAGCCCGCAACGGTGCCTGAAAATATAGATTGAAACTGAAGGCTGTTGACTGTTGTCAACATGTTCTTGCAAGCCAAAGATTCGTGGTGTCTTGGTTTTGTTTTTCATTCTGTTCCGTTGGTTGCGCTTGCCTCCTACATCTGTGTTCGGTCAAGGAAATGACATGGAACGGGAAATGCGAAGACAAACTCAAATTCAGTAGAGCCACTGTCAAAAGTACATTGCTTCCTCTCCTGCAAGAGCAATATTTTCTCTTCGATTGTTCCATCTGAGACGAAGCGGACCACCTCCACATCTCGTTTTTGGCCCAAACCTTGTCACCAACAGCATACGGCCGTTGATGGACTCAATTCGCATCAGTGATCAAATAGATTCAAATAGTATGTCAGATCAGGGGCTTGACATGGTCTGAGAACCAAAATCACTGCTTGCACTCAGCTAAGAGTTTTCTTGAAAGACATCTTCAATCAGGGCGTATCAGGGCCATGGCAGTCAAGGCACGGTGAGCACGTTGGTATGCCTGTTGCTCCATTGCCGGGTTCCACCACGGGTCCAAGAGGTAAACTCGGTTTGCCACTTGTAGGTTCAACCCTTCACCCCCAACCTGCAAAGTAATGAGCAAAACGCTCAAATCCGTCTCGCGAAACTGCTGGATGATTCGGGCTCGACTCTTCATATCCGTCTTGCCGGAAATGATTTCATTCGTAATCCCTGCTTCGTCCATAAAGTAACCACAGAGCTGGAGAAAGTGTGCAAAAGATGAGAAAACCAGAAATTTCTGTGGTTCTGAAGAACTGTCCTTGAGCTTGAATTCAATCTCTTGGATTAACGCCTCAATCTTGCTCGAAGTGCGAATCGGTTGCTCTGCATCTTGAAGGCCCTCAACAATACTTGCAGCTCGAAGCGGTTTTGCCATGTGCAGCTCCCGTTCACACGGGCAAATCCATTCCGCATCGTCTGGCGCATCTCGCATGTATTCAATGTGGCAGGATTGATGACACGCGTGAAGTCCACACGGGAGCACTTCTGTTTCTTCATCCATTTCGTCCACTGGATTCGTGCAAAGGGGACAATCGGAGCTCAGTCCAAACTTGGCCAACTGCGGATGATTGGCTGCCTGACGTTGTCGCATGATGATGGAAAAGATATGGGCGAAGTTCTGCATCAACTTTCCCTCAGCAATAAGCTCCTGGATGATCTGCCGATCCCGAGTCTTGATGCGTGTGTATGTGCGACGTTCTCTCTCGCTCAACAGAACCTTCTTTTTGGTTATGGACAACTTGGGCAAATCCAAAGTAGACTTTGTTCGCCTCAACATGACTTGGTGAAAGATCTCCAAACGCAGAGATTCCAAGGCAGCCTTGCCTTCACCCGTGAAGCCAAACTGACGGATCGGAGTGGAGATTTGTTTGGCAAAAACGCTGCAGTGCTGTGTCTTGCTATGTCCGCACACTTGGCACAATGAGGTATTGTCTGCGCATTTCACGAAAAGGCATTCACAATCACATCCTCTCCGCTGGCATTTGTTGAAACCATATGGGTAGAAACGCAGGAAGCGGACGAGGGACCCAACCTCACCGATGCGATTTTGCATTGGAGTGCCTGAGACACACCACCTCCGTTGCGCACGGAGGTTGAATGCAGCTTGAGCTGTGCTTCCACGGGCGTTCTTAATCCGATGAGCTTCATCTAAGACAATCCGTGTCCATCTCCTGCCAAATAGTGGAGACTTCGAGAGATCGATTTGAACCTGCTCATCCCACCAACTGACCTCGCACAAGGCCACTTGGAAAGCCAGCACTGAATTAATTAAATACAACGTCCCTCACACAGTTCCCATTCAACGTCGTTCTCAGTGCATTCATTATTTCAGAAGGCCCCAATTTATGAAACTGAACTCGATCATTGATCGCAAACTTCGCCCTCTCTGACAAAGAAAAAACACACGCCAGCTTAAATTCAAGGCCTCCGTGCTTACTTCTACACAAAGCTCACATTAGCTTTTTGGTGGAAGTTCTTGACGGCTAGAATCCGTTCAATGGAGTTTCAAACACTATGGTTTCGGGATACATGCTTTCACTGGCTATCCAAGTCCTTGTTACTGTCTTGAAGAAGAACGTTGTTTTTAAAGAAACAAACCTTTGCTCTCGTGTTCCACCCCGCCTCCCGGTCTTGCAGTGGCTCCCCTCGCCTCCGCTTTCTTGGCGGTTCTTCCAAGGTGTCGAGCTGCCTGCGGAAATCCCGCTCCAAAGTGCTGTAAGTTGTCAAGACCACAGCTTTGCCATTGAAGTGCTCTGGCAAGGTCTTATTGCAACGATATTCAAAGGTTTCAAGCGTACCTGGCTCAACAAATTCGGCAATTTCAGCACGCCATTGGGCTAAGCAGGTAGGAGGCACAACAACCAAGGTGGCACCGGCAGCAGGACTTGCAACCAGCAATGCTATGATTTGGAGGGTCTTGCCCATGCCCATCTCGTCCGCTAGAATTCCGCCACGAAGCACATGTGCACCGCTTTCTTGGCCGTTGCCTTCTGCTTTAGCTTCGCGTTGAAGTAGCCAGGACAGGCCTTCCTGCTGAAAGGATTTGAGAGGCTCGCGAAGCGGTTGCGGCGTGGCATGCGGAGTCAAAGCCACATCAGCTGTGACTTGACTGGCTGGAAGCTCTTCTGGAACCAAGTGTGCCGGTTGTTGCAGCGATTGCAGCAAGCACTTCTGCTCACTCTTTTTCAAGGCCTCAAAGCCAATGATGTGCTCTTCCACATACTCTTTGTCATTGATGCCCTGTTGAGCGATCTTCTGAAGAATCTCAAATTCCTTCACTGCACCTGGCCAACTGACACGGCGAGAAACAATTTGATCTGGAACACAAGGAATTCAACCTGCAAGTTTCACACGTCGTACAGACAACCCACAGCTCTCACAATTGTTGGCTGTTCAAGTATGAAGAAAATAAAGCATAGAAGATCACAAGAGGAAGGGGAGGCAGACCACAAGAAGTCCATAATGAACCTGATATGTATAGGAATTACAAGGAAAGAGCAAGTCAGCTCACGGCTAGACACACACTGTTTCAGAAAATAACTGATGCTGGATTGGATTCGCAAACCACAACTTAGAACTGCACATTCCACATGAAGCTGGACGGTGACAGCCAGGGTGTTGCCCGATTTGACCGTAGATGGGTAGCTGATTCGCACAGACGACTTTGGTATTTGGGCTCCACATCTCTTGCACATCGCAACACGGTTCTGCTTGCACACTTCAAAAGGTCCATGACGCAAAAGTGGACGCGCTCTTGGACTCAGTTGAGACACTTGCTTTGCAGAAAGCCACTTCCTCAGATGTCAATGTGTCTTCAAGATAGAAGCTCTGAAGCTTCTTCCAAGGCATCAAGTAATCACTTTGGAATAAGGACACTTTCGTCTTCACTCCGATCAAAAGGTTGCTAGGTGTAAGCGGAGTAATTCGAAAGCTTCGGGTGCAAGAACACACGGTGGATACTTTACCGTCCAACAGGAATAGTTGCTACTGAAGTTGCTGAATTTTGGCTCTCTGCAAGAGGTTTGGCATTGCATTCTGAGTCTACAATCTCTGCGATGTCTACAACATGCAGAAATGAACTAGCAACTAGATGTAATTACTAGCAGCTAGTAAATAGCAACTTGCATTGATGGTGCTCCATACACAGGGAGTCACGAGTGACAGTGGATGCCAGGCACTACTGAAATGTAAAGCCAAAGTCGAGACCTTGTCAGCAATTGAGAGAGCAACTTGTAGAGGTTATAACCAAACGACAGAGTTCAACGAATTCCTAAGATTATCAAAAATATTGACCATAAGAATCAACACAATTAGCAACCACATATCAATATAGACTATATATATACATAATAATATCAATAATATTCAAGCACGTTCAATAATATGTTTTGCCTAATGTCACCTGTGAACTGCCCAGACACCTTCTGATAAAGCAAAAGCTGCAGTCGTGCGCTCGTGGTGGTGCACGGTTCGCTGAGTCGCTGAGAGCAGCAGAGATCATTTCATTCGTGGCCACTTCCATTGCTTCCCCTCTGATTTCGGTTTCAATACTTTGCTGAAAGGAACAAAAGGAATAAGATCTCTCAATGAGGAAACATCAGGAGCGTTGTTTATATGTCATTGGTATTTCACCCGTTTGGGACATTCCATCACATCATGAACTCGTCTGAAGTTCTGCGCAACCCTTCCGCTAAAGATGGTTTGCAAGAACTGGAATGACAAAAATGTCACAGCAACGTGAGATCATGTGAGTGTTTTGGGGAGTCTCTTGAGCAATGGAGCGGGCCACGTGGTGAGCGGGCCACGTGGTGAGACTCTGATTCCGACTGTGGCACCCACTGTAAACACTCTCCTGTCTGAGATAGACAGAATAGATGAAACAAAAGAAAACATCTGCAAAAACAACCGTTTTTTAAAGAAACAAAACAAAACAGTGCAAGGAGATCGTCTCAATGAGTTCCCGGCAGGTTGTGATTAGCAAGGTAACACCTCGCTTGCAGGATGATGCCTGATGCCTACTAAGTAAAGGTCTAACGGTCACAAAACCAACCACAAATCAAGGCAAGGCCTTCATTTCTTCGAGGGCGACAGGTCGTTTCTGACCAAGCATGCCCCAAGCTAAGATTTATGAAAGGCTTCAAACCATAAACTGCGGACGTACAAATCAAATGAAAAGATAGAGGATGAGGACCAAGCACCAGAAAACGGACTACTTGCATGGCCCTTCCATCAGCACTGCAATTGCTCAGCAAGCAAATAAACTTTTTTGGCTGAGTCGAGTGGATCCTCCTAGGATGTTCTACTAGCGCCTGCCACGTCATGCTTTCTCATGAATTGGCAGAGATCACAACTCCAAGTCGTAGTGGTGTGATGCATTGTGATTCCCGGTTTCACCAGCGCACAGATTCTGGAATACTGTAGTGAATTACATATATGAATTATATGAATCATATGAATTCTATGAATTGGCTTGACAGTCTTGCTGAAAGTTGCGGGTGCTCTCAAGAAGTAGGACGTCTCAGCGAAGTCCTCAGCTGCAAATTGAGCTAGTCAGCCAATCGAGTAGTATTGGCTGTAAATATTGGCTGTAAATATTGGCTGTAAACACTTCATCTCTGGAACTTTTGGAACTTGATCGCATTTGGCTGCAGGAACTTCTGTAACGTCTGACTCCGGGTTCAGCCCGATTCTAGCGGGGTCTGCAAGCAGGTTGGACTCTACAGACGTCCACCGCCACTAAGCCATCCAGTAATCCATCCGTTGAGGGCAAACTGAGATCAACTCTGAAGTTGTTCGAATGGCAAGAGATGCTAAGAGAGAGGTGCTGTTGTAGCTGCTGTATATAGAATGATTTGGACTATTTGGACTACCAGTTTCACTAATCGAGACTATTATGATCTATTATGTGCTTCCAAGATTCGCTATGGAGCCTCGGTCAGACAAAGCCCACGATTTCTTGAGCCTGTCAAACTTGTGGGATTCCAGTTGCTGGTTGCAGTCCAACCAGTCAAACCAGACAAAGCAGTTGAAGCCGTTGAAGCCCACCTTAATGGAAAGGATTCATCTCTTCTGCCTCGACGTGATACCGGGGATACCGGGATACCGTATTGCAGGACACGCATTGCTGAACACAAATGCGGTACCAGCCTTGCCCAAGATTGCCTGACACAAGCTCACAACATCGGTCAAAACATCAACAGGGAATCAACAGTTTAAAAGTTTAGTTGAAGCCGCTTGCACTGCCCCAACAGTATCATAAAGTATCGTAAAGTATCATAAAGTATCATAAAGTATCAAGATTCAGTGAAACACATTGCAGGTTTGAAAACATGTGAAAGCCCCTTCAATGGCAAACAGCTGTGTTTGGCCTTGACCGCAACAAGCCACGCTCGATCGATGTCCAATGGCTGGCCGCACAGAGTTACCTTGTAGTACTCCTGCTTGCACAAAGCTGCACAAATCTCCCGTACCAAATTTTTGCAAAGTGCAAAGAGTGCCGCAAAGCAATGTAAAACAATGTAAAGCAATGTAAAGCAATGTAAAGCGATGTAAAGCAATGTAAGCTGTGGCTAAAGCAGGCCTATCTTCAGCCTATCTGTTGTGGCACAGCGACTTGTGCACTTCTCCTGCTGGTCACTGAAGACTTTCACCTTCACGACGCTCTGCATCCTTGAATTGTACCGGCCATGCATCAACGACCCACATACACAAAAAAAAACACGATCACAGACATCAACGAACGAACACTTACAGGCTTGCATGAGGTTGTTTCAATCTACATAGGCACTCCTCTGACATCCCAACATCACCAAGATTTGCTGATTGAACCCGAGTGACCTGTCTTGAATCAGTGTGAGGAGCTTTTGGCCCTTTGCATCTTTTGGAATATGAAGCTCCACAGAATCGCGAGCTTCCCTGACGAATTTGACGAGCAAGAAAGTCGCGTGAAATGACGCGTGCCAACCCAAAATCTCCAGAAAAGCGGATAGGATCCAGGTTCATCCAAATAATCTCATCCAGCATTCCCAACTGTGAAGGACCTCATTTGTCCCAACGCTGTAAACTGACTGGGTGCCCCTTCTTTTGCTGCAAACGCCGGATCTGTGACACTGCCATCTCCACTTCTTCCATGCTTCCAGACACAGACACCAAACAAAGCTCTGCGTTGTTACCACTGTTGCGTTCCTGCAGGCTGCGGGACCGAACCCTTGAAGTCCACAAGACTTATGTTGCTGTGGAGACTGAATGAGACTGATACAATATCTCTAGGTCTCTAGGCATCTCTAGTCTGCTTGGGTCTGGTTGGGCCGTCAGTCCGGCATGTCAATCTGAATCTCAGCACCAGATGAGCGAAGACCTTCCACAGGTGCGGAAACATGCAATTCGACTGCAGTGCCACGTGCGTCTAATTTCCACTGTTAAAACTTCCTGCGTAGGGCCTGTGCATTCATGCGAGCACTTTGTGGTCATGTGGGCTCAAAATCAGATAGCAGACACCCTTGCTCTTCAGCCTTTGCAACCCCAGAATTTTGGAACGTCTAATAACAACTGTCAGCAACTCCGTGCCTTTGACGCTATTGGACAACTTCCGCGGCACCGGGATTGTCCGCGTGAAATCCCTCCTTGACTTTCGAAATGTTCGGACGTGCAGAATTACAAAAATGGTGACAGTGTATGAGAAAACAAATGGACTTGCAGGTTCTTCCTGTAGTCAGACATTGCCCCTTTGACTTGCTGGGTTGTCCACCACCTTCTGCCTGGCTTGGGTCTTTACAATTATTTTTTTTCTGGCCGTCTTGGTGTCAGAATCAGGACATCAAGTTGTTCCCTTTTTTCATTTACCTACTTGGTAGCTCAAATCCACAGAATGACACCACTCTGTGAGGCAGTCCTTTGGTCTCCGCCTAAACTGGTGTTGTCTGACGGCTTTTGAGGTTGACGCCTCAGATACAAAGACACAGGCATCCTACAACACAAATGGGTATGGTCAGAAGATATACAAATTGTCGTCCGACTTCATCCGAATATCACCAAGTCGAACCAGTTTTTGTCTGTCAACCATGGGAAATGTCTAAACTTTAAGACAACTAGGGTGCTGAGGCGCGAACCGTTCTTCTGAGCCTCCAAACGTAGGATTCACATGCTGGCAATTTAGCATCAACACTCACTGAGCCTGATCATATGCTCTCTTCTCACATGGAAAACCTACAGCCTGCCTTCTGCAGCGATCTTGCCAGCCTGGAAACATGTCAGGTCCGAGTTTGTCAATTTCAACCCATGCAAAAAGGAAATCGCAAAATGGTCCGAATTGTATGATAGTTGTCAACAGAAGTTTGCTTAGCAAATTTCCGAGCTAGGAATGAATGTCCATGGTCAGTTTTCACATGACCACCACAGGAGGAGCAACATCAGTTGGGAAGTTGTAGTCAAAGAACCCTATAAGCAAGAAAATTTGTTTATCACGGTTCAAATTCAAAAACCATCAAAAACGCTCAATAAGGATGTGCCGGAATTGGGGACCCTAGAATCAGACCTGTCATAAGCAGATTCCGATTATTTGGGACCTGGTGAAATTTGGAATTTGTTTATTACAGATGCTTGCAACATTCAAATTCGAGTCCTAAACCCAGCCAGAGGTAACATGAAATATGGGAATGGTTTGCATATTTTGTCTTTATTGTAGATATCAAGCAATAAAGTTTGATTCTTACCGGGGGACCCTTTTGTGGATGGAGCTTTCCGACCAGCTCGATTGAGCAGTGCTCAAAACCGGGTTTAGGCAGCAAATTCAAGAAATAGCCGGGCCACAGCACTGAATCAAATTGAAATCATGTGTTTAAGCAGTCTTAATCAATCGTCACAGTCACAGCACATATGGAAGGGCTGCCGTTTCCAAGAGTCCAAGACATGCGCAGGCTCGCACAAAGTGCGGTCCGCGATCGTGGACACAGGATTTTTTGCTGCAAATTCAGGGACAAAATGGCGCTTGTGAAATGTCCAATGCCAAGTGAAATACGACTGGGCAGGCTTGCACAAAGTGTGGGTCGCGATTGTGGGCCCCGGCATTTTTGCTGTAAAGTCTTGCAAAAAATGGCTTCTGTGAAACGTCCAAATCCATGTCGACTGCGCAGGCTCGCACAAAGTGTGGTCCGCCGTCTTGGCCTGCGGCATTTTACCTGTAAATTCTCGCACAAAGTGGCTTTTGTGACATGTCCACGTGCATTTCGACTGCGCAGGCTCGCACAAAGTGTGGGTCCCGGTCTTGGGATCGGCCCTCCTCCTCAACATCATCCTCATCAACATCGTCATCTTCCTCCTCGTCAACATCATCACTCTCAACATCATCATCTTCCTCCCCCGTGACCTCATCATCCTCAACATCATCAACCTTCACCTCATCTTCCGCAACATCATCATCCTCCACCTCATCTTCCGCAACATTATCATCCTTTTCATCGTCCTCCTGAACATCCTCATCTTCCTTCTCAACATCATCACCATCATCATCATCGTCGTCGTCGTCGTCATCATCATCGTCATCATCATCATCATCATCATCATCATCATCATCATCATCCTCCACTTTATCATCCTCCACTTCATTTTCCGCATTATCATCCTCATTCTCATCCTCCTCAACGTCATCATCCTCAACATCATCATCCTCACCTCAACATCATCATCCTGCACCTCATCATCCTCAACATCGTCATCATCATCATCATCATCATCATCCTCAACATCATCGTCCGCAGCATTGTCATCCTCATCATCATCATGATCATCATCATCAACAACAACAACAACAACGACAACAACAACAACAACCACAACCACAACCACAACCACAACCACAACGACGACAACGACAACAACAACAACATTGTCCTCCCACACCTCCACACTGTTTAGGGTCTCTTGCCGGGATAATGTTTAAACTTTCTGCTTCAAATTGTTATAGAAATTCAGCCTTCGAACCTTCTAGAGTGTTCCCGAATCAATCGAAAATGTCGATACGGTAAAAGAGTTCGGTACTGATTATGTACTCTACCCTACCCTAATCTACTGTTCTCAGCTCTACTCAGCCCACTGCACTTATGACTTCCTTGGAGCAACCAGCCAACTGATGAAACTGGACTTAAGTAAGACTTCTGGGCTGATGAAATTGCCGCTATTGCCGCTATTGCCGCTATGGCCCTGCCTCCAGTATATTGCTTTTGGCCTCGGGGTCTTCCTGGGCCTCGGCCTCGGCAGCCTTCTCTGCCACGGCGATGGGAATCGCTTCCTCTTCAGAAGGATCAAAGTCTGCCTGGCAAAATCTGTGGAAATTGGCAAATCTTCTCCCATTTTGCCAATTTTCTTCATGTTTCTCCATAGTTGCCCCTTTTTCATGGCCATCTTGGTGCTTTCTACCTTTTTCTTCTAACAATTTCTGGCTCGCTCTTCCCTTTTTGCACAGGTAAACATACGTAGGTAAACAACAGTTTCCAGTGGTCAGCTGCTAGGCTGCACCACACCAACCGTCTTGGTTCTTTTCTATTGCCAGTCTGCACATGGGTGGCTGCACGTCTAGCTACGAGCTCGCCTCGGAGTTGCATTCATCTGATTCACTGCTCTCTGAGCAGATCTCTCCATCCTCGCGGCCATCCCCTGCAAATCGCTGAGAGGAGATGAAGGCACAGCATTCAAGAAAAGACCCACGCCAACAACCTTCAAACGTGAACGCTAGCCCATCCGAACCAAATCACAAAGGGGAATGACGCCCCCAAGCTCTGGCTCACAGGAATCATGCTTGATATTACTAGCTAGATTACTAGATAACAATTTGAACTCTTGTGAGGAGAGACTACAACTTCAGCGGTCAAAACTCAGGTATGAGAAAGCCGCTTGAAGTTCCCACAGGCACTGGTAGTCGTGCCCTGACCCAGAGATCAGCAGGCCTTTGGCTGGACTCTTTTCTGGTGGTTGGCCACTCAGATCACTCGCCGCCTTGAACTTTTTGAAAACTGTGACATGTGAGGAACAAACATCTTCTGCCAAGGCTAGATCAAGCTGCATCAAGCTTTCTGGGCATTTCTGAACAATATGGAATCAGCGTATGCATGCAATTATGTCCAGCTGCGTCAGATACCTTTCAAGCCTTTACATCATTTTACATCTATTTGTCTCAGAGCTTCGGACTTCTACTCAAACAAAATCCAACTCTCTTGGAAAGTTTCGTACATTGGCCTCCAAGGCAACGGTTGTATCTGACGGTTGTGCTGCAGGCTCCTTGAAAACAAGCACAAACCAGCCCCACTGTTGAGTAAAGTTTGTTTCCAAAGGACCACCCTCAATTCCAGTTGGGGACTTGTTTTAACTGAATGCATCGTACTATTTCAGCATCTGTCCAAGACTACAGGAAAATAAGGTGGTATCTATCGAAATGAATAAAGCTAGAGGACAGACCTTGGCGCACTCAACTTGAGCTTGAGCTTGGTCAGGTTGGTTTGATGGCCTGCATCTCAACTTGCACGTGCTTTTTTTGACTTGATCACACAAACGATTGCCTGAGTGCTACTGCTTGCAAATAGCTCAAACAGAACAGAGTCTATTGGCAGCCGGTGCTTTGAAGACTGAATCTGTATCTCACTGATACAGTTCATTTGAAGTTGAGCAAAGCTTTCTGGCAAGATTGTAAAACTGCACGTACTGTGCACGGATACCTTTCAGGCTCAGAAATCTGGACACTTTGACTTTGACTCTCCTGGAAGTACAACACGGGCCGACACCGCCGCAGGAAGTTGGTTGATAAAAGTGTCACTACCACAGCTGGTACAGCGCGTCCTGCTCCTGATGAATGTTTTGTCCATCTGGATGAGCCTGCAAAAAGCAGGTATCTGTAAGCCAATGTGAAAGAATCTCAAAATATCTATATAAAAAAAGGCAAAGTAAAACATCTGGCATGCTGGACCTACGATTCAAGCAGCCATGAGGTTTGAAGCTTGAAAGCCCAGAAAGTTCAAACTGGACCTGGTGAGGTTTCACCACAACTCCACCCCATCCCACCAGCTACACCATAACGGAATGCTTGAAACCGGTCTTCTCAATTCAGAAATGGTTCTTTCTATGGTTATAGATGTTATAGTGTCTTCTACTGAGTTATACTGTCTTTCTATGGTTTTCCAGTCTCACCCCCTGTTTTGACGCATTTTGACACATGCCTTGTCGTCCTTCTTGTGGCTGAGCCATCTAGTTTCTTGGGGCCGATCACGCTGACTTTGGCGCTCACCTGCAGAGGGGATCTCTGAGGTATGCTGCAATGCTGCAGCAATGCTGATCTATGCGGCAGTCTATGCTGCATTATGCTATTGTTCCTGCCACAGGGACAAGATCCCTACCGAGCTGTGAATCTCTTGTCAAGCAACATGAAAGGCACACGGGAAAGCGAAAAGGTATCAATTGAAACAAGCCAGATTCTGTTCAGCTCAGAAAAGCTCAACATATCCAGCCAAGGAAGCAGAATCAATTTCAACATGCCTGCTGCTATCCCCATGATGTGAAAGTGCAAACGCTACAAGAAAAACCATGGTAGCTACACCTCCTCTCCTTTCCCCAAGCTGCACATCGTTTGCACCGGAAAGCCTGGAGAAAAACATTGCAAGTCTCACCTAGAATTCTCCCCAGTCAATTTGCTGCACCTTAATGTCAACCTTGTCAACTTGAATTCATATCATGCCGCAGTTCACGCCTCTTTGGCCGCTTGACCTCATTCCGGCGCTGGATTTCAGGACGATGTTCCGCCTCGGCTCTGCCTGTCCAAGGGTCCAAGATTAAAGGTATGGCTAACTAACCCCAAGAAAAAGTATGGAGTGGAATATTAGAGCACGCTTAAAGACTAGACTCAGACACAGCCTTCCCAGCCCTGCTGAAGTTGATGTGCCTCCATGGTCCCGCAACTCCCGTACATCTGGAGCACTCCTGAACTCCAAGGTATCAGAAATCAAAAGGTGATGATGCAAACATACGCAAACTGTACTGTGAGAGCATTGTCATATTCTGACCACTCCTGTCAGAGAAAAAGACTTCTCGAGTCGACTCTCGAGGGCGGCCTCTGCCAGTGCGTCCTCGGTCGGAATTATTAGCCTCTCTCCGAGACTCTCTGACTGTGAGTCGTTCGTTGACTCGTTCGTTGACTCGTTCGTTGACTCGTTCGTTGACTCGTTCGTTGACTCTTTCATTTCGATCATTTCGATCGCTTCGTTCGTTTCGTTCTCTCAAGTCCCAATGACGATCTTGCCGGTCTTCCCGAGGCTCATCCCAGCCGTCACCTCGTCCCCGTCCACCTCGTTCCCCTCGTTCACCTCGTTCACTTTGACGTAGGTTGTACCTTTCACTCTCACGAGGATATCTCTCCCGATCTGAAGTTCGATCAGGGTATCTGTCCTCGTGGCGTTCCATCGGCCGATAACCTTTTGCATAGTCTGTCGATCTGTTTTCTCTTAGGTTATGCCGATCCAGGCGAGTCTCATGCCTTGCACGAGATCTTTCTGCGTCATAGCCCATGTGGTAGTGGGATCCACGTCGCAAGTCATCCCGATCTCGCTCTCTTCCAGGGTCTCGAGCGTCTCGGCCTCGAGCGTCTCGAGCATCTCGAGGGTCTCGATGGTCTCGCTCTCGATCTCCCCGGTCATCGCGATAGCGATCGCGTCTAGAGCGACTTCTGCCATGACCGCGCTCTGACCGGCCACCCATCTTAGCCCAAGGGCAAGGAAGGGCCACAAGCCATAGCGTCACTCGCACTTCCCCATAGAGTCATGGAGATGATGCGCAAAACTCAGGGACATTATATACATTGCATATTGACATATTATATATATATATACACCAAAAAACATATAAAAGTCATAAGTTGTGATAAATGCAAAGTGCTCAAGCGCAATGCAAAGTGACTCGGATCTTGAGGTTCGATGAGATGGCGTGGGATGTCTAGAGTTGGGAATATGCACTGAATCATGACTCTGGCATACTCTGGCTATATTGGGGTATCGAAGTGTCTCTGTGTTAGTCTCTGTGTGTTTGCCTCAATTGATAGATATTTTTCCGTAGAAGGCTTTTGGCGTTTGAACTCTCGTTGACTTCATCAAGCCGAGATACTGGAAACTAAAGCGCAGCACATCACTTGTCCAAGCAGCCGGTATTGGGTATTGAAATTCTGCATGCACGCAATCTACACTAGTAGGTTGTTTTGGCCACGCCACGCTGGTCTTCACGAAAGCTGTGAGACTTCGTAGATCACCAAGAGGTGTTCAGGTGCTCAATCCCGCACCTGGTTGGCTGACTTTGTGAGCATTTTGAGCATCACAAGTTATCGCTGAGGATGTAGCAGTGCGTCCAAATTCTCCTCTCCAAGCACGCCTGAAGTGCTTCGGGAATTCCTGCAGCGATTCAGATCGGATTCGTTGAGGTGCTGCAGGGAAAAAGATGGGAAAAGTATCTCATACTCTGCAGACTTTGGAAATACTTTGGCAAAGGATGGCCAAGGCCTTCTTGCCAAAGATCAGCTGGGTGAGGTGGACAAACTCCCACGGCTCAATCCTTTGAACGGCTCTCGAAGAGAAATCGATAACAGAGTTTGCTATTGAAAAATGATCCCTTTAAAAAGATAAGGCGCTGAAAGCAAAATATCCGATGTGATTCTGTACAAGTTTTGTTTACCTCACGAAACCACAACCTTTCTGGATAGAACCTGCTACTTTACCTATTTTCCAGAAAAGTTGTTGCATTGTATTTGAACAAGCCGTCTTCACGGTCATGACTCATGACAGAGCATAACGACAGTATCTACAACCAGCACTGCGGCTTTGCGCCCGCAAAAATCTTGCACAGACTGGCCCTTTTCCAGGAGTGAAAGCACTCGACCCTTCAGTTTTCCACCACACCAGTCCGGCGGAAATTGTATTGGGCCGAGGTATCGCGCATCCAACAAGTGCAATCCAAAGCAAATTGTTGAGTCTAAAGATATTCAGAGACTTGCGTTCTCCAAAGTTGCAGCCGTCTTGTTGATGTATTTGTTTTAGCATATCTGTTCAAGAAGAGCGAAATCCCTTTGTGATGTGAGGTGGAATGTGTCTAGTGGGATGTGCCTAGATGATTCTAGAATATGAGGAGTAATCTGAGGTATATACTAAGTGTGCTTATCCTCTGTGCAAGTGCCTCTCCATGGCAGCCTTGCGAAGGCTTCAGCCTGAGGCCTGCACTGCTCAGGACGGAGCTTGGCATACTCTTCCGGCAGCTTGTTGATCAAGGTGGTGTGGCACTGGCAAGGATGACCAAGAGCTCAACTGCTAAGGAGCCTGCATTTTGTCGTATAACTTGTTATAACACTTCACTTTACCTTTGAATTGTGCTTGGAACGTACATGCAACCCGTCTTGACATTTTCTCTTTGAAGCATTGCCAGCCAGGCCGAAAGAATGCGAGAGAGAGAATTTTGCATCCTCAAGTTGCTCTGATGCTTGTCAGGAATTCAGAATCGAGGTTGAATCTGGGCGCAGCATGGTTTGCTGCCAAGCAACATTTTTCTTCTATATCGAAAAACTGTGTTGGTAAGGTTCCGCAAGTCTCGCGGATCGACACCCAAAGCTGCAGGGGCGAGCACAGCAGGACGATCAGATCAAATCTGCACTTCTTTCCCCATGTTCAACGATCGTTCTAATTTGTCTATCTTTGTCTCACTCTCCACAGACTTTATCGCCAATGACACGATTTCATCCACTGACAAAGAACAAACGTGAATACAACTTAACATAAGACAGCTATTATAACTGCATCTACAGAAGACATGTTTATTCCGTGCCACTCTCAGCTCTCAGAGTTTGCCTCTGCGGCGCTCAGCGGCAGCTTCAAAGTCCAGCTTCACACAAGAAGTCATGACCTAAATGACCAAAGTGGTCCGGTCCAAAGTCCAACTCAAAGGATAACAAATGATAACATATATGACAACAAATGATGTACGCAAAGTCACTATAATGTATCGAACTATACAAATCTATAATATATATATATATATACATATATATACTATATATACTATGATCTGTGGAGACCAGGGAACTTGCTGCTTGATGCGCTGGCAATAAGTCACCAACGTTTGGTCGAGGAAAGTATGCTGTGGGCGGCAAGTGAAAGAGGATCTTTGGATCTGCATACCTCAAATTCACTTGCTGCAAGCATTGCTTCACTTCTCTGCACTGGCCTCTCTTCTTTGTGCGCTCTTGTCCCCTTCACTTGTCACATCTTGTCACTTGTCCTTGCTGCCAAAGAACAGCTGGAAGACTACACTGGGAATGCCATACTTTTTGCCTCGTCAGAATTGCGAGGAGGACTGAGCCGTTCGAGCTCCCTTCTGGCAGATTCTGATTCATTTCCTATGCAGCAATGCAGAAAACAACACCACTGGACAGACAGTGGTCTCGCCCAGGTCCAAGGCTATTCGGCTTTGCCACAAGACGTTGTGCAACCTTCCGGGAGCCAATGGATTTTTTCACACAGGAAAGCCGGGAGACTGTGTCTAGCACTGTTGTGCATCTGGCCTCTTGCTGGAGAATAACATGAGCATTGCGAACCTTGGGACTTCGTTTCGTCTCCACACACCCTGTACGTCTCTGTATGGACCCTGGCAAGTGCAGAGAATGTGTGTTAGCAATCTTGTGATCAATTTCACAGTTCGACAAAGCTTCCAACTCCATCTGCATGGTCAGCCAGGGTGAAGAGGGCCTGCGAGGCTACGTGGAAAGGTAGGTTACTGACCTGAGCGGCAGCTGGTCACAACTTGTACCAGTCATTTGCTGGCAAACACAAGATATCACAAGTAATTTGTGAAAGGTAGTTCCTTGGGTCAATTCTGCAATTTTCTTGCATCTAAGTGTTCAGCAATAGACAGAGGTCCCCCTCTAAGCTCGGCAAGCTTTGTGTAGTTCACTAGCAAAACATCTGATCTGATAACCTCAAGGTCTTCAAGCACAAGATTTGTGTACATACAACCCACCATGACTCGTGGAGAATTGCAAGAGAAGCAGAAGCTAGTTGGATGTCACTTACTCAAAATCTTGGAGCTACACTGTAGCGCCAGGCACACTTCGAGACAGCACACGCATGGCGCGCTGATCGATTTCAATGCCGATCATCTGGCACAGATGAGACAAACATCTTGTACACGATCTGGGTATTTTGAGTCACTGAATCATCTGGCAAAGCATGGTACGCTCTGTTGGAAGACATTGGCAAACTTTGGTATCTGCCTCTGGGTATCGCTGCCATAGACGCGAGGTGACTGCACCGGTGCCCGGACTGCAGCGACAATTTCATGTAGCGACAGTAGTACTTACACTGTTACACATGTAAATTTGTAAACGTGTTCTCTTGCGGGTATGTTGGCAGTGCTATGACGGGACAGTCGGACACTCAGTAGGCTATTCCTACGACGGAATGTCCCTGGGTGAGCTAATCAGTGGAGGTGCTAGTACTTGCACGGTGAAAAGGAGAGCAAAGGACAGAGACCTAAACAGAGACCATCTGGCGACCCCACCAAGGTTGAGAATAGGGAAATTTGCTGTGGTGCTCTTTGATAAGTTAAAGGGAGGTCCAGATCATCTTGCAGATGCTGCTATCTTTTAGATTCTTTTGGACCCTTTTAGATTTATATAGATTATTGGACAAACAAAGCATCTCAAACCAGTACGGGTTGAACATCTCGATCCAAGCAAGAGTCTGAAAGCAATAAATCAGCAAATCTTTAAGAACTTTGAGGTTGGGCGCACTTGGATAGGTCTGAGCACCCCACCCCAGCTCAATCATCCTCTTTCCACCCTCTGATTCATCATCAAGCGCGCTAACTGGCCAGTGATTCAAGTTGGACTTTACTCTACAACATACAAACACTTACAAGAAATACTCTTTCGCATATATTTACCTTGATCATCTTTGACACCTGTGATTCATATGCAACAACTTGGCAGCCATCCTACATAAGATATGGGCCCGAAAGGACATCAGGTTGGCGAGAAAAATACGCCAGGTGTGCCCATTTTGAAGATGTAATTCCTGGACTGGAGCTCCGGAGCTGCAGAATGTGGCTATGACGGCTATGACATGCTATGATCAAGGGCAAAACGGCATGGAAAAAAACTGAGATGAACTGATGAACTTCGGAGGTGTTTCCCCCAACCATTCAATGCCGAGATGCGGATCCGCTAGGAAGGTTTGCGACAAGCTCTCTCTGGGCTTAAATAGATCAGCTGGAAGCCTGACAACAGAAAAATCACTGGGCACGACGTTCCTTGAGGAGTCCTTTACAAAAACATACAAAAACATGTTCGAAACCAGTAAAACTTTGGAAAATCTACCAGGAGCTGAGAACAGATGGCGGTTCATCTTGGAGCTGAGGCAGAAACGTTGGAGGTTTTGGCTTTTGCAACCACGACAAGGGCTGAATCGCGCCCTGCACAGAGCTTCTGAAAGGAAAGGAAATTGCTAAGTAGTGTGTTTCTTGAGGTTTTGTTCAGGTAAATGCAATGAATTCTGATGTGCTCATGCTTTGATTTCATGCTTTGCCTGCTTGTTGCTTTGTCCTTGCGCTGGCCTCTGGTGACAAAAACTAAACAAACAAAGATAGGCACAATGAAAATCAAGGAAGCAAAGGGTAGAAAGCTGGAAGTTAGCAAGCTGCGTTGGCTTCGGATTCTTGGAGTCTAGTTCGAGACACTTGTGCTCTGCTTGAATTCAATTGCATCCAAGCTGATCTCACTAGTCAAGGATCAAACAACACTACCAATCACTATGTCACTACCCTTCTTGTTCAGCGAAAGAGTGGAGGCAACTTGAGGTGCTTCTGCCATGTTCTGCGTGTATCGGGTCTTCTCAGATCTTCTCAGATTCCTGTCTTACACAGCTCTGCTGTGCTCAGCTCCACACTCTCGCTCTGCCAGCACAACTTCTCTCTCAGTGGCTCTCATCTGGCGATAGGTTTGAAGTGTGTTGAAGATTTTGAAAATGAGCAGAAGTCTGATGAAGCCTGATGAAGTCTGAAAGATTTTGAAAAATAACGAAAATGCCAGAAAATTCGCCTGATGCCGGCGGCACCGTGGAGCCTTGGCGAACAGAACGACAGAGAGCACATGGCTACTGTGTGCAGCTTGGCGCCTGTGAGAAAGGTGCCAAAGAGAATGACAAGGCCTGACCACGGAGACACAGGAGAAGGAAGTTCAGTCTCGCTCTGTCTCAAGAACTTTCAACGAGCAATCAGAAAAGCTGCCTGAGTCTGAGAAAGTCTCGGCACATACAGTTTGTGTCAAATGCTTGAGCAGTGCTTGAACAGTGTGCTTACTTTCCGCTGGCAATTGAAATTGAGAACCCGAGTGGACCTTGACGCAACAGTAAGCGGCACCAATAGCAGCAGCAAGCTGAACTTGCCATGCCACGGGGCGTTTGCGGGAGCTGGACTCCTGAGAAAAGAGCATCAAGACAAACCCACAAACCCAAGTAGAAACTGTACTGGGTCTAGTGTTAGTATACTCACAAACCTGCACTGAAAAGCATCCGTCCTTTTGGTGGTGCAGACTACCCCGTGCCATCGCGACTAGAGTCTTTCAGATGCGCGCGGCCGCACATCAACGTAACTGCTGAATCGTTTCGGGCTGTCAGGTGATGTCAGGTGAACTCCATAACATGAACTTTCAGCCAAAAAAGTCTCGTCCCTCGGGTGCAAAGTGTAGCCAAACTGTTCGAGCACTGATGTCCCCTGTGAATTTTGTGGAATACTACTTCAATGATTCATGTCTTTGGGCCTGTGAAATGCCAGCATGATGTCCCAATATCGGTGCATTCAAACGGAGAACCCTAATTTGTACACTGAACAACAAAGGTTATGACGCAATGTCATCAGCAATGACGCCAATTGGGCACCTGAGAACCATTGAGAACACAACTAGAAAGTCATCACGCATAAATGATCATCCAAAACATGGTGTGATCCCTACCCAATTAGTGGTGACTAAGTCACATCAAAATCATATAAAGAAACCACTGGATGGTGGCATGTGTGTTCTGTCGTGTCTTAAGTTTCAAACCTCCCAAGCTGTGGTAACCCTCCTACTTGATGAATACAGAAATCAGAATGACGCATGAGCAACAAGGACCCTATTGCAAGAATGACCGATTGCAAGAATGACCGACATACACAAGCATGCCCGGTATACCCCAGATTTCCTACAAGCGGCGGCGGTCACTGCTACTCGCATCCGCCTATCGCAGCCTGCAACACATGACTTGATGACGCAGCAATGATAAGGACCACCGATGACCACCTAGAAGTACACAATGAATGACGGGCATGACCTCAGTCCAAACCTGACACAGCAAGACTCAGCAAGACTCGGCAGGAGCAGAAACCACACATGACTTCAAAGGACATGCCTACACAGGCAAAAAAAAACACTGCGGAGACACCAAAAAACTCTCATTAAACATCAGCACGTGAGAAGGGGGGAGCGAAAGCCAGCTCTCATAATGAAAACCCCTGCGCGCAGCAAATTGCCTGCGTGTAAGACCTGCAACATTGAAATCCTCCAGCTGTAGCGTAGCCCTGCCCTAACCGCACAGAAAGTTTTGAGGCAGACATCCTGAAACTCTGCTGGTGGTTTGCGCGTCCTCAGCTACTCGAGCAATATATTTTTTTCCATCTGTTTGTTTAACTGGCGAGAAACCGGGCTGAGGGGAATCGATACCCCACTGCATCAAATTTCCTGCGCACAACACCTTCAAAATTGGAATTCCTCTGCTGGAGCAAACCCGTAAGCATCACGGCTGAGAGCATTAAACTTCCTGCGTCGAACGCCTTCAAAATTGGAGTTCTCCAGTTGCACTAACCCTGCAAGCATCACGACTGCGCGTAACACCTTCAAAATTGGAGTTCTCCAGTGGTCGCCTTCCTAAAACTCTGTTGGTCAGCTACGTATCTCTAGTCTTTTAAGCAACATGTTTCTCTCTATCGGTTTCTCTGACTGGCTACTTAGCTCACCCAGGAAAACCCAGACCGAGGGGAAATCGATACCCTACCGCAGCAAATTTCTAGAGCCTAAGATATGGGTCGAATATGGGCCCAACATAGCCTCTAAGAGCCTAACATGGATCAACATAGGCCCAACATAGGCTCCGTATACGCCCAACACGGACCCGACATGGCTTAACACAAGCTTAACATGGTGTTGGGCTCCGTATACGCCCAACACGGACCCGACACGGCCGGGTAAAGGCTTAAAAGGAACACGCGTTCTTGGCTTAACACAAGCTCAACATGGCTCGAGTATGGCCCCAGCATGGCTAGCCTCCAAGAGCCTAACATGGATCAACATAGGCCCAACATAGGCTCCATATACGCCCAACATGGTCCCGACATGATCCAAAAATTACGTGCTCCTTTTGGGCCGGGTAAAGGCTTAAAAGGAACATGTCGTTCTCGGCTTAGCATAAGCTCAACATGGCTCGAATATGGCCCCAACATCCAAGAGCCTAACATGGATCAACATAGGCCGAACATAGGCTCCATATACGCAGGTGGCACCGCGCCTCTCAGGTGGCACGGCCACGTGCAGCATGGCAAACGGAGGTAGTCACAACGCAACAAGGTGTGCTAGCGCTGCTGACTACTGTCACTATGCGTGCAACCAGTAAGTCAGAAAATACGTCAGAAGAATTTCTCAGCCTATAGCAATCCCTCTGTCTACCATCCTATCAATCTATCTCTCACTCTATCCACTGGTCCATGTCTCCATCTCACATCAAGCGCGCTAGCTTTCATCCGCGAGTAGCCAAAGAGAGATGACGTGACGATCTACTTTCAGCACAGGCATAGCTGTATGTCAGGTTGTCATTGCAGTCTGGTGCCGACAAAGTTTCCATGACCTGTAGCCATCTAGCTATCTAGCAACCTATCTGTCCAGCCTTCCGTTAGGCCATCCATGCTCTCTCTCTCTCTCTCCCTCTCTCCCTCTCTCCCTCTCTCCCTCTCTCCCTCTCTCCCTCTCTCTCTCTCTCTCTCTCTCTCTCTCTCTCTGTCTCTCTCTCTCTCTGTCTCTCTCTCTCTCTGTCTCTCTCTCCCTCTGTCTCTCTCTCTC